ACATTACCGTTAGCACGAATGATGTCTCCCAGCTTGTAGGTCAAGTCATCTTCGTTGCGCATTCCGGTTCCAGTACCATCCATGGAAATAGAAGGGCGAACTGGAGGCGGAGGGACGGGGAGCACGGTAAGAATCATCCATTCCGGACGGGCGTAGTCCGAATTAAGACCCATGTTGACAAGGTCCCTTTCAGAAATGCGGCGAAGGATGCTGTGGGCCATCTCGGGGGTGATGGGGGCTGTCTCTTTCCTCTTGGGTCCATCCTCTTGAGCTACCTCGAAAGCCGCCTTCAGTTGAAGGGCAACCTGTCGTACTTGAGGCTGTACATTGCCGCAGCCGCCATGGCTTTCAACGAGCGCGGGCTTCATGCCAGGCGCAAACTCTTCGTCCTTGTTCTTGTCTGTCCGATCCTCATTCTCACATCTCCGCTTTTTCTTGCAGACAGCCCATACCCGCTTGAAACGGAGCTTTGCATCTCGAGTATTGATTGCCGCAACAAACTCAGGATCGCTCTGGTAGATTTCAGGTTAGCATCCAGTGAGGCAAAGGCTTCATGGAAAAGACAAGACCAACTTCATCAGCCAGCACTTTACTACAGTTGTGGCAGACAATCTCCAGGATCTTCTTGACTTTCTTGATGAAGCCAGGGTGGTACACGGGCTTTGCCAGTTCGATGTGTCCAAAATGACCGGGACACTCGCCCATAGCTTGTGTACAGGTCTTGCACTTGAACTGTCGATCGATCGAACCGAGAAGCGGGTCATTGAGACCACCGTCGCGTGGCTTCGTGCCGCCTTCCTCCATCGTTTCGGGGTACAGAATATGTGCCACGCTCATACTCTTGATCTCTTCGGGAGAAAGGAGTCCGAATTGGATCTCCTGCACCGTCTTGAGCGGAGCGCTCGAGTGGGTAAAGTAAAGGTTCGCCATTTTCGAAGGTGTTGTGGAATTCCAACCGGATAACCGTAATTCTACTAGAAAGGATTGGTGAGGGCGGTAAACGCAGCACGCGCCTCGTAATCGCGGTCAAAGAGCAATGCGTCGAGGAAAATCACGGAGAAATCGCAGGAAGTGACAATTTCCAGTCGCAACAAGTCGAAAAATCGATGACAAAAGCGGTTGTCAGTCGGCAAGAGATGACGCTCTCTCGATCGCCAGTCCTGGCCAGCAGGCCCAGGAGAACCTCACGGCAGATCTCCCCCGTCGCCACCAGCTCTGGGGCCGTATAAACACGTAAATCGCAGGTCGGGGTCTCGGATCGTAGTTTTCGACGGGATTCCAGGTGCCAGACTCGATGCCCGACACGCTTGGTGATGACTTTGGGCCGTGGGCAGAGTTTTGTCGTGATCGAGGCAAAACAGTAGGAGGAGGAAGCCTGAAAGTTCTGGACGTGAGGCGCTGGTGCTTCGATGCCGCTAAGCCTTTACGGACCACCACCTCCTTGCACCCGCAGTATTTGGTGCCTCAGGCCAAAGCTTATTAATAAAGACTTTACGCCACACCAGAAATGTTGGGGTCATAAAATCGCGAGCAATCTGCGCAGCTTTTGGTCGAGCAAGTTCACCGTAATTTTGTCAGCCCCGACTTCAGTTTACGAAGCACCGGCGTGACTCAATTGATCCAGGTTTCGCGTTAGCCTCACATCCAATACTGCGTATTTGGGGCTCCGCGCCTCGTATGTTTTCTCCATCCCTCGCGCTATGATTACTACTGCCACACATGCTTTGATCATCCATGTCACTGTTCCGATACAGTGCATAAAGAATTGATGCTATTCCATTCATCTTTTGCATCTATTACTACTTCTTTCTACTTCTTCCTCCCCTAGCACCTCCCTTCTTACGCACAGGAGCAGTCGACTCTGCTCCAGCGCTCAAATCGGCTTGACTTTCTCCAGGGCTCCTCCGCCGCATAGTCCCAGTCGAAACCGCAACAAACTCGTCCTCGCTATCGCTCTCGCCCAAGTTGAATAGAATAGGCATGCGAAAATTATCCAGGCCATCTCCCTCTTTCGTGGGATCAGTCGCGAGAACATCCACATCCTCGTCCTCAGCATCAAGTCGCCTTCGATGAATCTCTTCTTGCGCATATATGTCGAATTCGTCCTCCCGCTCCATGTATTCTACATTCTCTTCGACCTCGGCAAAATCAGGTGCCAGTGCCGACCACTTCTGGGGACTAATGACAGACCAAATATATATGCGACCCGTTTCCAAGCCACAGGCAGCCAAGAGGGGCCGAGAAGGATGCCACTCGATAACGCCTTGCTCCTCTTTCGGGTCTTTGAGCATGCAGACTAAGCTGCCGTGGTTTCTCTCCCAAACGTAGAGCTCGTGATTATTGTAGGTCGATGCAGCCACGTACTCGCCCGTAGCGCTAAACGTGACATGGTTCCAAGACAGCTTGTTAACAACGTCTTGAAATTTGTGTTCGAGGGGTAGTTGTATTGTATCGGGATCGAGGTCCTCCACTGAAAGATTGGGTATTCGAAAAGTACGGATGATGCGATCCTGTGAATTCACAAGTAGATCTCGCCCCGACCCCGTTATTCGCATCGTCGTGATGACTCCTGTGCATATCTTTTCCGAGTATATGATTTCGAGCGTCTTGGCATCGATGATATTCAATTTGCCTTTACTTGTCCCCGCGATGATGTGATCGCCCGTCGCGGTCCAAATAGCAGACGTGGTCATCTGCTTTGCATCCTCCTTTGCCTGTTTCTCTTTAAGAGCAGCATCATTCTCGGTGTTTGATCGTTTTGGTGCAGATGGCAGAACGCGCTTGACATCGACCGGCTCCGAGATATCGACGAGTAGCGGCTGTTCTTCGAATAGAGACGCGACAAAGATGTTACTAGTTGAGCGCGTAAGTCAATGGCACACGGCAGCAGATTTGTCAAGTGGAAAGAGGAATGGACATACTGGTTCCAGGGATGGAGCTCAGCCATGTAGGCAGGGGCACGAAAGCGCACCTCTCGGTGTCGGTGCCCAGTCTCCAGATCCCAAAGTATGGCTTTCCAGCCTTGGCATGTTGAGAGCAGATACCGTCCGCATTTCGACCAGCTAAGGAACGTAATGCTCTTATTATGCCCTCTCATCTTTCGCGCGACGCCCATTGTCTCCAGATCCCAGACAACGACGGTTCCGTCCACTCGTCCGGAGGCCAGGTAGTCGCCCTTGCGGTTAAACCTCAGCATCGTTGCATGGCCAGACCGGATCGTGCTGGTCATGCTCTCAGGATAATCCTGGAGGAGGTAGTCGTCTGAAAGAAGGAGATTCATCGTCGCGGTAACCGGGCTGGGGCCTCTCGAGAGTGGCAGAACGGCATGGTAGACGGGCAAACGCGACAAGGCTGCGAGGAGCTCCAGACGGCAGAGCAAAGAAGCGTCTCTCCTGCAAGGCTGACGAAAAGTTGCCCAGATTGCAGCCTATGCGCCACACGAGGGGTGCATCTAATGCTCCATCTCGAGGCGTGAGCCTAACGTGCAATTGAGAAGCTGATGCTCCACTGCGGGGATACGCTAGCATGACGCACAAGTAAATCGTACAGTAGGTTCGATATCTCGCTGCAACGGTCAAACAAGTACAAAGCTTTTCTTTGACAAAAGCTGAAACGCATTACAAACGCTCGATTCACAAGATGGCAAACTCAAAGTACGTTGCTTCAATTCCATGGCTCATGGTTGGTGAACTAACTAGGGGCTATTCTAGATTTGAATATGTTCGAAATTTTGAGCAGCCAGACTCCCTCATGCCCAATACTTGGATCGTAGTGCGCATCGATGGGAGAGGATTTACCAAGTAAAGGCGCAAAATGAAAGAGAATGATGTCCGTGGTGGTTTCTAACAGTTTTTACTCAAGAATGTGCGCCAAATATGAATTCGAGAAGCCAAATGACAAGAGAGCGCTGGATCTTATGAATGCAGCGGCCAAGGCAGTTGTGACTGATTTACCACAAATCGCCATTTCCTACGGAGTTAGCGATGAGTACAGGTACTATCCTCTTTTTACTTGAAACTCACAAGATCCTCCAGCCTGATATATCATAGCTTCGTCTTTCATAAGACATGCAACCTCTTTGAGAGGAGAGCAAGGTGCGAGACAAAGACCTGACCTACCCTGCATTCTGCACCAACTAAGAATTTGCAGCAAACTTGTTAGCACAGTTGTTTCTACGTTTACGGCAAACTATGTTTATCTTTGGTCGACATACTTTACGGACACTCCTCTCTCGTTTCCTCTCCCGACATTTGATGGTCGAGCTGTCTGCTATCCTACGGTGCAGAATCTCCGTGACTACATGAGTTGGAGACAGGCTGATTGTACGTTGACAATGACAAGATGGAATGAAGTTTGTGCTAATCAAGTAGGCCATATCAACAATTTATACAATACGGCCTTCTGGAAGCTAATACAGCTGGGAGGGCTTGATAACAAAGAGGCAGAGAAAACACTTGCTGTACGCGCTCCCTTTGATTGCCAAGATATATACTAACATGGTATCAGGGGACACTGGCTGCTGATAAGAATGAAATACTGTTTTCACGCTTCAAGATCAACTACAACAATGAACCAGAGATGTTCAAAAAGGGAAGCATAATATTCAGAGATGTGAGTTTCAAGCCACATTAAGATTGGTTCCACCTAGAACTGACAATTGTAGTATGAACTGGTCGAGCCTGGCAGTCATAATGAAGCTGCTGCTGCCGATGCCCTTGCGGAGCCAGCAGTGCAGTCAAAATCACAAGCGGAAAAGGATAAAAAGCGCAGAGCCAAGGCAAAAGTGGTCGTGGAACACTTGGACATCATCAGGGACGAATTCTGGGACAAGCGGCCTTGGATCCTATCTGGCAAGCCTGGCCGACCGGCCAATCCATCCAAAGAAATACAAACTTGAAACGCTCTCTATTTGGGTATCCCTTGCGTTTAAGGAGAAGAAAAAAAGAAGCCAAACTCCCTGCTAATGCGCCTAATATGAATCCCCCACTCTAGTATATTTATTAATTTTTCTCCTTTGATCCTTTTCGCTTGCGCTTTTCTTCCTTCCGCACACGTCTAAGGAGTTTCTCTTCTTTTCCACTACTACTAGAATCAGACGTATCTTTCTTCGCCTCGACTCTCCTCAATCTTCTCTCAGCCTTGGCCGCTCTTCTCAGAGCCCGGGCCTCTTTTCGCTTCTTTTTCTCTTCTTTTCGGATCCTCTTCTCCTCTTTGGTTTCCTTCTTGACCTTTGTAGACTTCGTTTCAGCTTTCTTATTGTCGCTGTTCTCCGAATCGCTGCTTGTCGAGTCGTCTGTCGACTCTACACTGAGTGTTCCTTCGAGAAACCCGCCTCGTACAAAAGAAGCGTAGACGGAGTATTTTGACACGTTCCCGCGATCTAGCGCGTTGAGCTTGCCGGTCTTGACGGTTTGCACGACTTGTCCTTTTTTGGAGGTATCGAGGCCTTTCAGCTGCTCATCAAAGGCGTTCATCCACCACATGTCGCTTGTAAAATGTTTTGTGTTGCCAAGACCCTTGGTGTTGGTCTTGCGATTTAGTAAAAGAGGCTTTGCGAGGCCAATTGAGTCGTCTGTCTTGTGTAGAGAATGGCCGGTTCCTCGCCACCCTTGGGCGGAAAGGAGCGCGTGCGCATCCATCGTATCAGAGTATTATGTGGCACAACTTCTGCACCAGGAGAAGAGGAGAGGAGAGAATAAGGGTGGTTCTACCGCTGGCGATAGCGCGACATGATCTTCGACAATTGGGAGCGAGAGTTGTTACACTTCAGACAGCGCTCATGGTTGGCTGCGTAAGAGAAAATGGCGAATTTTCTAGCGGGGCCAATGCTTATCAGCGTTTATCGGATACGCTAGCCTAGACAAGCAGGACTTTTAGCTGACAGTGGGACGCTGGGAGGGTTCATAAGCCTAATTATTATATCTCGTGTTAACTCTTCTACCTCTGGGTGGTCTAGTTGGTTCATGGCGTCTGACTGTAATGGATAACATCTCATCAGAATGTCGGCGGTTCGACTCCGTCCCCGGAGAGATATCTCTACGGAGAAGAGTTACATTTTTTTTATTTGAGATTTTTGCATGCCAAGGGTAGCGACAAGTTTTTTAATTTTTAATTTTTTTTCTCTTCTTCTTCTTGAATGAGTCTGAACCGTGGTGAGACAGATTTGAAACAGTGCATCTACCCGCCCAAAGGTATACTCTGGTACATCTCTATGCCCAGCGAACAACAAACTGCGGGATCTATACCAATACATAGCAGGTTTATGTGGGCGTCTGGTTAGTGGCAAATATACTGCTCTGGCTCACTAAATATGGTCCCGATGTGCAACTCGACTGCAATGCGGTCAGCAATCTCACTTTCGCTTTGACATACTTCGCCGTAACATCCGTACTCAAAATCATTTTCTAGCCTGTTGGATCGCTTTGATTCAGTTCTTTGTCATTATTGTTGTCCTTTTCCATAGCCGCTCGTTACCTCTGCATGTCATTTGTACCGTCTTGGCTGAAGGATTCGATGACCCGACAACATCCAATCAAGCTCGGTGACGTGTAACATACCTACGCTACCAGGCAGGCATTTGTACTTAAACTCGAGCATTACATGCAACTCGCCATCTTGCGGCAGCGAAGAAAGTCTGGGATTTAAAATAAAATCTATCCAAACAAAACCAGCCTCATCTGTTGAAGCACCCAAAGAACCATTGCAAAGGATAGTTATCTCACTGTTCTTCACGATGGCGCCTCTATGCGCAGATCCGCGCCAGATCGTGATTGCCCTGAATCCCGCCAGGCGAAAAGCGCTGCTATCTCTTGTTCAGGAAATCATTTCGCGCATGATCTTTGAGCTGGAGACTCATCCCGACGAATTGGGGTCCATCGCACCAGAGGACGAAGGCAATAGAGACGATGAATCGGCCTCTCCAGATCTGTCTGAAAAAGCTGGGCGCTCTCCATCTCAAGGCGGCAGGACTCAGAGCTTGTCACTGCAGAAGGTAAAGACTACCAAAGAAGCAGAGAAGGTTCTAGGGGCGGCATTGGCGTACACGCTGGCGTGGCGAGATGAAGTCGTGTCCAAGCTTGAAGAGATTGTGAACGTGGAAGAGACCAACAAGATCACAGCCGAGAGGAAGACTCGGCGTGAGGCTTTGGACAAGAAGAAGTTGGATATGCCCAGTAACGATCGCTTTCTCGTTGATGTGGATGGCATGCCTGTTGATGAAACAGAGGATGTTTCCATGCTGCAGTCGGCGTATAAGCCGATACCCACCAAGTTGACAACCATCCCCATTGAGGATCGAGAAGAAGCCCTTAGCTGCGTGCTGCTGTTGCTTCTCTCTACAGGGAAATACTCAGCTCACTCTCGTGCCTTGGTGCTTTATCTAGCATCATCGCTGGGGATTTCTTCAACGTTCCTTAACAAGGAGGAAGCAGAAATCGCCATGTCGCTCATGGAGTCCTCTACAGCTAACAACGACACAAAGGAAGCCATGTCTGCAGACGCTGAGGCTGCTAAGCGCAAACAACAGAACAAGGCCAGTCGTTTCTGGAAAGTCGGGCTGGCATCTGTAGCTGGCGCTGCAGTTATTGGAATTACCGGAGGCTTGGCCGCTCCTCTTGTTGCCGGAGCGATTGGGGGTGTCCTTGGAGGCGTTGGTCTAGGAGGCGTTGCAAGCTTTCTCGGTATCTTTTGGATGAACGGGGCTTTGGTCGGAACTCTTTTTGGAGCTTATGGCGCCAAGATGACTGTAAGTTTAAGGGGTGTTTTTTTTTCGATCGGAGGATCATGATATACTGACCTGGTTCTTCTTTTTCAGGGCGAAATGATGGATAACTACGCGAAGGAGGTCGAAGATTTCAAATTTCTTCCTCTCAGAGAAGAGTCTACAACAGGTGACCCGGAGGAAATTACAAAAGAGCAAAAAGAACAGCGTCGTCTCCGCGTTACTATTGGGATCAATGGTTGGCTTAACACAGAGGATGATATCAAGAAACCCTGGCGCACTCTGAGCACCGACACCGAAGTCTTTGCTCTACGCTACGAGATGAACGTTCTTCTTAAACTGGGCACCGCACTAACCGACCTTGTCCGTTCCGTTGCCTGGAAGGCTTTCAAAGCAGAAATTATCAAGCGGACCTTGCTGGCGACTCTCTGGGCTGCCCTCTGGCCGATTCAAGTCTTGGCTGTTGCTTCCAACGTTGACAATCCGTTCAACCGTGCTCACAACAGATCTCGAAAGGCTGGGCAGCTGCTGGCCGATGCACTCATCAACAAAGTCCAAGGCGAACGGCCCGTCACTCTCATCGGCTATTCTCTCGGTGCTGCCACCATCCATGCTTGTTTACAGTCTCTGACCGAACGTCATGCCTTTGGTCTGGTCGATACGGTTGTCCTCATCGGCACTCCAGCCCCTTCTGACTCAGCTCACTGGCGCACAATCCGGCCTGTTGTCTCAGGAAAGATCTTCAACGTCTACTCTGAGAACGACATGGTCCTGGGCTTCGTCTACCGAATGCACAGCCTCGCTCTCGGAGTCGCCGGCCTGCAGCCCATCAAAGACGTCAACGGGATCGTGAACGTGAATTTGAGCGATAGCGTCAGCGGACATCTCCGATATCCCTCCCTCACGGGCGAGATCTTGCACAAATGTGGCTTCGTAAACGTCAAAGCCGGAACGGAAATCGAAACGGAGGAGGACGTAATCCAGATGAATGACAAGGAAGCTGACCTTCTCGACTTCAACGAAGGATATGATGACCACTCCAAGGCCGTAGATAAGTCTGCCGAGTCTCTTCAAGGCCTGACAATTACGCCTCCGGCTCTTTTGCCAAGCTACGAAGCCGCCAACAAGCCTACAATCTCCAGACGACCTGTCGGTGGGTCTGGACCAGAACCTTCGCGCCCTCCTCCTCGAACGGCGGAATCTGTACCTCCTATTGAGATGCATGACGAAGATGAGATTCCTCCACCTCTACCCAGGCGCCAGACAGTTCCCTTACAAGAGGTTCGAATCCCTCGACGCCCAGTTCCGACCAAGACTGAGGAGCCGGCCAGCCCAAAAACACCACTGACTCCGCAGTACGACTCCGATGATGAACGCCACGGGTCTATTATGATGGTGGACAGGGACGGTGATGATGACTGATATAAATTTACCAACTCATAGATAGTCTCGAATTCATCTTATGTAGACTTTGCAAAGGCACATGTGCAAAAGCTAGGCAGGTATTTAGAAGAACTCGACTACTAGAAAGTTAACCTGCTGGAAGAGGACCCAAACATGAGTCCTTCACTTTCTTTCAAGACACCCGCAGAAGGGCATAGTACACAGTCATTATCCATTGAATAGGCTTTGCTCAAGTTTTTGCATGCTAGTTATCAAACAAGAGGACACCGCCGCTACAAATACTTTTGTATCCTTTAACGCCACCCATAGTAGGTACTATATACACAGACTAATATCTACCTTATAAACCCATCCCTCCACCTGCCCATGCCGGAAAGGCATCTTCGGGATTTATAGGATTGCCTTGCTGCTGTCTCTGGTTCTGGCGTTCTCCTTCGACGTTCTGGGCATGCTGTTGCTGCATCCTCTGTCTCCACCACAGTAGGAGGACAAGAGCTAGCGTGATGCCTATGATGAGAGTGCTCTCAACGACGCCATCCAAGATATCTTCATCGTCATCCCCGAGAGTCCCGTCGTACATATCATCAAGATAGTCATCCTCGTAAGGAAGTCCCTCGTCCTCCAAGAAGTTGGTTATCCACTCGGAGAGCGACCAGTCTTTCTTCTTCTCTGTAGAAGTTGTTAGCATCAGCTCTCTAATCTTCAGCCATTTTTTCTGATAGACTTACTCGGCTCGTCTTGGATAGAATGGACAGGGCCATTCGTCAGAGTATTCCAAGCGCTTCGTATCCGAAGTTTTAACAGACCAAGAGTGACGGGGAGATACGCTTCATCGTTGACAGCCAACGCGTGATCGTAGAACCGCTTGGCGAGATGGAAATCTTGTGTCAGCCCAATGCCATTCTCATGCATCCATCCTAGGTTGAAAAGTGCCTGGGCGCTCTGCGAATAATCAGAAGCACCGGTATAGCACTGTACCGCTTTACCGATATCTTGGTCAGTGCCAATGCCATAAAAGTAGTAATCGCCCATTTTTACGAGTGCATCAATGTTGGATTGTCTTGATGCTCGTGTCCAGTAAATGAGCGCCAAGGCAGGGTTATCCAAGAGACCAGACTTGTCGTTCCGCTTACGCAACAACTCAGATATCGGCAACTTGGATCGGACAGTATCGAGGATCCATGCAACGTTAGTTTGCGCCCTCTCGTATCCCTGCTCGGCAGCTAAGAGATACTCCAGGAACGCCAGATCATAGGCTTTGACTTCGTATGCATCGTTCGCATCTGCCCACGACGATACAAGAGGCTCTGCTTTTTCAGCTACGCTCTTGTAGTAGCTCAGCGCCATGCTGCAAAGCTTTTCGCGGCCCACGCCATGAAAAACCAGTTCTGCCAGGTAGTAATTTGCCTCAATGTTGCCATAACGAGCGGCCAGCTCAAAGTAGTTGTTCGCGATCCGAACATCCTCCTGGCCGCCTTGGTCGAGATAGAGTTGGCCCATTTGGACCTGCGCAGGAGCATAATCATGATCAGCAGACACTCTGAACAGCTCCACAGCTTTCGCAATATTCTCTTTGACGCCATAGCCGTGCAGGTACATCAGTCCTAGTCCGTATCGCGACAGCGCATCAGCTTGTGAGGAGCCACGATCAAACCAAACCTTTGCTCTGTCGAAATTCTGAGGGACTCCATCTCCCCTCAGATACATCTTGCCAAGATAGCCAGCTGCCTTGCCAGCTAGCTTGTCAATACCAGCCTTGGCATTTTCTACGGGGCGTCCATCTTTCTTCCAATATCTTGAGGCAACCAGAAGAAAGTACTTCCTGGCTAGGTCAAAGTCGTTGTCTAGTCCTCTTTGGCCCTCATAATAAATCTGTCCCAGGTTGAGTGTAGCTTTCGAGTCACTTTGTTGGGACATGAGATCTAGATATTCAATGATATCGCCAATAGCAGCGTTGGCGTCTGAGTTGACTCTAGGCTTGAACGCGTTCATGCCGGCACTAGAAGCGCTCGCGCCTTCTCCATACAAACCTCCAAAGTCGTCTGCGATGCGCCATGACTGAGCAATCCATGCCATCCCGCCTGGTGGACCAGAACGGTACCAGTCTATAGCTTTATCCGCCACGCGCTTGTAGTACTTGACGGCAGTTTCACAACTCTTAGTAGTTCCGATTCCTGCTAGATGCCGGAAACCAGCAGCCATTTCAGCTCTTGTATCTCCTCGAACGGCGGCAAAGGTGTAATAGAGAAGCGCCTTGGCTTGATCTTGGGGAACAACACCACCAATGCCAGTTGAATAGTATACTCCAAGCATGTACTGTGCCGTAGTATTTCCATGGCTGAATGCCAGTTGTTGGTAGTGCTTAAAGGCAGCACTGAGGTCCCTGGGGTGGCTATAGTTGCCAAAAAAGTTGAAGTCGGCAAGCATGTATAATGCATCGGAATTGTTCTGTTGAGCTGCTTGTTCAAGTAGCTCTACTGCATTGACAAGAGGACCGCTAGTCGCCGTGGCCTTGGGTTGCGATGGTGCGATGACTGGGCCGGTCGGGATAGTTCTGAGGAGCAGACGTAGAGCTGAGCTGAATATGCCCGATGACTCTCGCTTCCTTCGCGGTGGTACAGGTATCTTTCGAAGCTCGGCGAGCGCAGCGTCGACAAGGTCGCTTCCTGCTGCCAAGTTAGCCCATCTGTTACGCTTCTATACTGACAAGTGACAGCGTACCAGGCTGTACAAAGGCAGCACCATCCTGCTCTGCTCCAACATCTAGAAACGATTCGACGGCATGTTTATCGGCGGCAGTTTGCGCTGATTTGTCGTTTTGGCTGCCAAGAGGCTTTTGGTCGTGTGAACATACCACCGCTGTGGCCTGCGCAAGCACTGAGACCACCATGTGAGCTTTACATGGTGCAACTGATGATGCGGCAGAGGGCACTCACGGAAGACACAGGCTATCCAGCCTCTCATTTTGGGCAATTGCTATGTGCCTATATTCGAAGGGACAGCCCACAGCATGGCTATCGCATAAAGACTGAAGTTTAAGCAGCGAACATGTATGTGTCGCACGATACTGCGTCAGAGCCAGGTCCCTTTGCGATCGTACAAGCTGTCCACTACTCGCAATAGTCAGCTTCCGCTACCTGTTAATGGATGACTAAGCAAAGCTCTTTGTCAGGAACTGGCGTCATCGCCAAAACCTGGCACGTGTTCAGCGAAACTAACAGCTGGGATTCTCTGCAGCTATATAGACAGGAATACTGGATATCATGCTCCTCTCCAAGATATTCGCATTTATTTCAATTCAGTATCCCACCAAGCCATGAGCTCTCGCGCTCGTCACCAAACTTACATGCACAGAGAAACGCAGGATCAAACAACAAGGTCCAGCGGTGTGGGGCTGGTGTAGCCAATGTCTCCCCAGAGTCTTCGACTTAGGTGCTGACTTGAGCGCTGAAGCCTGTAAGTGGCAGCACCCGACAGGTACTAGCGACAATTGCTGCCTGTAGCTTACAGCGCTAACGCCGCCACTTTCCAGCCTTTACGCGTTGAAGTGCCAGGGCTACAGCGCTGCAGCGCGTTAATGGCTGGCCCGCGTCTTGCAACACGCGCTACCTCGCAACTTCCACCACCCTGCCATCAGCTAGCCCAGCCATCTTGCTTGTATCACGAAGATCTTTGCACACAGCATTTCAATCCCATTCTGCTTATATTTTCTAGCTCCTTATTCTCGCTACCTCTTGCATATACACTTGTACAACTACGCTTGGTCAATTGGATATTGACCACTCATCTACACAGAGTGGCTGCCACTGTTGGCTTACGGTCTGCTATTACTGTCTATTCGCTCTCTCGACTGCTCACCCGACGAACTCCACTTCTCCACAACTCTCAATTCTGCACAATGTCAAGTCTCAAGAGAAAAGCGGCGGCAACAGGCAACGAGACTGAGGCAAAGAAAACAAGGGCCAACGGTAGCATTTCTTCCTTCTTTGGTGCTGCCCCAAAGCCTGCTGGTGCTGGTGCCGCCCCCTCTCCAGCGACCAAGTTTGACAAGGCAAAATGGGTTGAAGGCTTGACTGCCGAGCAGAAAGAGCTGCTCAAGCTCGAAATTGATACTCTTCACGACAGCTGGCTGGCATTGCTCAAGGATGACGTGACTACAAAGGAGTTTCTCGAATTGAAGAAATTCTTGAATCGTGAGACGGCTGCTGGCAAGAAATGGTTTCCGCCAAAGGAAGACGTGTACTCTTGGTAGGCTATCCCGGATTACCCAATTACCTCCTGTATCAGGTCGTCTAACAACTTCAGGTCTCGTCATACGCCATTCAACGAAGTCAAAGTCGTCATCGTCGGCCAAGATCCCTACCACAACGTGAACCAAGCCCACGGCATGGCCTTTTCCGTTCGACCGCCCACCCCGGCGCCGCCATCGCTCCGAAATATGTATATTGCTTTGAAGAAGGACTATCCTAGCTTCGTTGAGCCGGCGAACCGAGGTGGTTTGTTAACACCATGGGCAGACCGGGGCGTGCTGATGCTCAATACATGTCTTACTGTTCGTGCACATGAGGCCAATTCACATGCCAATCGCGGCTGGGAGCGGTTCACGCAAAAAGTAATTGACCTCGTTGCTCAAAAGCGGACGCGAGGCGTGGTCTTCATGGCATGGGGAACACCAGCCAGCAAGCGAGTGCAGCGAGTGGATAAACAACGCCACCTGGTGCTCCTCAGCGTTCACCCTAGCCCACTCAGCGCATCCAGGGGATTTTTTGATTGTGGTCATTTCAAAGCTGCAAACGAATGGCTCATTACTAGATATGGCGATGATGGGGAGATCGATTGGGCCCTGAAGCCCGGAAATACAACCAAGAAGCTTGTCAAGGAGGATGCCAAAGAGGATACCAAAGAAGACGACAAAGAAGATGCGGAACTAGTAGCAAATGGAAATGCAAAGGGCGCAGATACACCAGATGACTCACCAGAGAAACCAAAAGAGAGTGCAAAGGCCAATGGAGCGCTCAAAGCGAAGAGCGAAGAAGACGACATCGATTCCGATGACGAGGCTGCGTTGGAAGAAGCCCTTAAACTTGCAGAAGAGCAAACCAAGAATTAAGCATAATACCATAGGAGAGTGGAGGGAAATGGTTACGATCGGAAAGAAAAGCAACGATTGGATATGATGGTATGTTTTAAATACGTTTAAGCTACAAATGATAGCAACTTGGGTATACTACTTTGGAAGCGTCGGCAGACGCAGGTTCAGGGCACATCAGATTGAAACATAGGGAATTTCGCAATACATCATGGATTTTACGGTTATGAAGCTCTTGGTGGACCACTGCATAGTACTACGCTGTAGCTGCCCACGATGTATTTCTACCTGAAGAGCATAGATGCTTGCTGCCGCATAGCTAAAAACTAATCGCTTCCGCGGTATCCATGGACAATTTCGCTCTTGGTATCAATGGTGGCTCGCTGCCGGTATGCCCGTACTAGCTAGGACCATTTGACTATTTCGCATCAATGCGTCTATCGCTTATTAGGCCTTGGTTGGGCAAGAATGCAGGGGTTGAGCTGGTGGGAAAGCTCAGCTGTACGTTTAGCGCTCTATAATATGCGGCTGAACTGCGTGTGCCATGGCTGGGATGTCGGCAAGCTGGCAGCCCTGGCATAATCAACCATTGGTAATACCGGTTGCAATTAGCATAGAGTGCTCACTGTCTCTTTGCAGATATTAATTAGTACGTTGTTATGTGGTACTGTTACCAGCATTGCCAACTATTACCACTGCAAGACAGGCTGCGGCTGGAATGGGTAAATTCACAAGATAAGATAGAATCTTCTACGCCTTAAGAATTATACAGCAGTATATGAAAGCTGCTTGGCCAATAAACATGAAACCTTGCGTCTTGATAGGGCGGGCTACTCGCAACTATTGTACGAAGATGGAAGCTGGCCTCTGACAGCCCTACTAGCAATTGATGATAGGCTGAGGACTCGTTTCACAAGATCCTAGCGCAAGCAATTAAACAATATCGTCTGTAGTGGCCCAAGCTTGCCCAACCCCTGCTTCGTATGATTTCATGGGCCACGAGCTCTCTCGAGGGAGCCCAAGTCAAGCGCTCTCGGTGCATGTGCTCCGCCTGGAGAAAGCTTCCTTTGGGCTGCGAACGGATTACATGCAGATCAGATACCCGACTCAGGCGGCATAATATTGGGGCAACATCCGCAACGGCTCTGTGATCTGTAAGACAAGGAAGCAGCCGCGGACGAAACAGACTTGGTGTGCATATAGCCCTGGCATATTGTTGCGTATGGGCATTAGTGTATCTGATACGTGCGGTAATCTGCGTGCGATTTGCAAGTGCCAAACACCAGGCCACATATCCGTACGAGTTTGGATCTTGAGTACTAGCAAAGTTGAGTGAGATCTGCTTATTTGTAGCGAGCATTCACTGCTGCGACGCCCGATTGATGATTTGTCCGTGCTCATTTAAATTTCAGGGTTAGCTCCCGGGGCGCCCATGTCTGGGGCCAGCTATTGGCGCTGAGAGGCAGCAAGAGCGCCACTGCTGCGAGCTCTGTAGTGGCAGCTCGTGGTGGGTTTAGCGCACTTAGCGTCTTGCCGTTACGGGACACACACCCGCTATCGCGCTATCACACCAGCGGCCCCCCACCACTTGTTGCTGAACGCTGTAGCCACTGCCGCCGCCTCCAGGCACAAGCATCAATTGATCGGTGCTCAATCTTTCTTGCGATGCCGCTCCACCGCGTGCTCGCCTCGAACAGGCCCAGTTCATCAAGGTTGCAGCCAAGAGGCCTCGTACATGTGCGAGGGACCGGCTCGGAGCGCCATGCCCAATCGTTCCACCAGACTCGAGCGCCTGCGTCGAGAACATTGAACGCTGTGAGCCAGCGCCCAATTGGGCCGGTGACATCAAGCGTTCAATGGCTGCACCAACGACCAGAGAATCAACCCCCAGGCATTGCAATTGGTGTGATAGACACCTTGGCCCAAAAGCGTCTGGTCCTTCGCCCAAGTACCTCGCAGCGCTGTGTTCGCCGCAGCAGTACCTGCGCGCCCCCCAGCTGGCGCACCACCAGACACTTTAGCATCTAATCTTAGTCGCATAAAGACCCGTAGTAGACCGGCCCCTGGCTTGGACGTGTCGCGCCCCTGAAGGCGACGAGCAAAAAGATTCCTACCACCGCTTTCTTTGCCATCTCCAGCAAGCGAAATCAACTTCTTCCTCAGCGTGCGGGACGGCGTGTCTCTTCTCGAGCATCGTGAGCCTATTTTGTGTGCGCGCGCTGGTTGCTTCCCCTCGTTGAGCTTCACCTTCGTCTTCAACAAGTGCCCCTCCTTACCTTCTTCTCTTTCCTATCGCCTCTATTTTACTTCTTCGAAAACTCCCCTTTGCCGTCACGGCCGAGTTACGGAACTTTCCACGAAAACATTCGCTGCGCGAATTGATCCATTTATTCTTTATCTCATTGTTTAAGCGAGTGGAGTGATTTGGTATCTCGGCAGGTTCAGTTGCGCTACGCCTGGACCCTCGCCTGAGATTCGGTATTGCTCTTTTCTTCTTCTTCTTTTATTTTTGTTCGCGGTGCCTTTAAAATATCCACCGCTTCTTGACGGCCTGAAATCGAACACTTCTACTCAATTTCTGATCGTTGATCACATCGCTGAAAATGCCTGGCATCTTCTCACGCCGCAAAAAGGACGGCAAGTCCAAGAAGAATGGGCTCGACGACTCTACGGATTTGGTCCTGCAGAAGCAGAAATGGGACGATGCTTGGACCCGCAAGACGGTTGAGCCCGAGGAAGTTCGAGAGCTGCTGTACGGCTGCACTGAAGAGCTCAAGAATCGAGGTAGGATATCAGCTATTACCCAATCATCGTCATATAGTCTTCCATGGCTTGGGAGCCTCGTATACGCATAATTGTGGACTAACATTATCGCTATAGGCCTCGACCACCCGTTCTTTCTACTCCCATTCCGACCGACGTCGAACCCGAGTGCTGTGCGGACCTTTATTCGAAATTTCTTCAGCCAAGATCCCCCGATTAGCGGCGAGCTGCTGCTCCAAGAGCTGCGCATGACGGATCCCATGGTGTGTTTTCCCAGTGTTTACGGTTGGGACAAAATACTTACACCTGGCATAGGTTATCTCGGGAGTAGCAAAGTGGTGCTGGAGTCGTCTCCAAGGAGGCCTAGTTGGCTGGGATGCGTATGAGTTGTTCAAGGTTGGTGAACGAGGTATGTGATATTATACAGCCAATCAATGGCGGCTTCCAAGACCTCTGTGTTCACGTACTGATTTGGGAATCGACCTAGACTCGAACATGGCCCGCGATTCGTTCAAAACCTTTATTCCTCTCAGCGTTGAAAATGCTGCGCGCCAACAGATCATCTTCGATTTCTTCAGCTTGATAGCGGCAGTGGCGGCGCATGGCAAGAACAACGGCTTTGGTGGGCGCAAGCTGTCTCGTATGGCTTCATGGTGGGCCTTTGAGCACAACGATACTGGCAACGGCTTCGATGGTGGCTATGGGTCTTGGCTAAGGTACGACAAGCTCTCCAGGCTGAGTATGAAGTATAGGTACAGAATCATGCTAACCGTGCTTCTAGTGCTGCCGATGCTACTAGCCATCTGTTTTTCGCTTATCTGCGATCGCTTTCCCCCGAACAAAACCCTACAGGAATCACCATGCTGCCAAGGTCGCTCCAAAAGCTTCTCCAAGAGACCGAATACCCTCCCCAGAGGCCGGAGCTGCTCATGGTCAAGACCAAAAAGGTGGCCATGATTGTTGAAAATGTTTCGCCAACGCCATTTGCTTTGTTGCGCAGAGCAAACCACTTTCAATATCGCGACTCCGACAGAGAACTCCAGGAATTCTCCAGCTACGAAGACCCCGTGGAGGCGCTTACGGACGAATGCCAGCGAGTGCTCAAAGCAATTTCGTCAACTAATCAATCGCAAGTGTCTAGTATAAAGCACTCTACCGGCCTACGAGATGCTAGCTGGTCCAGATTCGAAGATATTGGATTTGCTAGCTCTCTAGAAGAGGAAGACGACGGCGAGGGAAGTGCTATACCAAACAAAAGAGTCCAACAACTTAGGCAGTTTCAAGGTCTCCGCGGCAGCCCATTATCTGGTGGTAACGGCGTTGCACGCCCGACAACACCTTCGTGGGCGGATTTCCTGTCTGCCGGCTTTGTTGATGATAACCAGTCCAGGCCCAACTATCTTCTGCCGCCTGATAAAATTCTTCCACCTCTGTCACCGGATGGTCGCCATAGTTCCCAGTCCCACTATCCAAGACTTGAGAGCGAACAGGATGTCGAGCCGGGAGAGCTTGCAAGTATCAGGGTGGTTGACTTGGATGATGCTTTCTGGTGGGTATGGATGGCCAGTCTTGCGCCTGAGGAGACTCCCGAAAGAAAGTCAGCTTTTGGCCGATGTGCTGTAATTGAAACGCAAATTCATAGCAGCCGATGGCTTGTCATGGAAGAGCTCATCGCAGGTGCGGCCCCCGGTGCCCAAGAAGGAGCGTATATTGCCGAAAAGAAGGGTTTGTTCTCCTGGGGTAAACGCTCCAAGACCATTTCCAAGCGCAAAAAGTCTCTTGACAAGAACGACAAGAGTGCGACGGCGAACAAGAACGATAGCAAGGCCAGTATCGGGCCCGATGCGCATGCGAAGATTCAAGCAAAGGCCGCCCAGCTGAGGGCTCAAAAAGACCGAGAAGAAGAGCAGCGCATACAGGCTACTCCTCGTCGCGGTCGTACCGATGCTGAGCTATTGGCTGAAAAAACTAACAGTGTTTTCACCCTCCAGCCTTTGATTGTGGGTGAAGCTTCTTCGGCAATGAAATGGGTCAAGAGTTACGACAAGGGCACCATCAAGGATATCTATATGGCCCATGACGAAGCGGGTCGAGGAACAGCTTTTAGCCCTTCGCAACCTGAGCTTATCGTGAACCAGGAGCCCGTTGATGCTAATCTTCCTTCTCCCTTGGTTCCTCCAAAGGACAATCACTTGACGCCAGCTGCCTCACCTTTGCCTCATGGGCACTCCGCCTTATCCTTGGTACCAGAAAATGCCTTGGAAGAGGCGCGATCGCGGTCTCCTCTCCCAAACAATGCTGAAACTCCTGTGCCTCCCGCTCATGAGCCTAGCCTGCCAACACCACCCAAAGATGAGCCTGCTGCTCGAGTGATGTCGCCTACTTTTGATGGGAAAGCCTCATTAGATACCCCACGGAGTCCCGAGCCGGCGAAGCAGCAAAAGACCAGCGGTTTCCGGAAGCTGTTTGGCCGCAAGAAGCGCAACTCGAAGAATCTTGATAATGTTACTACCGATCTGAACAAGATGCTTGAGCAAAATGCTAAGAAGTCTATCGAGCAGCCAATGGCCAGCCCTGCTGTTGTCTCACCGGTTGAGCCAGAAACTCCTGTCGAAGCAGCACCTGCTGGAGAGCCGGTTTATGAGCCAATTTACGACCAACAGGCGGAGGATATTGACGCTCACGCTGATGCCCAAGACGAGAATCCTGGAAGTGCACACGACTACTCAAGATTTGATCAAGGCCCTCTGGATGACGTACCAGCTTTTATTCCGGAGGAAGATGACGAAGACGAATTTGAAGATGCCGTCCCGCAACCGGTTGCTCATTCCACCCGTCCTGAGCTGCCTCACCATGAGGCCCCAGAGCCTCCTAGCCACGAAGCCCCAGAGCCTCCTCGCCAAACTCCCAAGAACATCTCAAGGCTACCTGTCAAAGAGGGCGCCGTGGCGGGCCAGGGCGGTGGCATTCAGGAGAGATGGGCCCAACTTCGCAAAGCGAGCGAGCGACCTCCTCCTCGCCAAGTGGAAGTTCCCTACGCGAAACCTACGAGGCCTGCTGATGGCGATGAAACCAGCGGAGAAGAGAGTGAGTACTAATAGCTGCACCCCTTATTCACAATACATTCTAACTGTGCTTTTTGTAGCAATCGAGTCTCGTGTCGCACGTATCAAGGCTCGGGTTGCAGAGCTAACTAACAACATGGAAGGCACATCGGTGCCTCTCCGCAACCCATAACTGAGTGGCCAAGCTCAAGCAAATCTAACATATCTATAACATCTCCTACCTAATGTCAATAACTCTCGAACCTACAGTCTGCCGCAATTTGATACCACTCGCCGTTATAATCAGAGGCACGATGCTATGCGCAGCGTTTCATTTTTAATACTAGTCGATTCTTTCTCTCTTCATCACTCGATTTATTTCTTGCAAATTTTGTATGATACCACCGGAAAGCTCAATGGATGATGTGGGGGGTCTTAAAAAAAAGCCGGTGTGGGAAACGACCATATCTATTATTACCCAAAACACCACGCGCGGTTCCAACATCTTTATCTGAACATTTGCAAAGAAACAAAAAAAGAGGCCCACGAACAGTGTGCCGAGGAAGTTCAAGCATTTGGAATTCGCCTTTGATCTTCCCCTTCTTTCTCCTTTCTCTATCTCCTTTCTCCAACTCGGAACAAAACTGCCTGTCATATTTCCTTCTTTTCTTTTCTCAAGTTTTCTCTTCTCTTTTCTTTACAGAGTTTTCTTGTTTTATGTTCGCAAGGATGAATACATCGGAGAATTCCATGTGAAGATGGAATATCATGAATGTTGCTTGACACATACTCCTTTGAGGCTATCGACGCCTGATATATAGAGCCTGCAAATGCAAGAAGAACTACTCTCGCTTAATACAGATTTTGGCTGATCCGTGACTCGTGACTCGTAATTCGTGACTCGTGTTTTTAAGACCTTGAAATGGACTGAGAAAGGTGGTGGCCAGTGTAAGAATGTGCAGCCCGATACATACGCAGAAAGGAAGAAAGCGCTTCATAAACAAGTGATGCCACATGCTTATCAGCCTGTACTATGGTGTCTCATTGTGCTTCTTTTTTTCTTTTGTGAAATCAATACCCGTGCTATAATGCTCTACTCCCAGACCAAACTCCCTTCGCCATGTCAGCGGCTCCAACAACTTCTATTTTCCCAATTTCTAAATCAACTATTGCTCGATTATGAAGCTGCGGCGAACGTGGGGAAGCAGTCGGTCAGGCCCTTGCTGTGCTTGTTTTGGGCGTGCTCCAGAAGACTAATTGAAGGCAGTAACAGTTAGTCAATTGCTCAAATGAGTATATAATGGATTCGAGAAGAGAGGAGGAGGAGGTTATCGTACGCAGGGGCCTTTGTGGTTTTCAGGAATGTCGACTTGCAGATCTGGCACTGGATGTCCATGGCCTGCTGGTTCTGTACGAAGTTGGTTCGGTCAGTCGAGGTTGGACGGCGAAGAAACAGGCTGAATCATGGCAAAGTATAGAAACGTACGACTTTGAGCTGAGACTTGGCAACTCCTTTGTCCTTTGCGTTGCGTTCACGCTTCTGCTGAGCTTTGGCGCCCTGGATAAGACAACGTTAGCGATGATCGGCGAGAAACAATGGAGCGCATGGGAGTTGGCGGGAACCAATGTCTTACGTTGCCCATTGTGATGGATTTAATGTGGAAAAAAGAGTCGGAGAATAGAGGAAAAATGTCCTTTGTGGAAAAGAGGATTGCTCGAATACAGCAGTCAAAGTGTGTTTTCTGTGCAGCAACTTTTACAAAGAGAGGCAAAATAATCTCCTTAAGCGGTGTTACGAAAGTTGAGGCGATGCCGAATGGAGCCATAGATAGTGATAGCGATAAGCGCTTAAGAGGAAAATTTGCAGAGGCGCTTCGGCATAATGGCGCGCGCAGTCAGGTGAGCGGGTATAAGTCCGAGCTGCAGGACGAGTAGATGGGTGCGTGTAGCTTTGATAGGCTGTAATGTGATTCACTGACTACATGTGTCCATGTTGAATGAAGATGTGAAGCTGGCATGTTGTAAGGCTTCAATGATCATTTACACGTTTTGGTATGATAAATTCAACATGTAAAAACACAAGCATTGTTCCACTTGCTCTTATTGTTTGTAAGCTGCGGAATGTTGCAGGGTAGTGGTATTTACTGACGCCAACTTGGAAGTGCATTGGAGTTGAGCTCGGGAGTTTTGATCCTTGTTGTAAATTTGTTTTCCCACTTTTCCATTTATTTTTTTCTACTTTTCAAGTCTACCCAGCTTCTGGTTTCCTTTCGCGGACTTGCTCGTCTTACTTTGTGCTGACCGTTAAATTGAACTTCAATACTTGAAAAGCCACATTGAATCCTGAGCTAGTATATGTGAGATATAAGATGTAGTGGTAATCTATAATTGTCTCCGCCCGTATACCCTCGTTCTCTAACAAATCTTAAACTCAGTTGTTCAATTGTGCAAAGTATGAGTAGCCCTAGATACGTAAGTAAGTAAACAATATTTAGGAGAAGAAAATAGCCATGCACCTGTCCAAACATAAAGTAGTATCCATGTGCATGCGTGGAACGGTGGAAGAGCAACGACGACTTGGTTTATCATCTTGGCTAGGATTTCGTTTCTATATGCAGATTTTTGTCTATGCTATCCAGGATTCGCTTGGCTTCTGATAATGCGACCTGTCAAAAGTTTCGACTGCCGGGAGTCCGCATTTCTATGCCGTCGTCTATCGCAGAAGGAGAAGATTTATATTGTATTTGTAACGATAAGTGGTGGTTTGCGCATCAAGCAATGACAAGGCTTTCGAGTTCTTCTCGGTCATATATAAGTTGTTTTGACCGACTACAATCTCAAACATTATGGCTACCCAAAATGATCAATATCTATGAAGCATATTTGGGTAGGGGGGGGTTTCTTCTAGCGAACCTTGTTATGTGTGTCATCCATCATTAATAGAAGGAGACCCCTATTAAATGGCTCATGCAAGAGGATAAGGTATCTGTCAAGCCGCCATTTAGCTTGTCGTATGTTGTAGTTGATTGTGCCTTAGAGTTGATTTCCGTAACTAGGATCAAGTAACGCAGTAATACTGTTCAGGGGCCTGGAGGCCACGCCCAGGAGTGCATGGCAATTAAGGCCTCGGATTGGATGACATGAAAGAAAAAAGAGGAAGAAAACAGATCAAAAGGGGGGAAAAAATGAGACGGCTCAAGAATCAGGTATAGGGAAAGCGAGCACGAGCATTGTGACGCAAGAGACGTGCGATCTAATGACACATCGTTATCTTCTGAAGTATTGTCATTATTGGACGCCGGCGCAGCGAGGCTACCTGCATAAATGCTCTACGAGCTTCCATTACTTTCCATCCTTACATGGACTGGAGAAGAGCATAAAGTCTGCAGGCTTTCTTTTCTAAGAATTAAGTGCGGCGACATTTTTCACAAGGATACGTTGTTAGAGGGCGAGACACTTGCACATTCCTCTGTGATGTATCAAGGGTCTCCCCCCCCCCCCTCTTTGTAGCTTTTGATCATAGTACAAATCTTCGAAACCAGTAAACTGAAGACAATCCAGGTTCACATGGAAGGCATACAAGCCCAGCTGGTTCCTATGCTATCAACTACCTAGCATTTACCAATAGGGTAAAATATGAATGTTGATCTTCAACTAGGGAAGGCAAAAATACTAGCCAGTCCTCAGTATGTACAATAATATCTTACCTAGAAAGAAGACGATGTTGTCGTCCTATACCACATCCGCAACTTTACGAGAAAGACTTACAGTTTATCCCTGTTGGAGTAGCATTTCAACAATCATTGCGCTAGAACTATCGTTGCGAATTTCCCTAACGGGATGTAAAATCTGGGTTTATACAAGGTGGAAGCAAAATCTGGGCACAACTATCTGACTTGGTTTCATGCTTAGCAGGTGCAAGTGGAGGACTCAATTGTAGGGGCGGATGACACTAAAGAGCGCCGCCGTTGCAAGAGGTGAAAGTTGAACTTGATTACATACAAGTACGGCGCAGCTTACTACTTCTCCGATCTAAAAACTTCAAAGGCAAATTATCGTCGGTAAACTCGTATTCCAGTGGAATATGGCAAGAATCTAGAATCAACCAGGTTGATTTCCCGATGGCGCGTGCCGAGGATGCTGGTGATTATTCAATAATTACAAGCACCTACCTAATTGAGCAACACCGTCGCTAATAGCTTGGCTTCCAGATGTGGTTATTCTTTCTGCTACGCACTCGTATAGCACCATAAGATGACAGTAATTGCACAAACTCACGTCGAAAGGGTGTTCTGTCTATAAAATAGTGTAGGTAAAATAAAACAACAGAAAAAGCAGAAAGAAAAAGAGTAGGCTGAAACTCATTGGAAGTGTCTGTCTCTCCGCCAATTTGTTGCCATCAGTCCGGATGGATCCCGAGAGGTAACCGAGCCATTCCACAGAATCATAGCGGGTGTTCCTAGCAGCCCTGGGACAGATACCTAGTTCCCTGCGTATCTACTAAACGGTATTAAGTTAGGAGTCTGTCTTTACTTGTAAGCATAAATAGCTCTGAGTTGGCTATTGCTGTTTACTATATCCAGGCCGAGAAAGGAAGTTGAGCTGAAAAGGACCGGAAGCTTTGCAACCCACAGGTCAGGGTTCCGTGACAAGCCGTGTTGCTCTGCTACCTACTTGTAATATGGGCTACACTTACTTGTACGCGATCTAGCGATGGGTACCCCGAGGGCGCTGGTGCTGCATTAGAGACTAGCCACGTACCTGTGCTGGCTCGTGCCGAATGCTACTGTAAATAGGTACATGTAGTAATATAACTTTATTCTGATGCTTACATCCTAAGCTACACCGTGGTTTTCCACCAATGGAGGGGCCCTGTCCCTAGGTTGCTTGATTAGGAATTTTGCCTAGTTGTCTCTTAGCCTCGCACGCTTGTATAAGTATCAGTAATGTCCGCTGTTCCCCGTACGAGTCCTGTGATCCACTGGCGGCCAATCATGGCTTGGCAGAAGCCCATCATGAACGCATCTTACCACCAAACGGGCGGTCGACAACACACCGGTTTGTCTGCTGGGCCTAGATGCATAGCCTGTGTGACTTGGATTATGCAGACGCTTGCAATATCAGCACTTTACTTTGTGTACCATAAGGTATGCTTGTAGTAGACGACATAGGGCGGTATATCATCGCGTGCTCATGACGCCTGCCTCAACATATATGGAGTGCTGCATTGCTATATGTGGAGAGGTTTACTTGGCAGGGATTGGAGACCTTTTTCAAGGGTCTTAAAATGGAAACATCAAGTCAGCTCTTTTAGGAGAAACACCTTTAGAGCTGAATGGGCTGTCATAGGCACTTGGAGCAGCTTCTGATATTTGACGCCCAGCATCCGTTGTGTGGGATGTACAGCTATCCGACTTCCGTAAAATCTCTAGCATGGGTTAGAAATCTCACCCCATTACGATCTCACTGCTGCTAGAAGCATATTTAACCTTCCTGTTGCTGGCCTTGGCGGAGTGAATGCATTAACGACTAGTAGCGCTCTGCTGATTGCAATTGGATGCTCGGACGGTGGCTTGCTTGACCCCTGATATCCTAAGCTTTCACTATTCCTTCTGGAGAAATTCTAGCCGTATGCTTCACTGCCTCTTTGAACAGTAAGGTAGGAATATCAATGTAGATCCGGGCCGAATGGAGAGTAGGCCTGGGGACCTGTATCTCGAAGCTGTGGGCTGACCAGCCGACTAAAACAGAAAACGAGATACTCTAGTGACAGATATTTCGGAGCTTTCCGCCGACAAGGGGGACATGCTCCAGGAGCTATAAAAGCCCGCGTGCCTCGCTATTATCTGATCTACGGCTCCCTTGTTGACCGTCTCTTTTCTATCCTAAAGCGGCGAGCCTCTAATCTCGACGCTGTAGATCATCGATCGGCAATATGTTGAAGCTCACAGCGCTTGTTGCGCTCCTGCTGGGCGCGGCGTCTGCAACGCCAACCCCTAGCCCGCCTGCTGAAGATGAGGGCCTTTCCAAGCGCGCTACCAGCTTTTATTATCCTAACATGGACCATACTGGCACGCCTCGTGGCTTCGCTCCTGATCTTGACGGTAACTTCAACTATCAAGTGTACCAGACAGTCAACCCAGGTGATGGAGGTTCTCTTCAGCGTGCCATCACCAGCGATGGCAGTGGCTCTCGCCACCAGAAATGGTTCGCATCGCAGCCTAGAGTATGGTTCTTCCCTATAATGTTGAAAACTTAGAGTACATTGGATGACTAACTAAATCGGCAATTAGGTGGTGTATATCCCTCCTGGAACATACACTCTTTCCAAGACGATATACCTCAACACCGATACAGTGTTGATGGGCGATCCTACAAACCCTCCCATCATCAAGGCCGCTGCTGGCTTCTCTGGTGATCAAACCCTCATTAGTGGCCAAGATCCTGGCACAGGCATCAACGGAGAGCTTTCCTTTTCAGTGAGTCTCAAGAACTTGGTTCTTGATACAACAGCTATTCCCGGTGGCAACACATTCACTGCCCTCTGGTGGGGTGTTGCTCAAGCTGCTCAGCTCCAGAATGTCAAGATTACCATGGCGTCTTCTCAAAATGGTAACGGACATTCTGGTATTGTCATGGGCAGAGGCTCAACTCTTGGTGTTGCCGATGTTCGCATCGAGCGCGGTCAGAACGGAATCTGGATCCCTGCCCACCAGCAGGCTGCCTTCCACAACATCTACTTCTTCCAGAACACCGTTGCCGTGCTCATCAGCGGTGGTAGCACCTTCAGCTTCTTCTCCCCTACCTTTGACACCTGTGGAACTGGTATCAGCGTCACTGGCGGCTCTCCTTGGGTTGCTCTTATTGATGGCAAGTCTGTCAACTCTGGCGTGACTTTCTCGACTACTGTCTTCCCTTCGTTTGTCATCGAGAACTTGACCAAGGATACTAGCTCTCCCATTGTCGTTCTTCGGGGTACTACTGCCTTGGCTGCTACCGGCCATGTAAATACCTACTCTTACGCCAATACTGTCGGTGGAAACCCCGTTTATGGCCCTGTTCAGTCCACCAACCAGCGTCCTTCTGCTCTCGCCCCCGGCGGTAGCTATCCATATGTTGCTCCTCCCAACTTTGCCAGCAACACTGTTTCGGATTTCATCAACGTCAAGGATCCCAACCAGAACGGTGGCCGCAAAGTTCTTGGTGACAACACCATTGATGAATCTGCCACTCTCAATGCCATCTTGCAACTTGCCGCCGACCAAAACAAGATTGCCTACTTCCCCTTTGGCAAGTACCGCGTCGACTCAACGCTCTTTATCCCCCCTAATTCGCGCATCGTCGGCGAGGGTTGGGCTACCATTACCGGTAACGGCAACTTCTTCAAGAATGAGAACAGCCCTCAGCCGGTCGTTTCAGTTGGTCGTTCTGGAGATGTTGGCGTTGCTCAGATTCAAGACATGCGATTCACAGTCAACGATGTCCTCCCAGGAGCCATCGTCGTTCAGTTCAACATGGCTGGCAACAAGCCTGGAGACGTGGCCCTGTGGAACAGTTTGGTCACAGTAGGTGGAACCAGAGGCGCTTCTGCTTTGGCCAGCGCCTGTCAGAGCACATCAAACCAGTGCAAGGGTGCCTACTTGGGTATACATTTCACCAAGAACTCGTCTGCCTACGTCCAGAACGTCTGGAACTGGGTTGCGGACCACATTGCCGAAGACTTTGGCGGTGGTACTTCTATTGCAGGAAAGGGAGGTGTTTTGGTGGAAAGCACCAAGGCAACCTGGCTGTACGCCTTGGGAAGTGAGCATTGGTGGCTGTACCAGCTCAACTTGCACAATGCCAACAACGTTGTTGTTTCCTTGCTCCAGTCCGAGACCAACTACGACCAAGGTGCCAACACACCGCAGATTCCTCCTGCGCCCTGGGTGGCCAACGTCAACACTTTTGGAGACCCAGACTTCTCGTGGTGCGATGGAAACAAGAAGGTCTGCAGAATGGGCTATGCCAACTTCATTAACGGAGGATCCAACATTTATACGTATGCCTCTGCCTCATGGACCTTCTTCAGCGGCCCTGGCATCTCATGTGATGACTTCTCATGTCAAGGTAAGTTATGCTACATCTATATTTTCCCAATTACTTGAACTGTCATCACTAACAGAGTGGCACAGAATCCGTACATTGGGTTGCTAACACTCCCTCTAACCTCCAGGCCTTTGGACTGTGTTCCAGAGGCGCTACCAACACCTTGAGGGCAGGAAACGGCCAGTTGATCAACACCCAAAACGGCTTCACGGGTTCTTGGGGTGGAAATGGTGGTGATGTTGGTCGCTACACTCCCTAATTTTGAATACATCGGACAATGTAACTAGGTAAAAGTAAGAAAAAGGCTCTCCGCCTTGTACATAACAATTTAGTGTAGATATCAATATTTATCAAGTATATGCCCATAAAACGGCACGGGTCGTGGGATCAGTGTGGAGCTCAAGCTTCTCAAAGAAATTTAGTTGCTTCTTATCTGCAGTAGAAAAATGATCTACATCTCACCACACTGAGCGATGGTAACATCCATATTTGGCACATCCTTTCCTCGGTAACCCGTCTTCGTAGCCTCCATCTTCTTCACAACATCCATGCCGTCAACAACCTTTCCGAAGACGACGTGCTTGCCGTCTAGGAAGGGTGTAGGAACTGTGGTGATGAAGAATTGGGAGCCGTTGGAGTTGGGACCAGCATTCTGGGTATACTATCAGCGAGAACGCCAAACACGAATCTGGAGGGGGTTTTAGACTTACCGCCATTGACAGGAGGCCGGGCTGTTCGTGCTTCAGGTTGAAGTTCTCGTCATCGAACGACTTGTAGCCCCAGATACAGGTAGATCCAGTTCCATCGCCTTTCAAGAAATCTCCGCCTTGGCACATGAAGTTGGGAATCTGAAGATCGGATGAGAGTCAGAATTCGGGCGTCACGGCTAGGAAGACTCGTAAAGAAGTGAGACGACTTACGATTCTGTGGAATTTGGATCCCTTGTACCCCTGGGGACGGCCTCCAGAGTCTTTAGATTCGCCGGTGCAGAATTGGCGAAAATTCTCTGCGGTTTTGGGAACGACGTCTTTGAAGAGCTCAAAGGTGATGCGGCCGAGGGGTTCGCCTGTATGCGTGAAGCAGTCCGTTAGCAGCTGCATGCAATTCTCATGATGCTCCAGCGCTTCACGCTCAGTCGATTGTCGCCATCAGCAATTTGACATACCTCCCAGCGTCATGTCAAAGAAGACGCTGATAATATCTCCATTAGCATTTTGCTTTCAAGTTTTTTCACTCGTTGGATCTAGAAGCCGCGTTCTAAGCTCCTGATACAGCAAGCTCCATGAGAAATGCAAGGCTGAATGAATGGACGTACAGCGGGTTGCCCGACTCTGGCAATTGGGTAGGCGGCATTGTAGATGTTGGAACAAGATCGATAGTCAGATCACAGTGTGGCAATCAAGTTTTCAAGAAATATTGCGACTATGCTCTTTGAAACGCTGATTGGCGCCGTATGTGTGGTCTTTGGATGGGGCTGTTATGAGTGAAGAAGAGAATCTCATCAAAGGTTTGGCGAAGCGCACTGTGATGAAAACGGTGAGATAACCCCACTAAGCCATGTTGTGCCTACTCATATGCGCAAACACTCGTCAACAGCGAGTAATCTAATATAAACAAGGAATAATATAGTCAAGATTACGGTTTAATATTCTTTCATTTCAGATCTTTATATCTAAGTTCTTTTTTTCAAGGTGCTCGGCGGATAAATGCTCATATCGGCCGTAGTCTGTTATCTGCACTGTATGGAGCCACACGTATACCATCGCTGGAGCTTCTAAATCTCGGGAATCACAGCCTCCTCTGCAGACACTCCAGCCTTCCATCTGAACGTAGAGGCAACGTGCTCAGAAGGAGGCCCAGACTGGCCAGGCTTGCGGTAAAAGTTCTCGCGATAAGTGCCAGCAGGAACGGCGTAGTCGTCCCAGAAGAGCCCGCGCTTCTTGAGCTCGGGCAGCAAAAGCTCGACAATGTCCTTGAAAGACTGAGGGAAGAGGGTGTAAGCCTGCACGGTCACGAGTCAGTAAGATATTGCAGTGCCGCTATTTAGCTGTTATGATGCACTGACAAAGTTGAAGCCGTCAATATCGGCCTCGTTGACCCAAGTCTCGAGGCTATCGGCAACCTGTGAAGGCGTGCCGACTAGAGCAGGGCCGTTGCCGCCTATGCTGACGTGCTCAGCAATGGTATGCTTGGTCCATTTGGAGGTTCCCGGAGAGAATCTGGCGTAACCTTCCACGGTGGATCTGTTGGAGTCTTAGTATCTGAACTCCAAACAAGAAGAGGATGGATGCAAAAGAAGCAGGGTAACTCACTTCACCGCATTGCTCTCAACCTCTCGCAGCTCTTCGTCATCGCCATACTTGCTAAGATCCATGCCGGTCCAGCCTCCAAAGAGAGCAAGTGCTCCTTCGTGTGAGGCATACTGCTTATAGTCTGCCAGCTTGGCCTGGGCCTCTTCCTCAGTCTTACCGAGGATAGGGCAAACAAGTGCCAGGACCTTGATGTTGCTGGGATCACGGCCAAACTGTGTCTTGGCCAGCTCTCTGATATCTGCGATACTCTTGGCGCACACCTGCGGCGCGTGGGCGGAGACAAAGATGACCTCGGCATGCTGAGCAGCGAACACCTTGCCAGCCCGAGAAGTGCCAGCCTGGATCAACAGGGGTGTTCTCTGGGGGCTAGGCGAGCAGATGTGAGGGCCAGGGACAGTGAAGAACTTGCCGTTGTGATTGATCTTACGAACGCGGTCAGGATTAGTATAAACGCCAGTCTCTTTGTTGAGTTCAATAGCATCATCTCTCCATGATGACTCAAACAGCTTGTACATCACTTTGATGTATTCTTCCGCTTGGGCGTATCGGTCATCGTGCTATGACTGAGTCAGCATACATCGATACTGCAGCCTTGCATTAGTTATTGCGACATCACTGACCTGGGGTTGTTGGGCTAGGCCCATGTTCTTTGCTGCAGAGTCCAGGTAGCTGGTGACGATCTACAGTTACCGTTAGCATGCCCCTTGCAGGCTGCATGGCGTCAAGTCAGATCTCCTAAACTTACGTTCCATCCAATTCTGTCAATTCTGTCAGCTGCATATTCGATGGCTTATGTCACTTCGAAAGAGAGTCTTACCGTCCATTGCTGAGGTGGTCAAGGGTGGAAAGTCTTCGAGCCAGGTGGTAGGGTTGCTCATAGGTCGTTGAGACAGTGACACCGAAACCGATGCTCTTTGTCACTGCGGCCATGGCAGAGATGATAGCAAGGGGCTCATGTACAGGCCATTGGGCACCGGAGATGATAGCCGGATCTAGCGAGCCGGAATAGACATCATAACCACCTACATAACGGTATCTGGTTAGAATATCTACGATATACTTCCGATCTCCCGGCATGAGATTGGCCTCGATTCAGCTGGTAAGCCTTACCCAACACATCGGCGATGAAGATCCCGTGGAACTTGGCCTCTTCTAGAAGTTTGGCCAACTCTGTCCAATGGTCTATTTGATTGAAGCGTGAAGACTGGTCGTCAGGATGGCGCCAGATCCCGGGAGACTGATGACCACTGCCTGCAGCCCACCAATTACGGCAGTCAGTGCTCTGCAATATCAGCAAGGGGTGAAAAGATATCATTGAACGCACACATCTCTACAAAGGCATTGAGCACCAAGCTCTTCTTTTTTCCGGGTTGTGAACTCATGACTGCAGAATGGTGTATACCGTCAAACTGATGGTGTGCTTAATTGTTCTTGGTTGCTATTCGAGCAAAGACATGTACTGAAGCATTTTACACGCATATAATCTACCTGCTTAGTTATATTACCGCGGTATCATACACATTGTAAACAGCCCTCCAAATCACATGTCCGATATTCGGTCTCTTCGTATGCGGCGGCCACGACCGTGTCAGAGTTAAGCCGTGGGTATGATGATGCAATTCGCGCGATGCAATCACGCAACACGGCCCCTCTCACCCCAAGCGCTGATCTCGCATGATTGCGGTTCTGGGTAAATACGGCGAGATTGACCAGATGCGCCTATTAAACTACAGCTCTCCAAACAACCTCCCCCAGATTACCCTTTCTGACGATGCGTGCCCGTGGAGACGAGCTCTGAGCTTCTTGAAATCACGTCAGTGTGGGTGGGGATACCGCCATTGAGCGACAAACCTTTATAACGGCCACAACTTGGGAATAGAACGCGCTAAAGATAGGCAGCGATGCTAATGTAGAGTAAGCTTGATTAACGAAGCAAAACCCATAATTATTACGAGCACTGCTTCTGTAAAACTGCGTATATTTTGCTGAACTGGGAATAATACGGAGGCGCAAGGCTAGATAGCCGCGGGGAGTCCACATGCGGGCATTATACATCTCGTAGTTCATGCGCTGCATGACCAATACCTGAGAAAGCATCAGCCCAATCAATATGCCGAACTGCAGAGGCTTTTACATCCCTATCTCGGCCAACTCTCGTCTTGGCTTGATGAGATGGGCTGATGCAGTCGACTGAGGTGGAAATGGGTCTAGTTTAACGCAATCGAAGAGGAGAAGGATATTTCCGTATTAGGCAATGTTTCGAGATAGACATACATATGGCTGATACTACGTTATATATATGACAAACTATAAGTGAACCAGCTTGTGAATATTGTCTAGACGGTTTTTGTTAATATTACGCAATAGAATAAGCTATACTTATCTTAATGGTCTCAAAGAAATTTTGTCTTTTTACGTCTATTGTAGCCAATTGTACATAGCTAATAGTACTTTTGTCTATGGTTGTCTTCATTACTTGAATCTGCTCATATCAATTATATGGCTAAAGTAATGTCGTAAGATAGTATAGAGTAGCGGCAGATAGAGAATAGTAAGAGACATTATATATTATAGATGGATATATATCGATTCAACCTTATTCCTCATGAGCCTTTGATGCGGTAACGGTCTCCTCGGTAACCAGAACCTCTGGTGACTCGTCTGACCCTCTCGACTCTCGATCCCACTGTCCGTCCTTGCTGCCAATGTGTCGCACTACCAGCCATGCGGGGAGAATGGCAATAGCCCACAGGATAAAGTTCATGTAGATTCCACCGACTTGCGCAAATACCGTCAGGGAGGTCAAGCCATAACTGACAGCCTGCCAAGCAGACTCGGTACCTCGTAGCAGGGCTGCATATCGAATAACTTCGCCTTGGTCCTTGGCTAAGTGGGTGACAATGAAATAGCTAAATGAGTGTTAGTTATGAGTTAGGAAACAAAAATATCGTAGAATGTATCTTACAGAAAGAGGTAATTGATCTGAAATCCAAAGGTCAGGAAGATGTAGACACCGAAGCCTGATCCAAAGCCAGAATCTTCCCAGTCATACGTGGGCAGAGTACGTCTGTATCGTGTGGAAATCACTGTGGCCCAAAGCCACCATGCGCCCTGGGTTACAACAATGAACCAGAAAGTGTATCTGGCGCGAATCTTCAAGGGAACCTTTGTACGATCGAGAAACCACTATATCGAGATATGTTAGCTGGGCTCTTATTGCGACAAGAGTTTTACATACGCCAGTCAGATTTCCAATAATGACAGCAACGATGCCACCCAAGAATGAGCCGAGTGCTCGGGCTCTGACGGAGAACCATACTAGAATAATAGGGTCAGTAAACGAGCAGATGGCAACGTCAGCAGGAGAGCCTTACAAGAAAGATAGGTGAAATAGACGGCTTCCGAAAACACAGCCTGTCCAATCCAGAGGACGATCAAGAGAAAATGAGGCTTTATGAATGCCCTCGCTGTTGCCTTGATCTCGTACCAGGGGTTTTCGACAATAGCCAACTGGACCTTTTTGCCATCTTGACGCTGTACATGCTGGGGTCTGTTGAGCAAAAGAGCAATCAGAGCTCCAGCGGCTTGAATCGTGATGAAAACAATATAGACGGTATAAGACACTTTGCCTGCCTTGTTCCTGTCGATATCCAAGCTGAGATTGATGGCGCCGCCGATGATTTGCCCCATGACACGGAAAGTCAACCACCAGCCCAGAGACTTTCCACGGTTCCAAGGTTCTGGGTAGGCAATGGCAATGGCAGCCTCTACAGCCCAAAAGGTTCCTGCAGATATGCCACACAAGGCGGCACCCAGGATAACGAGCCAGGTGGTACCATATCTGTTGTTTGTATAAAGACCAGCCGCATATGGGGCGTAGCCCATTCTGCACAATCTCTCAGCATATAGACAGCTACTAAAGGTGGAAAACAAACTCACGTTCCAAAAACTAGAGCACCTTTGACTCCGATATAGCGAATTATGATGCTTGAGAAGTAACAGGACACGACCATGAGACAGAATGTCAATGCATTAGCCGCGTTCACGAGCTGCGGTGACTGACTTCCACCGGCTCCTAGAGAATTCATGGCTCCCCAAATGCCTGGTGCTGCCAAATTACAGAAACCGAGGATGGTCATGTTGTAAAATGTTGATCGATACCATTTTACTATATTGAAAGAAGATGCAGTTAGCTTTCAATATTGCCATTGAAGCTCTCATAATGGGTTTTACCTGGATGCCGCTGCTCTTTGGGCAGCGGTGCCACATCAGAAGAGGCAAAATGGTCTTCCTTATCCGACATTGCGAATTATTTTTTTCTTTAACAAATTGAATGAGGGATACTGAGAAGCACCAAAACTGGGACGCTGCACTCTTGAAAAGAAGTCTTCAATCTCGGGCATCTTCCTCAATATCAATCAATTCCCCAATCAGCACATATCGTCAACGCCAGCTTCTCACTATTCCAAAAGGGTTTAATCCGCCGGTACTTGAACTCCCGCATCTCTCTTGTTCAATCCGCGGACTGATTGCGACATCGGGTCTATGGCTACCGATAGACTGGGTCTAAGGCGCTTCTTGCGAAACGCATGCTTGCCAGCACGTCATCGCGGAGGGGTTTCTGGCGAAGAAGATTGATTTGGACTAAAAATGTAGATAACGAGTGGTAAAAAGACCGTTCAGGTTTACGTATAAATCGTGATAAATAGAGGTACGCGTAAAGAATTAGAGGTTAAGCTACAGACATTCTATCGAGATATACTAATATCACCGCCTGAGCACTTTGTAGCTTGTAGCTTCGTCTATTCAATTCACTATGTATATACGTAAGAGGACTGCGAAGCTGATGAGTCACATACATCAATTCCATGTGTAGTAGATCTTTGACAGATATACAAATGCGAAGCTGAGAAGGGGATCTATTATCCACACATTCCACATACCGAGATAGGCGCCACCGCAGGGGTAGGAGGAGAGGATACCCTTTCTCCCCAAATGTAAGCATCGGCTAAAAGCCACAAAGATCTAGGCTTCGTTAAACGAAACTTTGACTAAAGCTTCCTATAATCTCTCGCTTGTGGAGGCTTCTTTTCCCAATCTGAGGTTCGTAGCCTACGGTATGACCCACCAGTTCTCGTGAACGCTTCGCAAGTCAGCCTCTTCGGCGCTGAGATACGGAGTCACATCTAGTTTTGGATCGGTCTCGACGTAGGTGCTGCCATTGCCAAAATACCACGCAAAACGATTCCCCGATTCCGAGAGATATTCGTATTCCCAGTCTTCCCACCGTGGGTCCTTCTGGACGACCGTCAAGTGTGAAGCGCTGCCGGGCCAGAGGCCGTGAATTCGGCCGCCTGGAACGCCGCCATTGTACCATGAACTGCAGTTCTCGGAGAGTACAGTCGTCTCAAAGAATGCGTCATTGTAGGCCGTAAAGTCGTCGGCAGCTTTTCTGGAAGGAGAAATAGTTTTGATGCCTTCGCGGCTGATCTTGCGGAGGATCTTGGCGAAGAAGGTGATTTGGTTCTCCAAGTTGTGCGGCACGGTACCTGATCTCCCTGAGGCACTCGGACCGTGGATAAAGAGAAGGTTTTTGAAGCCTGGTGAAGCGACTCCCAGATATGTATAGGGGAAACCATAGGTGCCCGAATGGCTCCAGTCGTAGCTCAGATTGGCACCTCCTGCACGAATGGGAAAAGGAGGCGCCATGTCAGAATTGGCTCCTGTAGCGCAAAAGATGGCATCGACATCTCGAGTCTTGCCATCTACTGTCTCGATACCCGTCTCAGTGAATCTCTTGATATGTGTCTGGATGTACTCGACATGAGGCTGCGAGAGGGCTTCAAAATATCCCGGCCCAGGGGTGAGTCGACGGCAGTGGGGAGAAAAGTCGGGAATGATTCTGTCAAACAGCTCTGGCTTATCAGCCAGTCGCGTCTTGGCCAGCTGTGTGAATACTTCTTTTGCCTGGTCATTGACTTCCGAGCCTTTCAGCCAACCCTTGAACCCTCTGAAATATTGTGACTCTATCTCCTTGCGGTACTTCAAATAAGTCTCCGGGTCCTTGAACGAGTCGCGGAGCTCTTGAGGGATGGTCTTGGGCTCAATAGATGTCTCGTGTCCAGCAAAGGACGCTGCCACCCAAGTGTTGTTTCTGGCGTAGTGATCCAAGCGTTCGACGCGCTTCTGAATATTAGCAACGAGCTGAAGACCACTGGCGCCATTGCCAATGACGGCGACCTTTTTGCCAGTGACATCAAATGTCGGGTCCCAATTTGAAGTGTGCCGCAAGAGGCCCTTGTAATCGTTGATGCCAGGATAGTTTGGGAGTTTCCAGGCATTAAATCTCCCGATTGCGGTGAGCACAAAATCTGCCTTTTCAACTCGTGAAGTGTCTGATTTCAGATCATGGACATTGATCAGCCACTGTGATGTAGTCGGATCCCAATCCAAGCCATCGACCCTCTGAGACAACTTCAGATACTTGTACACATCATGCTTTCTGGACAATCCTTTCCAATACTCCAGGATCTCAGGGCCTTGGGCGAACTCTTCGGTCCACTGTGTGTTTGGGTCAAATGTTGATTGGTATGCATGAGCAGGTACATCACATCGAACTCCGGGATATATGTTTTCAAACCAAGTACCACCCTGAAGAACAAGTTAATATTTAGAATCTGTTGGATTAAGCTTCACCGTCATCACTTACGACTTCCGCATTCTTCTCATATATTGTGAGTTTGATGCCTGGGACCTTTGCTGGTAGCAAGATACCAGCCAGTACACCTGCAATACCGGCTCCAATAACGACGACATTCAACTCTCTGGGCTGGTCTATGAAGCGATTCACAAGATTAATCTTGGGAACTTCATACGGCTTCGGAACAGTAGATGGGATGGCGGTCTCGGTCACTGTCGGGCCAGGCTTTGGAGAGCCTTGCACAGTGGCCGGAGGAGTAGGCAGGTCAGCAACGGTAGCCATCACGAGCCGGCTCTTATCTCGTCTCGTTTAAGCTTTTGATATTAAGCGTTTAGGAAGGGGAAATAGCCGATCAAGGCGGAAAAGAAAATATCCCGCGGGCGCCGCTGAGTTATTGGTTCAAGGTCCGTCCCAGCTTCAGACGTGCGTGTAAGTCAAGGGCTAGATATCCATCGAAGAAGAAAAGCAGATCTAGCAGCTAATAAACCATGCATGGTGGCTACTTTTCTCTCATAAAACTACCTATTTCGCATACATCTTCAATTATTTGCAATTGTGCTAATCGCAGAGGTCGATGCTGCGACCTGCAGTTGAGTGGGCTCTGAAACGCCGCCGTTGGAGATGAGCCATGTTTGTGAGCAATCACGCAATCCTCCCCGTAAACCAGCCCCTCGCCAGTGATACCCTCGCAGCATTAGCGACGACGTCAGCGCGATGCGGCCAGATCAGATGCCTCCGAAAACGGCATTACCGGGACTGTGGTGGTTACTAACGCATCTAATTGTAATAATATCGGTTGCTTAGCCATCTTTAGTGAAGTTTTGCAGATTGGGGCCGGCTGAAAGAGATGGAGGCGCAAGGCGGCACGATGCTACATCTACATGGTCTTTGTTATTCTGACACTTTTATCTACTTTTTATTTTCATTTTCCTAAATCCTTTTTCTTTTCTCTCTTGAAGCTTTATTTCTATTCTTTTATCGTCGCCATATTCTCGAAGCTACCATGGCGGGAAGCTCGGTGAAAGCACAGACTGTCCTGCTTCTCCACGGACCACGACAGGCATATCAGATTACAAATGGCTATGATGTGCCGCTGTTGGTTGAGGACGATGAGACACTTATACAGACGTACACGATAGGACTGAATCCGATAGACTGGAAAGCGCCGTAAGGATTTTTCAATTTCCTACAAGCGCATATTTAGAAAGTTACAAAGCTGACACACCTGGGTATTATACAGAGACTACAACTTCGGTATCGCAACTCTGCCATATATAGCCGGTCGCGAGCTAGCAGGACGAGTAGCTATCACTCCTAAGAGAAACTCTCGCTTAAAAGAAGGAGACCGAGTACGATACCCCCCAAGTTCGAGGAAAATGTTGGGTTAGATATCCTGGGAAATGAACATACTTTAACAAAGAGTCGACGCAGGTTTTAGTAATTTCAACAGACTATCGCGATCTTAGAAAAGCCGCCTACCAAGAATACGTCGTCTCGTCCGACTTCAACGTTGCAAGAATACCTCCCTCCATCTCATTTCAGCAAGCTGCCGGCCTAGGAGTTGCATTCTCCGCAGCAGCTATCACACTGGGGATATGCATGGGAATCGACTTTTCTTCTATCCTCGATGGACCAGACCTGTTACAGCTCGTGCGCTCTGTTGAGCCAGAGAGTATACCGGAAGATGTGAGGACAGAATGCCTCCACGGCATAACAGACGCTGAGAGAGCTGTTCCAGGGGACTGGGTAGCGGTATGGGGAGGTATGTGAAGTCCTGACTAGCATGTGAAGTAACCGTGGTAAGCTAACAAGAACATCGCTTTTGCAGGATCATCAACATCGGCCAACATAACCGTGCAGCTCGCGCGACTGGCAGGCCTTAAAGTTATTACGATAGTTGACATAGCCAAACATGGTCTTCGTATATCCGGCTGTTCCGCCCAGAGGCCGGATCTTCTCATCGACAGCCATGATACGGACCGTGCCGTTGACATCATCAACAAAAGTGTTGGCAGCCAACTTCGCTTCGCGCTTGATACTCGTGGGCGAGACTCGGCTACAATTTTACTCGAGGCGCTCACTCGCCAAAAGAGACTCAACGATGCGCCGCCTTCACCTCCCCAAACTCCACGCGAGTTGAAGACACAGACATCCCATCTCGTGGGACTGACAGGATTACCCAAGGAAACGGCTCCAGAGGGCATCGCTTATCACACTGTTCCCATCAAAATATTTCACACTGTTCCTGCCGTGGGTGAAGCGCTTGTGCTGTGGCTGGAACGACTATTAGAGCAGGGCCTGATCAAGCCGCCACCCATCATAGGGGTGGAGAGTGGCTTTGACGGCGTCAACAAAGGTTTGGATAGAATGAGATCTGGCGAGATTAGCGGAGGAAGACTGGTGGTTGATTTACTGGCCTAGAAAATGTGTGTTTTTTTCTTGTCTCTGGACTACAGAAGTAATATTCACGATAGACGGCTAATATCTAATATAAAAAGCCAATTGATTCATTTACGCTCACTAATGCTTCTATCTAATCACCATACTCAGCTCTCTTTTGATCATCTTGTTTACCACGGCCACTCCCCCCCATTGATGCTGACCAGCTTCGCTGTATCGGCATCTCGCTTGCCCTCAATAATATCGCGGCAGCTCTCGCCACTTACACTGGGCTCAAGCGCACCCATTTTCCGGCGCTCCTCAGGCGAGAGCGACAGTGATGTGGCCACAAACTCGGGATCATATGCAAAGACCTTGATGCCGTGATCCTTCAGCTCATAACCATCGCAGACAGCCAGCATGTTGAGCGCAGACTTGCTCATGCGGTACTCAGTAGCTTGGACGGGATAGTACTTGGAGTTGGGGTCCAACTTTGCAGCGATTGAGCCCAGTCCGCTCGACACATAGATGACTCGCTTCTCCTTGGTCTCATTCTCAGGTTGGGTAATTAGCAAAGGCTTGAATGCCTGGGTAACGGCGAACGGTGCAATGGTGTTGATCTCGAGCGTATTGCGAAGCCGTGTCAGTGCATCAGCGCTTTCGTCAACCACGCCGGCATTGTTGACGAGGAAATCCACTCGACCGGCCTCTGCCTTGACGGTTTCCACGGCTTTGGCGATGGACTCGGGCGAGGAGACATCTAGCTCGAGAACGGAGATGGAGCTGCCCGCACGAGGAGTTATCGTGGCTGCGGCGGCCTTGCCCTTTGCAGCATCACGAGCAGCGAGGAAGACGTGATAGGGAGTTGACGACTCAACGAGAGCCTTGACAATCTCGTAGCCGATGCCACGGTTGGCGCCTTGAATGACACAAGTTAGCTTTGTTTTAGCTTGTCGGATCGTCCCGATTGAGTGCTTACGCACCGGTGACAAGTACAACGCTTGGAGACATGCTGTTTCAAAGTTTTGAGTTTTGGATATGGTAGTTGTCTCGAAATCTGATTGTTCTCTATTGTCTGTCAATTACTAATTGTAAGTGGACTTTGTTTCTGTCTTTATATGTTTTCCTCTTTTCCTATTTATCCGTCAACAAGCTAACGACTCGCGCAGATACAAACAAGAAACCCCCCCCCCCTGTAAACTGAAACTCAGGCTTGCTAGCGTCAGAGATATCTCGTTCTCGGACTTAAGCCGTAATCACGGCCTGCCAAGTCCAGCAACACTGGGATGCCAGTTTTCGCAATTGGTCATGTCTATACCCATTGCTATAAGAAACAGACTAGCTTCGGAAATAGTCTTTTATACCCCCATACTGCAACCATACTGAGCGGAGAAAAAAGACGCGAACTACCAAAGGTGAGGCGGACGTTTTCACAGTGCATGATACATAGTGTATACAGAGAGAGTCCTTTATTAAGCAGAGAAGATGTCATTAGATTCTGCCATGCATGTGGTGGTTCGATAATAGAACAGTATTTGTCAGCTGAAATATAGTAGCAAAAGGAATAGGAGTCGGGCGTAGCGGGCTAATTGATAAACGCGAGGCGTGAGGGGCCTATCTATCCACAATAGTCAAGATAGGAAATTGCTCGAGATCGAAAATGGCGAAATCGTAACATGGAGAAAACAAAAGGCAAAACACCTGTTAATTGCCGGATATACCTTGGCTTTCTCCCCTTGGTCTCTCTACATGAGTATTCCTTGAGGCACATGCATATAAGGTACCGTATATAGATAGGTACGTAGGTACATGTTTATATATTGATCGATCATCATCAGATATAAAGTGTATCTACAAGTACTCAGCATGCCTTCCTACATACCTACACCAGCCGACTATTATCCATTTCATAAGTATCTTTGGTAATTATCTTTCTTTTTTAGAGTATCTAGGATAGTGCGACGAAAAGGGCATGTGGTCCCCGGCGGCAACTTTGATTTATCCGCTGTCCCTATCCCTGGCGTTTTCTATTAAAAGTCGCCCATTACAAATCCGCTAACAATGCAAAATCAACTTCTTTCTATTAGCTACATGGTAAAATGGAATAGTCTAGTCTAATTTACCTGTAAAGTTCATGTGATTTTATTGTTTAGTGAAATTGGTAAATGTATGTATCTGTAGCTTCAAGTATATGAATACATGTAACTTCCTATAATAGTAGAGCTGTAGAGTATGGAGTTTTATTGCAGCAGATTAACATCAAAAGAAAGTAGCTATCTACCATACTAGAAAAATTACACCGTATCCTGATCATAAATGCGAATTTGGTTCGTATTGGGGGAAAAAAAAGAGCAAAAAAAAATTACACTCATTCTACAAATAATGACCTAGTCTCATTACCATCACCATCGAATTCCTCATTCTCCACACCAACAACTTCGTATCCATCTATAACTGGCTCTTCATCGGAATCATAGTCTTCATCATCAATGCTATCGCCGTTTCGTTCGATACCTTGGATATGTCCACTGCTAAAAACTCTCACCGTTGTTTTCAGCTTCCGTTTGATGATGATCTCGTGGAGGCGATAACAATATATAAATGGGTCGGAATCTTGGATCGTATGTTTTCGGAATGTGCTTGCTGATAGCCAGTATCCAATCCTGCATTAATCGGTACTCGGGCTGCACTGCCATCTCCTTTCACTTCAGCGCTGCCGGTAGCTTGATTAACGAAGCTTTCGCTTACTTTCGTCCCACCTCCAAGGATTCGTAGCCCGGTTACAAGCCAGATCCGCTTATGTATTGCGTACCAGGGTATGGAAGTGAGATCAGATGCGTCTTCTTGAGATAATGCCGCTTCGACGTAACGTTTGGTAGGATGAAATGTGATCACACTCATAGTTTGACCTTCAAAGTTTGCTTGATATGCGTTCTGCAATTCGCTACTAATCGCAAACCTCGCTGTTACATGTAATGTGGCTTTTAACAACGCCTGAAAAGCAGTTTGACCTGACTCAGATGACTCGAAATTGACATTTCGATGGCTAAACTCGTCCTTTATCATGTTCTTTGGGATAGGAGCGATCCCTGCCCCTCGAATTCCACTATTGGGATTGGTATAGTCCGTTAATATCTGGCCAAGCTGGAGAATACCAGCTGCTGTGTAGTCTTGGTTTGGAGTAAGAATCCAAGGTTTCTTCTGCTTGGTTTGAGACATCGTGCAAAAAAGGAGCGGCTATTCGTATCGCTTCAAAGGTGCTAACTTTGCTGATATGCTTTAGTTGCGTGAATAAAGGTTTCAATGGACATAGTAATTGCGAGATTCTTAAATGCTGGGTCGAAGTTTATGTAGACCTCCACTGCATATATAGTGCTAAAAAAGGGGTTTAAATTCCAACCGCTGGTCCAAAAGATGGGTCTGTTCAGCTTGTGTTCAGCACTCGACTCCATGCTTATCACTCAGATTGTGTTCACCACTCAGGTCGCGCCACCTTTTAGGCTGCAATCACCGTTCAGCCTGCAGCCATCCACCAGGCTGCAATACTGATTCGTGTATAAACGAGAAGTGTTCATGATGATCTTGATTCGTCAGTTTCCAAACTGCGGCAATTTATTTCGTGGCGTGACTATCGTTTACATAGATAATGACTTGATAGTTACTCTTATCTTTTAACAATGTGTAAGTGGTGTAACCCTTCTTTATGAGCTGGTAGTCTCGTGAAACATGAAGGAATGAGGGGATACATCTTAATGTTTGGAATTACTTCGGCCAGTAAATTGTCCAATGTCGCAAAGCTATCTGCATACAGCTCTCAGTGTCACAGAAATGTTCTTTTTTCGGCTCATGTATCACTTAAGTCGGGAGATTTCCCCTTAGATGTATCTCAATATCACTAGGATTTCTCCCCTTTCGTTCTCTCTGTTTATAGCTAGACTCGTATTACCTACAAGAAGAGAAAAACCTATTCTACATCGCTAAGTATAAGTATGATAAAGTTCACCAGAAGCGCCTGTAAGAAATTACAGATATCCAACGACGTGGCGGTATGGCTGACCCAAAAAACATCTGGTTCGAGATTTCTCGAAGGTCATTAAATGTTAGTGGGATATTTCAAGCTGGTCAGATTCTGACTGATCCTCTGGATCCTGAATCTGCATTGTTTCGAACTGGCCTGTTCAAGGGAACAAAACCGGATACCCTTAGTCGTATTTGCAGAGTGAGAACTTCGCCTCTAATAATGATCCACTGCTAACCACTGGAACAGAATTCCCCATGCAGACGAATGGTTTTCCAAACACATCAAAAAATCAACAAATACTTTGACATACATCGAAGCGGAAGACCTGATGAAAAAGTCAAAATTGCCGTTCTCGATACCGGGCTAGATATAAACCATTTGCTTCTGCGAGAGTATCAAGACAATGGGCAGATCAATAAGAAATATTATATTGATTTCACCAAACCCGACAACAAAAAGCGACCGATGACGTTGGGCACGGGATATTCTATACACATTTGATCCTGAAAACTTGCAATACAGCAGAAATTTATGTTGCAAAAGTATTCAAAAAGGCAACACCCGCCCAAAAGACAGCAAACTGTATAGCAAAGGTAAGCCACTTAGTCCAAGGTCGCATAACAATTTAAAGCATACAGGTATTGAACTATTATCTCAAAAGGCTATCAATCATGCTGTCGAAAAATGGAAAGTAGACATTGTTTCAACGTCATTTTCTTTTAATGAAGAACAGACCCTAATTAAAAATGCAATTGAAAATGCATTAAAGGGAGAGCATCAGGTGTTATTTCTGGCCGCGGCTTCAAACTTCAGCTACATCGAGCAATTTCCGATTGGATACCCAGCACGGTATAAGCAAGTTCTGTGTGTGAATTCGGCTACCCCGCAAGGAGAAAAGTCAAAATTCAGCCCTTCTCCGAGGGATCGAGAATTCGACTACAGTGTCCTTGGCGAGCACCTCAACGCTGCATTCCCCACGAAGCTGAACCAAGGCAATCACGAAAAGAGGCAAAGTGGAACCTCCATGGCAACAGCGATTATGGCTGTTGTTGCGGGTCTTGTTATCGAATACTCAAGCCAAAGCCGTTCACCCTCCAATACGTCAAAAGGACCGCCTTCTCTCTGCTGATGGTATGCGAAGCGTTTTCAAATTAATGCTGCATCGTGATGATCAGAGTGCACACCTTTGTGTACAGCCATGGTTGTTGTTTCGAGAGGCAACAGAAAAGATTTCATGGGATACTCCATATGAAATAAACAAAGCACTTGAATGTAATTACAACATTGGGTAGAATAGAAGATTAAATAAATAAGAAGTCATAGATAACGTCAACCTTATTGAATGAGTAAGCGAAAGCAGCGAGTTTGCGCAAAATAAAATACAGTACTGTATCAAGCTCTGCCAATAAGTTGCTAGTACCCAAACTAGCTATAACCGCGCGCCAGTAGGTACCTGTTTTTGCCTGGTCTTAGACGCGTGCCAAAGCTCTAGATTCATCCAACGTCAGTAAAAAACCACCAACAAGCCGCTCTCCCACTATCCAAATATATCCCGTAACACTGCTCATGCTCGTAAGAGTCATCAGTGGCATCTTCTTCAGAAATATCAACACTGCTTATTCCGCGTCAACCAGAGGAGCAATGGCCTCTTCAGCCGCTGTGCCCCACAATGAAATCACTAAAGAGCAGTTCGCGTCTCATCTAAGCCAATACCCAGCCCTCCTCGAGGAAATATCAGAGTCCAAAGGCGGTACGTCAGATAATCTTTGCGTATCTTTAACTAGTTTTCAGTCACGTTAGTCGTTTAAATAAGAAAAAAAAAATTAAGAGAAAAAAAGTTCTTTCAGCTAACATGAAAGGAACACGCGACACGTGAGTACAGCCAAAGATGGTCAAAGGATGCTCTCTGAGCTGGACCACTTCCGCTACGTAGACGCCGTAGCGACTTTCGACCTGAAGAATCCAAAACGAGAAATGGATCTTGAAGATATCAAGACGCTGGTAGAGTGGAAGCTGTAAGTTGCCATCCTAATATTCACTTACTGCCACCGCGGTTCATCTTCACTCATAAATACTCACGCCTCATCTCATCGCCCATCTCGAATCAATAATTACTATATACATGACAAACACTGACGCAATCGCATAATTCAAAGACGACACGGCAAATTCCGCCCAAAGCTCCTCTCCCTCGTCTCCTCCAACCCCCCAACCACAGTCTCCCAAACCCTCGACTTCGCCCGCAACTTCTACACCAACTCAAACGACGCCAGAGGCACAGTCCGAGCCCTCGCCAAGCTCAAAGGTATCGGCCCCGCCACCGCCTCCCTCCTGCTCTCCGTGCACGACGCCCAAAACGCCATCTTCTTCTCCGACGAGGCCTTTTACTGGCTGTGCTGTGGCGGCAAGAAGGCAAGCATCAAGTATAACATCGACGAGTATGCAGCCCTGAACGATGAGGCGCAAGCTTTGGTCAAGAGGCTTGATGTGTCGGCGACGGACATTGAAAAGGTGGCGTATGTTTTGATGAAACGGTCCAACTTGGTCAATGATTCGAAAGCAGATACAGCAAAGGCCAATGCGCCAGCCAAAGCCAAAAATCCAGCCGCATCGGAGCCTAAAAAGCGAAAGACAGCTTCTAATGAAAGTGTGAAAACAGAGACAAAGGCGAAGGGTAAGGTAGAGGAAAAAGCGCTGACAGAGGAAAATTCATCTGTGAGACGGTCGAAGAGGCTTAGGAAATAATACCGGTGATCGCGGGGCATGCCGTGTTCCTATTGGATAATAGTCAGTAATTCTTTGTATATCCAAAATAGGAGAGTAGTGGTCATAAAAAACATGGATGAAGCACCAAAAGACGGCATGTACTCAATACAATCGGTTGAAATGAGTCAGAATAAAAGCTATGAATTTGGCTCGACTTATTTACAGAGTAGTCATGCGACTAAAATCATATAACCATGCGCGTCCCACAGGCCTTCCTACACCACTCATCCAGGTTGCTTTTGTCATTCTTTAGCTATCCATCACAGTAATACGTCTAGTATACTAGACAAGGAAGAACCGACGAATTGGCCGAGCGTGATATAATATCCCTAATAGGCCCTTAAGACCATGAGTCTCTTCTTTCTCGCTGCATCACCCGGCGCTTGTCGTGACCTACATATTCTGTAGGAGCAATGTTTTGTTGCTTATTTCGACTTTTGGCTCTCGCCGTCAATCTGAGTGGCGGCGTACTTATCACTGAGATCACTGTACGCCTTGTTAAGCTGCTCAGCCTGCTTCTTCAAGTTCTGGAGGTCCTGGTCCTTCTTCTCAAGCTTCTCCCTGAGAGCAGCCAGCTCGCCAGGCTTTCCGGCAACAGCCAACTTCTCGCTCTCCTTGGTGTTCTTGTTGGTTCCCTCGTACATCTTCACCTTATCCTCCAGGCGCATCACCTCAAGAATCATGACATAGGTGCGGTTGAGAATCAATGACAGGAATAGCGTAAAGCCGCAAAGGTACATGTTGCGCTGGGAGTAAAATTTGCGGGCCTGGACTTCGAGACGTTCGGATCCCATGATAACGGCGGCACTGTTCGGACAGTCATTAGCAAATTGACTTTATATATTTTTTTTTCCACCGTCGAGGTAGCCAATCAAAGCACATACTTTCCCTTGGCGGTCTGTTCATGGGCAGCCATAAGCTCGACCTGGACCTTGTACACTCGGTTGACGCTGTCGACGAACAATATCAGGATGAAGACAAAGGTGATTTTCATCCAATACTGCATTTTGGCCACGAGCGGGCTCTCAGAGATGAAGCTGTCAAATCACTAGGTTAGTAAACGGACCCAATCACCTACAAGATGCTCTATTAAGCAAACTCACGTAAAGATCTTTCGCTTGATCTTGAATGGCAGCGGCACGAGTAGCAGCATAAACAAGCCCATCTCGGCCATTAAGAGCGCAAATACCTTGTAGCTAGTTAGCACAATCACCCCATTCATTCTCGCAGCTGCCAAAGCAAACGTACAAGACTGTAGTAGAGCGTCATGGCGATGTCGGGGCAATGGCCTCTAAATGTGAGCTACAAATTCGCTGTTTTGTTTTCGGCGGGGGTAGCGGGAGAGGCTCGATTGAGAGCTCGGCAGCAGTAGCCTCGTTTCGATGGAGCGCAGCTGATGGTGAGTCTGTTTTGACGGAGGTCAAAGCAATAAATCTGCCAGACTAGGAAGCCTTGTTTGCAGATTGATGGGGTTGGGAAAATGGAGAAGGAATGAAGAAAGAGAGAGATTGAGGTTCTTGGCAAAATGTTCAGCTATTTGTTTTGAGCATGTGGGCTCAGGTACCTCCAGCTCTTTCGTTCAATCGCCCACGTCATCGTTTCTCGTTTGTGGCTACCCGGCCCCCGCCCCCGCTACAGAGATGTGGCTTGTTTCAATCCGGCTTTCAGTGGATTGCTATTACAGCAACTGCTGGGAAAGTGCCTATGTTGTAGCTACAAGGCTGCCTATATATTTGGCAGCCTCTATATCTTACCATTATGTATGATTTCCTTCTCACTTACATCTTCAACCCTCCAATTGAGCAAAGTCTGTGATATTACAACCCTTACTTGTTGTCATATAGCTAGTGTGCAGCAGGGCTCTGACCAAGGCAGAACAAGCTCTGCGACTGCGCCACATTCCTTTCCTGGACATCCCTTTTTTTCATACGTATCGCCATCACATGCAATTTCGTTTACTTATAAGGACAGATTTCATATTTGCTTCTTACTTTTTTAATATCAATATTAGTTTCTAAATCACACAAAGCAATGCCATCTCCTTTACAGTTACACCCTTTAACTCATCTCGTGACTCCGGCCAGGACTCCGTGATTGGTCTTTAGGCAAGCTAGCTACATATGAGTTGTATAGCCCGTATCTCTTTAACATCATTAAAATGATTCATCGTCTCTGAATTTAGCAGGTAGACGTCTGTTCCGAGACGTCCTGCTCCTCAATACTACATCTTGGTCTTCGCTATCCTCAATTTCAATCGCGTCTTCAGGTTCATGCCCTCGGCTTGCCCTGGTGTATTTGGGTGTTGCTGATGGAGTAGACATAGGCGTAGGTGTGATGGTAGAAGCGTGAATAAACGATTCTGGTTCGGATCGAGACTCCTGAGACGCGGCTTGGCTAAGTTGGGGAGGCTGAGAAGACTCAACAGACGCCCTATTTGGCTTTGGGACGATTCGAGGATGCTTCCTAGGCCGCCCGCTGCCAGGTCGAGCTCCTCCTCGCTTGCTACGCGGCTTTGGTTCGTCTGCTGCTACCGGTGGCTTTGTAGGCGTGACCTGCTCCTTGACTCTCTGCGATCTTGTTGTTTTCCGAAGCCGCTTTGAGTCAAGAGCCTCGGAGTCAAGACCAGATTCAGCAAGTGATGCCACCTCTGTACCTGTTGGCTGATATTCCTCCTCCTCAGAGTCAGTTATATGGTGGCGCTTTCGCTTGCGGGAATGAGATTCTTCAATCATTCGCCTGACAGCTGCGGAATCATCATCCGAGATTGCCGAAATCTCTCTTGCCTTTACTGCTGGCTTTTTTGTTGCTGGTCTTCCCACCGGCCTTGATGTGGTTTGCTTGTTCTTTTTCGATTTTGGTGGCCTTCCCGCTGTTTTGTGTTCTATTTTGGGCACTTTCCGCGCCACTCGATCACTTGTTTCGGCACGTTTCGGCCGACCAGCCTTTCTGGGCACCTTTGGTTTTTCTCCGGATTTGTGATCAAGAAGTTTCTTGGTAAGATTCGGAAAATTTTCTCCATAATTGAAAAAGAGCTCCTCCCCGGCCTTGATATCTCTCAAAGCCGTAAATTTAATTCGATATTCGCCGTTGACATAGAGAATTCGCGGAGTAATGTTGCACCCTTGTCTGTCATGTTCTGAAGCATGGTTGATATATCGGCTCAGATTGCCATAAATAGCAGCATCAACCCATATGCCCTCGTTTTCAAGTAGGGTAAAAACGTATGATATGTTGGAATCTTCGTCAAATACGTCGCCCCGTCTTGCCTCTCGGCGGACACCCTCATCGTGGGTGATCAGCTCCCCCACGTACTCAACAATAAATTCGTCTTGGAGAATATCCTCGGCAGTGAAGAGTCCATAGCCAACTCCTTCGAGCTGACTTTGCCCGAGAAGAACAGTCTTGTGTCGACCACGCTGTAAATCGCAGTTCTGACATCCTGTAGAGTGCAGGTAATAATCGTCCGCGTTTGCAGGATCAGCGCGTTCGAAAGCGCCGCATGAACCACACAATTGCGGATCACATTCGCGGTTGAGTTGAACGCATATGCAGGGCTTGGTGAGACATGATTTGCCTTGAGAATGACAGGCGCAGCCCGTGAATTTATAAGAACAATTCGCCTCGGTACAGCCGCAGAATCTCTCGCACAAAACCCCCGCATCTACACAGGGACATATTTTTGGAGCACATGGGCCGTCATGGGAGCAGGGTTCCAGCAACTCTCGCCGCTGATGTTCGTGAGTGATTGTATGATCTTGCCAATCTCCCAGGAGCATCTTCCGCTTGCGATCATACCATGAAATGTTCCGCGGCCGAGGAGGTTCCATGGGTTCCAGTTCAGGTACGCTGATGTGTAATGACTGAAATTCTGCGTACACTTCATCGCAGTTTCGATTTAAAAATTCGGTGGCCAGGCAGATAGGGTCTAATTTAGTTTTGCTGAAATCCGTCGTGACGTACAAAGAGCGCAAAAGAATGCGTTCATCTTCAGACCACGGTTTCGTTAATGCAGTCGGGTCGGGAGGGAGTTTCAGGCGATAGCATCTCCGTTCGCAAGGGTCATTTGCAATACTATTTGCTCCAGCCGCTGCTATCCGTTTCCTCTGCAGAATGTCCGACAAAGGTGCGTTGGATGACAAGGAAAACGTGCGCTTCCAGTTTTTGATGTCATACTCGCCATGATCGCAAGAATGGCTAAAGCAAATGAGACAACCCAGAATACAATACGTGGCCAAATTGGATTCGGCAATTTCGTCTTCGTTATCTTGCTGAGTAGCGGTGACTTCTTTGGCTGCAGTTTTGTTGTCCATGGCGCCATCAATAGATCCATCAATAAACAAGACTTTTCGTAGTTCAACCTGCTTATAGTCCACTTGATTTTCCTTAAAGACCAGTTGGAATGCATCATGAAACATGTCGGCGGCCAAATGCGCTTCTGGCGTTAAGGCATTGTCGTCGCTATTGGATTTGAAAAGATCCGCTTTTTGTCGAGGAGTCATGGAGTCCTCAGATTGGGTTTTCATATATTTGACGAGAGTGGACTTGTTGCAGAATGATATATTGAGCTCTTTGAGCCACATGTCCAAGTATAGAGATAGAGCTGCAGCGCGCTCGGCTTGGATGATTGCCACATGTTTCTCGTCACGATTCATGGGCTTGAACCCCGATTTGAGATCAATATCCTCCAGCTCTTTAAGCCAGAGGTTGTACTTGGCCTCTTCAGACCCCTCAAGATCTCGTAAATGGGGAACAAACGTCAACATGGTGTTGGGCATCAAGACATTCTTCTTGATTTCCACATGATGGAACCGATAAGATGGAACAGCGTCCTTGTTAGTTTTAATGCAGACCACATTGTAACGGAAATCCCGATAATCCTTCTTGTTTTTGCTGTGCTGTTGGGCGTAGAGAGTTAATGAACGCAAATTTCCAAGACTGGATAGAACAATGCCGAGTAACTGACCTTGAATCTGATTTTGACTTGTTTGTCCTTGATTTCTGGATTCGGGTGAGGATGAAGGTTCCGAAAGAGGTCCAACCCGTGATGCGTGCGCCATTCTCTACACTTTGCCGACTCAATGGCGTGCGCGACAAGCTGAGAATGGTCACTTCGAACCTCTTGATTGAACGTTCTGAGTCGATTGGCGAGTTTCTGGACAGTCCACTCTGTTATAGGCACAGTTCGAGCCGTGGGAGTCTGGACTACTTCTGGCTGCTGCTGACGCTCTCGCGACGGGGTCGTTGCTGAAGGGGGCGTCATATTGCCCACCGATCTGGTGTTTGATGCGTCACCAGATTGTTTTGGCACCGCTGGCGCATGTTCAGCAACGCGGTCTGCCAAGGGCCAGGACGCGCGATCAGGGAGCGTTTGAGGAGCCCACTCGCCGGTGGTCTCACTATTGACCTCACTTGTGCAGGGATCCAGCGGCGCAGGGGGAGCAGACAGAGAATTTCTCTTCAAAGGAGGAGGACTGATGGGGCCGAAGGACGAAGCGACGCCAAATGGCGGCGGCAGCTTGCGGCTAATTAAGTCTGGACGGGACAAGTGGCTTGGTTCGCCATCTCCCGATTTCGTGAGTGCTGAGTCGCGGTTTATGGCTCCGTGGGGCATCATCCTTGTCTCCTCGATATTAAAACACCCTCTGCGCTGCAAACAGCTTTGATGCGGTCTTGTATCACTGGAGATGTGAGTTTCCTCTTCTGCAGCGGCGTACGGCAGCCAGGGACTGTGAGAGCTGACGGTAGAACTGCCTATGAGTGAACGGCCAGGAAATGCAGGAGAGTCCGCATGAGAAGCCTGGGAACAAGAACGCTGGGAATGAAGTCGCAAATCAACAGTGTAAATCAAAGCACACAATCAAAATGGCATTGACCATGAGAGTCTCATTCATCAGGTCGGGCAAGCGCTCGGCGTTAACTCATGCGAGGCTGACAATGGGCTTTGATGGGGATTTTGGCGAAATGTGTTGGTTGCCGTAGTACATGTCTGTATTCCTGCGTCGTGCAAGCCACAAAACCCGGGCCAGGCGGCAGCTATCCGCGATGACCGCTACAGCGGAGAGGGAACTTCAGAAGAGCATCTCCATGCAGCGCATGGCAGTTGTTTGTCGTCCCGCCAATAACTGTGAATCCCAGCGCACGAGATTATGAGAACCGCGAATTCGAAATGCTTTGAAACCGCGTCTTGCCTTGGACACGCGAGCCCTGGTTGGCTGCAATGTTGATTAGTCAGGGTTTCTGTCCGAGTCCACAAAGAAAAGCTGCAGAGCTAGCCCCATTCTGGAGAGCGCGTTGGCCACAGTTCTTTCATGCGAGAAGCCGCTGAAAGAAAGTTTGAGCCGTGTCCTTCATTTAATTCTGTGCCATAAAAATTCTTTGTTGTAAAGAAAATAAGCTTCTATTAGACTAAATTTGAAGCCATCAGATCTCACATCTCTATTGCCTTTTACAGCCGCTCACCATGATACTCAGGCGGTTACAAACCCATAGGTCGAAAAATCTCCTTCAGAGACCACTTCTTGGGCTTTATAACGCGGTCTTTCTGCCTGTGTAGATTGCTCTGTGAGATCCGGAGATTTAATGGCGAGAAGCTGTTCGCTCGGTATATTTCAATGGTCTATCATTCATTTTTGACATTTGACATGTAGCCTCTTGATTAAAGCTCCACGATCGTCAGCCCAACAGGGCCTGTCCCAGCATCACGAATGTGGAGCACCACAATCTGTACCTGCATGAGCGTCTCAATGCAGCTCGTCTCGAAATGGGTTTGACAGCCAGCACAGACATTCCGAATGAGAAAAAGGACTAGGCGAGGCTCCGAGTATCAGAGATCAACTGCCACGTTTGTAAATTCCGCATCTGATCTGCCTACACCATGCCAACAGCAGATGGCAATCCTCTGTACTTGGTGCTACAGCCGAAATCTAGTATACAAGGAGGTAGAGCTGGCCTGCACACGCACCCCCCATCTTTGATGGTGAACACCCCACTGCGGGAGCCTTTACTGCAATCAAACCCCTACTTGGCAATGAGCCAATCGACATCAAGTGAGTTGATGCTGTGTGCTCATCCCGCACATCTTTTGAGTTTTGGCCTAGAGGAGCTTCGTTTTTAAGATGACCATTGACTAGCCGCTTCAGCTTCCACCAAAGTATGCAGCGCAAGACCATTAATCAATCGAGGATAAGCAGGATCACGATCCAGGCAATTTCAGTCAACCGCAAGCGCTGTGCTGCCGAGGTCAGCAGCTGCTCTGGATGGTATGACGGCATCAATCAATCACTGATGAGCATGAGTCGCTACTCTTGCATCTACCTGCAGTGTCTCAGTTGGTACCACTCATCATGCATTTTTGGCAATTGAGACATCGTTCCTCCTTGGCAGCAACAGCAACAGCAACAGCAACAGTACAAAAAGATAAGAAAACAAGAAAATTGGCAAAAAGCAAGTTGCTTTTCAGTGTCAACGCCGTCATTCGCTACTCCTAGGTTGCCGCTAGCATCGCTCATCGCCCAGCTTCTCCAACATCTCAAGCCAAATGCGGCATGATCCACCACCACGAGCAAACCAATTCACGGCGCAGTGTCTCAGCCCGCGGGGCTTGGCGTTGACAAGCACGTTCCAATCCTACGCAAGGCTTGAGACACGCATTGCAGATTACAGGTGAGCCTTACTAAGTCACGATAGTCCCGTAGGTCCCGGACTCTAATCTGACGTAGGCGCTGTTGCCCAAGAAGGCCACTGAACAGACCCCCGCTAGTACTGAAGGGCTGCTAGGCCTGCCGTTAAGCTTCGAGCTCCCCTCTATCGAGGCTCAAACAGGCTGCTGAGCTCAGGCTACTGGGGCGTCACTGACATGACGTAGCTCCAGCGCAACAGCTGTGCAAGCCGATGACGATCCGCCAGCTCCGCGTAAATCCTGCCCAGCCATTGTCCAGACAGTCTTATAATCACCTAGACTCTCCCCATCCATCCCCTCCCGCGTCAGATCATCTTTTTTTCTCCCCTCGTCTCATTGCTGCAGACTCCGCTGCTGTCCCTTTCCTGTGTGCCCAATCGCTCAATCCCTATCGCACCACCATCGCTCTTTTCTCCAGCTATATAGGCTTCTTAATCGCAACCGCAACCTCTGTTAGCGCTCAGCCACACCGCCATAATGCACCGAACATACTCTATGCGCCAGTCCCGCGCGCCCACGGCATCGCAGCTTCAGGTATGGAGGTTCCGGAGCTACTTTCATCGTGTACCACTGCCTCGTGTGTTCGCTGACGCAGTCAATGGATAGAGTCCGCCACCACCCCCTTCGTCCACCAAGTCCGGCCGTTTCTTCGGCAAAGGAAGCCTGGGTGAGTGTTGCAATGGCGGGCCTTTTACGCACCGGTTTCCCACGATAGGATTGGCTGAGATGGCTCTCACGTCAATCCTGACTCCTATGATCATATCTGCCTCTAGGGCCCAAACTAACTGATGAGGTAGGCCATGCTCTCCGCGGCCGAGCCGGTGGCGCCTTCGGGCCAGATCTGGCTAAGAAGTTATCCCAGCTCGTGAAGATGGAAAAGAATGTCATGCGAAGCCTAGAGCTCGTCGCTAGGGAGCGCATGGATGTGGCCGTATGTGATTTCCTTTTCACTATTGCTGTCTCATCATTCTCATCAAGAATTCTGCTGGCTCACACTTTAATAGCAACAATTGTCCCTTTGGGGTGAGGCTACCGATGAAGATGTCTCTGACGTCACCGACAAGATCGGCGTTCTCCTCTACGAAATCGGCGAACTGGAAGATCAATACGTCGACCGATACGACCAATATCGCATTACCATGAAGAGCATTCGCAACATCGAAGCATCTGTCCAGCCTAGCCGAGACCGTGAGACACACCGTGCATGTCATATATATTCAACATTCAATGCTGACTGCAGCCAGGCAAACAAAAAATTACCGACCAGATCGCCCAGCTAAAGTACAAGGAGCCTAACTCTCCCAAGATTGTGGTACTGGAACAGGAGCTAGTCCGTGCCGAGGCCGAATCGCTCGTGGCAGAGGCCCAGCTCTCCAATATCACTCGCGAAAAGGTCAAAGCTGCTTATTCTTACCAGTTCGATGCCCTCCGCGAACACTGCGAGAAGGTTGCCATTATTGCTGGCTACGGCAAACATCTCCTCGAGCTGATCGACGACACTCCCGTGACCCCTGGCGAAACCCGAGCCGCGTATGACGGCTATGAAGCTAGCAAGGCCATCATCCAGGATTGCGAAGATTCCCTCACCAACTGGGTCACCGCCAACGCCGCCGTGAGCTCCAAGCTCTCTACCCGATCGCGAACTCTCTCCCAGCGACGCCGTAATACTATCCAAGCCAGGGAAGAGGGCCACGACTTATCTCACCAGGATGTACCGCTGCACGACAACCAATCATGGGAAGCGCGAGGTGTTGAAGCCGAGAGTGAAGCAGAGGAGGAGGAGGAGGAGTTGGAGGAGCCTCACCACTCTGTTTTAGGCAGTGACGTTGGTATGAATGGTGAGACACGAGGCCGATCCCAAGAAGTTCTCGCGGCTTAAGACGCCCGGCAACATATTATGCGACAAAGAGAAGAAAAACTAAAGAAAAACAAAAGCTAGGGGCAGGTGAATGAGATCCTCGGGCTTGGAGAGCAGGGGCTGATACCAATAATGTCGACGATTTGGATGCCGCTAACCTGGCGGCGGAGTTTTTGGACAAGGCTGGGTTGACTGCTTGGCTGGGTAAATTTGCTTTAATTCTCTATCGGATAGCTCTTTGGGCGTGTGGCTATTCACTAATACCTTGTTGTGAGTTGTAAAATGTTTGTCTGGATGAGAATAGCTCTTCGAAGTAATATACACGTCTATGTACCCAGCATTGGATGGTCCTTATATCCTCATCTTAAGTAATGTTCAACCGTTGAAACGCCGTACCGTAAGTGCAGTGAAAACTAAAGCCGCCGCCCCATAACTAGTGTGAAACATATTGATACAATATTCCCTTCTCGTAAAATAGTGCCAATCAGGATTTGATTTGGCTCAAAAATTGCTCCACTTCCATCTTCACAATGTGCTGCCCGGGAACGACGATCAGGCCGAGGTATCGAGACGTCATGTCCAGGGAAACCGAGTCGCCAGAGGTGTTTGCCGCAGCGGCGCCGACTTCCTTTGTCGAAGGTTGTCGGTATTCATGTGTATTGCCCAAGACGAGGTTCATGTCCTATGCGATCGATGGCCATATGTTAGCATTCCAGTGCAGGAAATAATATGATACTGATGGCGATGGCTGCGGGGATACAAACCGGGTCTGTGCATTTAAAGGCTCCCCGGAACATGCGGCCATCGGTGGTGTGGATGCGCAGGTTCTGGTTCAGTAAAGACGAAAGATAATCGTGAGCTTCATCTTTGTCCATTGCGAGGACTAGCCTTGGCCTGGAGAGGCTATATGATGGAGGTGCAAGAGGAATCGAAGCTCGGAGGAAAAGGTGTAGCGGATCTCCATGCACGTTCCTTGTCAACGCATCTCTGGAGCGATAAGCTCAGTGGGCCAATGGATAAGATTTCGCAGGCCTGCAGGCCCCACTTGCCTCTGCTAATAGCGTCACTGTGGAATCGATCAACGCATCGTGAATCTTGAACCTCTTCATTGCATTCTGTGAAAACGATCTTTTTCTATCTTTTCATATCTGAAAATTGCTGTTGAAGCGAGTTGAGCTCGCATAATCATCATCGCAATGCTCTCTTTTCTTCAATAGCCAACACATTCTGTCGCGGGCCGTCGCTAAGCCCGTGCCGTCACCATGGGCGTTAACGGTCTCTGGACCGTGATCCAGCCGTGTGCACGGCCTACCAATCTCGCAACGCTCAATCGGAAGCGTCTTGCCGTGGATGCGTCAATCTGGATCTATCAGTTTCTCAAAGCTGTTCGCGACAAAGAAGGCAATGCGCTTCGCAACTCGCACATTGTGGGATTCTTCCGGCGCATTTGCAAGCTCCTCTGGTACGGCATTCTACCGATCTTTGTATTCGATGGCGGTGCCCCAGCACTGAAGAGAGCAACCATCCAGAAGCGCAAGCAGAGACGTGAAGGAAGACGAGAAGATGCTATCAGGACGGCAGGAAAGCTCCTTGCCGTTCAGATGCAGCGCCTTGTCGAAGAGGAGGAAGAAAAACGCAGGAAAGAAAATGAAAGACCACGAGCATCGAGGGCGGTGGAAGAGGAAGAGGAAGTCATTCCCGATGCTAGCAAATTGGTCTATGTTGATGAGATCGGAATGTCCCAGCAGGAGAGGATGCGGAACCGCAAGTTCTATAAGCAGGACGCGTATCATTTGCCCGAGCTTGAAAACGGCATAGCATCAATGGGAAAACCAGATGATCCGCGAATCATGAGCGTGGAAGAGCTGGAAGAGTATGCGCGCCAATTCAATAACGGAGAGGATATCAATCTGTACGACTTTAGTAAGATTGATTTTGACGGCGACTTCTTCAAAAGCCTTCCGCCACCGGATAGATACAATATCCTCAATGCGGCTAGATTAAGGAGTCGTCTGAGAATGGGCTTGAGCAAGGAACAGCTTGACGACATGTTCCCCGATCGCATGGCATTCTCAAGATTTCAGATTGAGAGAGTTAAGGAGAGGAATCATCTCACACAGCGGCTCATGTATGAAGTCGGAATGTTAGGTACTGACTTGACGCTCAATGTCAATGCTCGAATCGCTGGAGAAAAGGATCGAGAGTATATCCTAGTCAAGAATGAAGGCGTTGAGGGAGGCTGGGCGCTCGGAGTAGTCAGCAAGGAGAAGGACGTTGGAGAAGCTCACAAGCCAATCGACGTGGATGCCATCCAATTTCAATACCAGACAAAAGAAGAGGAGAGCGAAGAGGAAGACGACTTCGAAGATGTGCCGATTGTGGGTATTAACCGATTGCCCAAACCATCACAATTTGCTGCGGCAGGTCTTGACGCTGCTCAAGATATCAACAACCGACGACAGCAATTCTACGCATCTAATAGGCAGGGAGCTGTCAATGAAGCTGCCGGCGAGGGCTCGCTATTTGTTGATGGACAAGTAGAGCCAACGGTGAATCCGCTCGACGAGCAGCCTACGGAACTTATGCATCCTGAAGAAGAACATGATCTCAATCTCGCTATTGCTCTATCGTTACAAAACCAACACGGTATTGGCCAGGAACCCGACGAGGGATCGGATGTCGAAGATGAATCTCGAGAGAAGCCAAAGTGGACTCAAGTTGCGGTGGAAGCACCCAAGCCTATTATTGGCCGCGGCGGGGGCTCAATGATTGCGCATATTGTAAACAATAGAGCCAATGCTGCCGTTCCAAAACGGCAAGAAGCCCCAATCACAGCGGACAAAGAGAAAGACAGCGATAGCGAAGATGATATGCAAGCAGTTTTGGCCAAATCGCGAAAAATGAAAAAAGCTCAGCCAAAGCCAGTATTCGAAAACAAGAAGAATCCATTTGATGGACCTCTTCCATTTCCCAAATTAGATTGGGGATCTTCTCTGTTTGCGAAGAAAAAGGCAAAGGCGTCAGAGGAGAAGCCGATTGTAGTGACGGCCGGTGGAGATGCTGTACCAGAGGAAGAGGAAGAGGAAGACGAAACAGGGAGTGGCTTTGAGGTTGAAGGACAAAGAGAAGATGGTCCTAAACCGCTCCCTCCTTGGCTAGTGGATAACGACACAGATATCCGAGAGGCCATTAAGCAACAGAAAGATGTCGAAAGAGAGATAAATGCCCAAGATAGAGCGGAAATGGAAGAAGAAGAGAGGCTTCGGAAACGAGAGCTGAGAGATCAGCTGATTGAGATTGAATCTTCAGACGAAGAAGATGGTAGTGATGATGTTAAAATCGTCGAATTACCCCCTTCACCTGAACAGGAACGAGTTCCCAGTCCCGCAAAGATTGAAGAAAACAACGAAGATGATGCAATAATGGAAGCGCCAGTTACCGAATCGATCCCCACTGGAAGTAAAGGGAATGAAGAAGACGGTGAATCACCAGAGCCGGAGTTTGAAGAGATACCTATCATTGAGGCTCCTAGTGTTCCAGTCGTACCTGTTATGGAAACAGAAGCACAAAACGACCATGAGTCTCCAGAGCCTGAATTTGAAGATGTTGAGCCATCGGACAGAACTTTGATTCAAGGAAATCTACTAGATGAGTCAGTTTTATTTGAGGATATTCCTCTGGATCGACCCCCAGTGGAGGTTATCCCTGGGAACACCACAATTACAGACGAAGAGCTCTTTGGCGACGAAGAATTCGACGAATTCAGTGACCCTGAAGACGAGGAGCTATTGGCACAAATGGCTGAAGAAGCAGATGAACACGCTCGTTTCGCCAGCGAACTCAACAACAAATCTACTGAACAGAACAGGGAGGATTACGAAAGAGAATTGAGAGCTCTTCGAAGTCAACAGAAAAAAGATCGTCGTGACGCAGACGAAGTAACGCAGACCATGATTACAGAGTGTCAAGCTTTGCTTCGCCTCTTCGGTATCCCTTACATCACTGCGCCAATGGAAGCAGAAGCGCAGTGTGCAGAGCTAGTCCGATTGAACATGGTAGACGGCATCGTCACAGATGACTCAGATACCTTCCTTTTTGGAGGAACGCGAGTTTACAAAAACATGTTCAACAGCAACAAATTTGTCGAATGCTATGTCGGTGCAGATCTCGACAAGGAACTGTCCTTATCTCGAGAACAGCTCATCTCTCTCGCTCAGCTTTTGGGGTCGGATTATACAGAAGGACTACCAGGGGTCGGTCCAGTCACGGCTGTGGAAATCCTATCCGAGTTCCCTGGCAAGGATGGGCTCGAAAAATTCCGCGAGTGGTGGCGTGACGTTCAATCTCAAGTGCGACCCAAGGAGGCCGATGCTTCTTCTTCGTTCCGACGCAAGTTTCGCAAGTCACAAGCAACCAAGCTCTTCTTGCCGGTTGCCTTTCCCAGTCCAGCCGTCTACGAAGCCTATCTTCATCCTGTGGTCGATAGCAGCACGGAACAGTTTCAATGGGGCGTGCCTGATGTAGCGGGATTGAGAGAATACCTCATGGCCACGATTGGTTGGAGCAAAGAGCGCACAGACGAAGTGCTGGTGCCGGTCATTCGGGATATGAATAAGCGAGAGATTGAAGGAACGCAGAGCAACATTACGAGATTCTTTGGTGGGAGTGTTGGTGCTGGCGCCAGAGAGACGTTTGCACCCAGACAGAAAGTTCAAGGAAGCAAGCGGATGGCGGCTGCGGTGGATAGACTGAGGGCGAATATTGCTGGCGAGGGGCCGGCTCCGGAGGTTGATGAGAGCTCAGTTCCCAATAAGCGAAGGAAAACAACCAGAAAGAAGTGATGACAAAAGATGGTGCTACAGGATGTGCAGAAGAGAATCCTGATATAAGTGGAAACGATCTCTTGGTCTTTAGAGTAGCAGACATGCAATATGATGGTCAAGTTGATAGAGTGCAATGTCTTATAGAGCTTATGATATGCATACAGTATATTGAGCACGTGCTGGTTCAGATATAGTCAAGTCACAAGGCATGATATCTTCATTTCATTACGCATTTAGTATATTGATTGCATATTCGCTTATAAAGATAGTAAAAACATATATGTGATCCATGCCTCTTTGCATGATAGAACACAACGCGAAGTCTCATCGTCTCGAGATAAAGCATATACCTCGGCACGTGACCCTACAAGCATCAATCTTCTAGATGCTTCACAACCCCGCGGCTAAATCCCGGAATCCTCCGTCCCGCCCACGCCATTTACAGCGCCAGCAGCTCCGTAATGCGACGAATTGATTCGCCGCGCGCCGCGTGGGCAGAAAGCAAGAGAGAGAGACCTTGCATCTTTTTTTTTCCCTTGTAGTAAATTGCTTCTGAACAGTCTTTTGTCTTCTCATCTTCGGCCAGTACTTCTCCTGCCTCACCCTGGGATTTCATTCGTCGCTTCCTCAGCTTCTCTCAGCTTTTGCAAGATTATTTCGCCAAGGGCACATATAAAGAAGAAAAAGATGCCGGGCATGGATCAGCGTGAGCTCGAGTCGCGCGTAAAGGCGCTGACCAAGGTGGTGGCCGCCAACGAGCCTCCGGAGAATGCGCTGAAGCTGCTGGAGACGCTGAAGAAGGATGCGTCACCGACAGAAGAGATGCTGCGGGTAGGTGTCCTTTTCTTTTAGGCGCATCGCTTATTTCCTGGGAGGGTGATTCCGAGAGAAGGGAGGAGGATTGGGTTCCATTCTCTGCACGCTTTCTTGTCTTGAATGGGCATTGCAATGCGATGGATGGGATGTGCTCCATTCAGACTGATTTGCTGTCAAGTTTGGGAAAACGTCAGCCAACTGACCCCCAGTCACTGTCCATCATTGCCTTCAATCGCAGCTTGCTTGTATCCCTATATAATGCCTCCCCTTGGTTCTTATTTCTTTCTTCCTATTTGTTTGCAGCTACATTTGAAACCCTTCTGTCTGACATCAATTGTCGCAAATCTATTAGGCCACGCGCGCAGGTGTTTTCGTCGGCAAGTTGCGGTCAAATCCCAACAAAGAGATTGCTCGAGCCGCCTCCGAACTGGTGATCAAGTGGAAGAAGCTTGTCGAGCAAGAGAAGAACTCCAAGCTGCAAAAGGCGAAAATGGGCTCACCATCAGCTCCCGCGGCCGCATCGCCGCCCAACCCATCCAGCAACGCATCCTCCACCGGCGGCGCCAAGAAGGCATTCAAGGGCGATCCTGAGAAGCGCAAGTTCGACACCGACGGCGTGAGCATCAAGCGAACCGAGTCCAATGTCCGTAACCAGTGCATCGGCCTCATCTACAACGGCCTAGCCTACCGATCGATCGAGTCCGAGACCGACGTCATCGCCAGGGCCGTCGCCGTCGAGCACGCCGCATTCACGCTCCTCAAGGGCGAGACCCCCGACTACAAAAAGAAAATCCGGTCGTTATTCACAAATCTCAAGAATAAGTCGAACCGGGACTTGGGCAAGCGAGTCATGGCAGGAGATATCTCGCCGGAAAAGTTTGTCAACATGTCGGACGAGGAACTCAAGAGCGAGGATCAACGCAAGATGGAGATCGAGTTGGAGAAGGAGAACATGAAGAAGGCACAGGTACCGATGGCCGAGAAGAGCATCAGTGACAGCCTGGAATGCGGCAAGTGTAAGAAGAAGCGCGTCAGCTACACCCAGGCGCAGACACGAAGTGCCGATGAACCGATGACGACATTCTGCGAGTGTATGAACTGCGGCAATCGTTGGAAGGTTTGTTTTTTTCTCTCTCCCCCTGCGTATCATTTTTGGTGTGCGCTCAGTGCGTTACAAATGTGTATTAACACGAGCGATTCTACAGTTCTCGTAAAGAGGTAACGAGAGAGAGGAAATTTATGATCGATAGCGCCACGTCTGCACCAAGGGGTTGAAAGACACTTTCAATGAGCTTTTTTATTCTTCTTTTCTACGGAGTGCTTGGGGTGGATATTTCTTAGGATGGGAGTTATGGAAAATTCAATCTTGCTTTTTCAGGAATTGTAATGAAGGTCTCAAGAACTTCAGGCGCCATGATGTGTTTTTTTTTTTTTTAACTTTTGATTTCTTCTTTTTACCCTCTATATCTCAATCCCTCATCGGTGTGTCTTTTTTGGCGATGCGTGCACATCATGAACATGGTGGTGCTGTGAAGCCATGTACTCTATTTTCTATTTTCTTTAACTTAGATCGCTAATAGATCTTTGATCTTGTTCCATTATATCTATCCCCATATCATACATATGTACTGCTGCCTATAAAGGCTATTCTTGTGTACTGGATCATAAGCTTTTGGTTATTTGGTTCATCATTCTGATATCCCCAGCTCAGTGAAGAGATCCGTGGCCTCCTCGTCCTCTAGGCCCATCTCCTTGATATTCTTCCAAAACTTGCTCAAATGCCGAGTTCCCGAATCGCACAGCAAAGTAACGACCCTACTTCCAGGAGGAAGTCTCATGGCGGTGACAACAGCGGCAACACAGTTGACAGAGCTACTGCTCCCGACAAAGATGCCGTCATTTTCAACAAGCCACCTAGCCATGCGACAAGCTTGATCATCCGTCACTTTGACAGCATCGTCGAGTAAATCTCTGCCGATTTCGAAATTGTTCGTCACCCGGTTAATGCCGATTCCTTCCACCATTGTGTCGACTTGTTGTCTCCGCCGGGTACCTTCCTTCTCGGTAGACGAATACATGACGCCGTGCTTAATCTTGTTGTACAGCCCGCTTCCCTGAGGATCTGCCAGAACGACCTTGAGGTTGCTCATCTTCGCATCCAGCTTCAAGTACCTCGCCACTCCCGAAATAGTGCCACCTGTTCCGGCACCAGCAACGAATGCGTCAAGATTACCATCTGTCTGCTGAAAGATCTCCGGGCCTGTGCTGACGGCATGGGCTTGCCAGTTGGACTCGGTTTCGAACTGATTCGCAAAGAAGCCTTTGCTGCCGTCTGTGGATGACTGCGTATGCTCGATGGCGCGCCTTCGGGCCAGGTTCACAAAGTGATCGGGGCTGGTAATGGGGGCAACGGCAACTCTCTCAACAGTCGCGCCCAAGTGAATCAAAAGGTCTGACTTTTCAAAGGCCTGGTCATCAGGCATGCAAATATGGGCTTTATATCCCTTTGCGCGGGCCAGAGTCGCAAGAGAAATGCCCGTGCTGCCTACTGTTCCCTCATAGATGGTATCGCCCTGATGAGGTGTCAAGAGTCCCTGTTTCTCAGCCTCCAAAATCATATTGAGCGCTACTCGATCCTTGGGGCTGTTCCCTGCGCCGTTGAGAAACTCGGCCTTGGCGAGGATGGTGCGGCCAGTGGCTTGAGAGAGAGAAGGAATTTCTATGAGGGGCGTGTTGCCGATACAACCTTCGATGCCGTTGGTTACAATCTCCGGGGCACGAGATGATGATGGTGCCGGCTCATGGTCTTCCAGTTCCACCGGCGCCATCCAGAAGAAACTGCTTCGTCGCGGATCCGTTGACCGCACATTGCTGCGCCTACGGTGGAATGTTTTATGCTGATATCGAGACTCCAGCTCGGGATACAGCTCTTTGAAGCCCAGGGTAGCGACAATGCCGGCCGTGAAGGCAACGGCAATGGCTGCCGTGCCATATGCTTTGGGATGGTCGCTCAATGACATGCTGCTTTCTTATGCCGAGTACATCTCACCATAATCATAACAATGAAGCCCTCATTTCTGAAAAGTTTGTTGAGCTTGTCAGAAGTAGAGCATGAATCACGCGAGATGGGAAACTTTCAAATTCAAAACTCTTCTGATGTCATCTAGATCCCTGCGGAAAATCAGCGCCAAAACGGGTACGTACCCAGGAACCAGTTCGCGGGGCAGCCCTACTTCCCGGAACAAACCACTTTCCGGGCCATAGCTGCGGGATCTACCCCAATTGATAGCTAAGAGAAAACATTCGATCTTTTTTATGAGGTTGTCGTGATCCATTCAAAACCACAGCTGCAAACAGAGAGAGGGTAGCATATCATGGACTCCCCCATTGTAGCTCACCTCTTTCGCCAATTGTTTCGACATCGTCCGCGCGGATGTCAAGGTTTGCGCAATGGCCTCGCCAGCAGGCCTCACAGACAGCCAGTTCGCGGGCTCGTGAACAAGGCCTCGATAGATCGGGGCATGAAGACAAACGAGAGTCGCTGGCAGCAACGGACGCACATCTTGCCGGAGGACCGCAGAGAGGAGTTTGCAGAGTATCCTTACATCTCGCTGCCGGAGCTGAAGATGAGAAGTGAGCGGCCTCGGAAAGTAAAGATGCTACTTCGGGACTTCATAGACGGTATGTGGTTCGGTGATTATAGACGGCGTGTAATTGGACTGACGTTGGAATCTCACAGATAGTCTCTACAACCCCTCATACGGCTACTTCTCCAAAGAAGCCGTCATCTTCAGCCCAGGCGAGCCCTTCGACTTCAATTCCATGCGCGACGAGCTCGAGTTCCAAGCCGACCTCGGCAGGCGATACACCGAATTCGAAGACCTCCTCGACGAGAAAGAAGGCGAAAGCGCGACGCGACAGCTCTGGCACACCCCGACAGAGCTCTTCCGACCTTTCTACGGCGAGGCCATTGCCCGCTACCTCGTCTCCAACTACCGCCTCACGACGTATCCCTACGACGACCTGCTCATCTTCGAAATGGGCGCCGGACGGGGCACCCTCATGCTCAACATCCTCGACTACATCCGCGCCGCCGACCCGCAAGTCTACGCCCGCACCAAATTCAACATCATCGAAATCTCCTCTTCGCTCGCGGCCCTCCAGAACCGCCACCTCCTCTCCACCGCAGAATCGCGCGGCCACGCAGACAAGGTCGAAATCATCAACAAGTCCATCTTCGAATGGGACCAGTACGTCCCCTCACCGTGCTTCTTCCTCGCCATGGAGGTCTTTGACAACTTCTCCCACGACGGCATCCGCTACGACGTCACCACCGAGGAGCCTCTCCAGGGCCACGTGCTCATTGACGGCGACGGCGACTTTTACGAATTCTACGTCCATGAGCTAGACCCTCTCGCCGCAAGATTCTTCCGCGTCCGCCATGCCGCCACGGGGGGCAACTATCCCAAGCCGTACCCTTCCAACCCTGTTCTTCGGTACATGTCCAACAAGTTGCCCTTTGCCGCCAACCTGTCCCAGGCCGAGTTCATCCCCACAAGACTGATGCAATTCTTCGACGTCCTGGAAAAGTACTTTCCCGCCCACCGCCTCATCACCTCTGATTTCGACTCTCTCCCTCAAGCCATCAAGGGTCTCAATGCCCCCGTCGTGCAGACTCGGTTCCAGCGAAAGATGGTGCCCGTCACGACTCCCCTTGTAAGTTGCGAATGCCCTTTTTCAAGAAAGAAAATTCAGAACTAAACAATGTTATACAATGCAGGTCCACCAAGGCTACTTTGATATTCTCTTCCCCACAGACTTCAACATCACTGAAGCCATTTACCGCGCCATCACCGGGAAGCTCACCCGCGTCATGACCCATGGGGACTTTATGCGTCGATGGGCCTATGTTGAGGATACGGAGACGCGAAGCGGGGAGAATCCTCTCCTGTCACATTATAGAAATGCCAGTGTCATGGTTACTGTATAAATATGTATATATGTATCTAACTTTAGACCCCCCTTACCACGAATTGTATAAATACAATGATGAGCAATGAAGTATCGTATGACCTTTGCTTTTGTATATATAATCTCTCTACATGTCCCCCTGGTGAAGTTTAGAGTATCTATATATTTCTTTATTTTTTAAGAGTTTTTGTTTCGTATGGCTACCTATTTATCGCAGTTCCGTTTTCATCCATGCATATGAACCCCTTCAATTTGGCCAAACACCGTCCAGCTACTATAATACACAAACTCCTCCTATTTAAAGCTTCAACTTCTCGTCAAGCCATTTTCGTGCAGTCTCAACAGCGTCCTCAATCTTCTCCGGCTGAGTTCCCTGGCCTTGGCGAGACGGCTCCTTACCACCGGAGCGGCCACCGATGACGTCGGATACAGAGGCAGCCCACTTCTCAGCAGTAACTCCCTGTGAAGCCAAGTGCTAGAATCATGACATGTTAGTGGAAAGGGTTCTTTGATTTGATATGATCAAAGGGCAGGGTGCTTACTGTTCCAACATAAACTCCGTGCGCAACAGCGCCTTCCTCCTGACTACCGACAAATAGATAAACAGACTTTGCCTTGTCCTTGGACTGGTAGTGCTTGATGACCTCGCCCACGGCCTTGGCGTTGGCGCTGATGGGCAGTCGGCCAACGAACCACTGGCTCTCCTTGTTCGCCTCAAAGTGCTTGGTAACAGTGTCAATAGCAGTCTTGGATTCCGCCTTTTGCTTCTTCTTCTGCTCGGCAACAACGGCGTTGGCAATCTTCTGGAAACGCTGGTTGAACTCGTCCTTGGTCAGCGTTGAGATGACCAACTGGCTGAGCTCCTGTGAGACGGTCTTGACTGCAGCCTCCTTCTCAGGGCCAAAGGGAAGGTTATCGAGATCTAGCAGCTTCTGCTCGAACAGCTTGGCTTCGCGCTGGACCTTGTGAGCAGCCTCACCGGTGTAAGCGATAATACGACGGATACCCTTGGCAATACCGCTTTCCTCAACGATGATGAGATCCTTGAGTAAACCGGTCTGCTCTACGTGGGTTCCACCGCAAAGCTCAACGCTGTACTGTCGCCAATCAGCCTTTTTGGGGTCGGCAATCATGGTGTCAACGTCCATGCCGATTGACACCACTCGCACGGGGTTAGGATAGGTCTCGCCAAAGACGGCACGAAGACCCTCAATCTTGAGCGCAAGGTCCAGCTCCACCTCCTTGGCGTAGATCTTATGGTTGGCACGAATGTCCTTATTTGAAAGCTCTTCAATCTTTCTTAACTCGTCAAGCTTAACCTGGGTCTTGTGTGAGAAATCGAAACGCAGCTTGTCATTGTCGACCAGTGAGCCCTTTTGGTTGACATCCTCGCCGAGCACTTCCCGCAGGGAGTGGTTGAGAATGTGTGTGCCAGAGTGGTTGTTACGGATGGGAGAACGGCGGAGCTCATCATATTCGCAAATGACCTCGTCGTCAGAGTTGAGCTCTCCGTATTCAATGTAACCGCTGTGGAGAACGTAGCCACCAAAGTCTTGCACGTCCATGACCTTGAACTCGACAACATCGTCAATGACAATGCGGCCAGTATCAGCAATCTGACCACCAGACTCGGCGTAAAAGTTGGTCTTGTCCAGCAAAACACCAATGGCGGTGTTGGGAGCAATATCCTTGGTCGACTTGGTGAAAGTCTTTCCGTCGAAGATGTACTGCACTTTGCTCTTGCTGTCGCCCTTGAGGTACTTTGCGTCGTCGTTTGTTCGTGGGACCTTGAGCTGTGTGTCGAGCTCGGCAATCTGGTGGACGTCAAGCTTTGCAAATGTCTGTACTGAGTCCTTGACAGCCTTGCTAGCCTCCCTGGCCTTTTCACGGGCAACCGCAACTTCAGCCTCATCAATATCCAAGCCTCGCTCTTCAGCCATCAATTTGGTCAAGTCGACAGGGAAACCAAATGTATCGTAGAGTCTCCACACAACATCTCCCTCCAGCTTCTTGACGTTATCTTTAGCGGCCTTGGCGGCATATCTCTCGAATTGGGCCTCGCCACGATCCAGGGTTCGAGAAAAGGCCTCTTCTTCCTCATCGAGGATCTCCTGGATATCCAGCTGCTTCTTGGCAAGATCGGGGAATTGCTCGCCCATCTGCGCAATCAAAGCAGGAAGGATTTTAGAGAAGAATGAGCCAATCTCTGCATTGAGGTACTTGCGAGCATATCGAACTCCACGGCGGAGAATTCGTCGAATGACATAGCCACGGCCGTCGTTGTTAGGCACGGCGCCATCAGTAATGGCAAATGACATGGTTCGGATATGATCGGCGACAACTCGGTAAGCAGTATCAATGCCATCGGTATCATCTGCGCCGTACTTGTCGGTATATGGTCTCGCGCCAGTGACTTCCTCGATCTTCTTGAATAGAGGGGTGAAAACATCAGTGGCATAGTTGGAGGCGGTGTCCTGGAGCGCAGACACCAGACGCTCAAAGCCCATACCGGTATCAATGTGCTTCGCGGGGAGAGGCTTCAGGCTTCCATCCTTTTGTCGGTCGAATTGCATGAAAACGAGGTTCCAGATCTCGACAACCATGGGGTCATCCATGTTGACAAGGCTGGCGGCGTTGCGTCCTCCGATCTTGTCGTAATGAACCTCACTGCAAGGACCGCAAGGACCCTGGTCACCCATCTCCCAAAAGTTATCCTTCATGTTTCCGGGAATAATGTGATCCTCGGGCACGCCAGTCTTCTGCCACAACTCTTTGGCTTCGAGGTCGGGTTCGAGGCCGAGGGCGGAGTTGCCCTCAAAGTATGTAACATAGAGTCGTGAAGGATCCAGGCCATACACCTTGGTCAGCAGCTCCCAGGCCATCTCGATGGCATCCTTCTTGAAGTAGTCGCCGAATGACCAGTTGCCCAGCATCTCGAAAAAGGTGTGGTGGTAGCTGTCCTTGCCGACATCGTCGAGATCGTTGTGCTTGCCACCGGCGCGGATGACCTTTTGGGTGTCGACGGCGCGCTTCAGGCTGGACATGGGGTCGGACTTGTTGACGGTGCCCAAGAAGATGGGCTTGAACTGGTTCATGCCCGCATTGGTGAAGAGCAGGGTCGGGTCATTGTGAGGGACGACGGAACCAGAGGGCACTTGGAAAGAGTCAGAACGCGAGTAGCTGCATAAGAGGAAAGGAACATGAAGAAGAAGAATAAATCGGAATACAGCATTGTAGCTGCACAATCCATTGAGCATTGCAGACAGCAACAGAAGATGTCATGTCTGGTGCTGCGCGACTCCGCAAAAGACTCGGCAATCATCTACACGACCCCGCCACTTGGAGGGGAAGTTGGCGATGCAAACAAGAAAAAGTTATTTTCTTTTCCCACTCGACTTACCCAGCGTGTGACCCCTCTGCTCAAAGAAGTCAAAGAAGGTCTTGCGCACCTGCGCCTCGGGCCAGTTGCCCGTCATGCTTGCGAATGTCTGGAGTAGCCTGCGCTGCAGCAGAAAAAGCGTGTTGTGATTCGAACTCGGTGGCGATGCGGAAAGGCGAGGTCGATGCAGGGTCGAATGCGAGTGCAGCGATGCTTCGGCGGGCAATCGGCGGAGGGGCTGCAGCCGTGGCGGGTGGGGTTTGTAGAAACTTCTACAAGAGGGACTCAAGCCTACAAAAAGCGAGGGCCGTCGCCCGCTTCTGGCCGCCGCGCAGCAGCTGGTGCACTGTGACTGCGGCCTGGCCAGCGACCACATCAGCGGCAAGCAACAGCTAACAGACAAAGCTGCATCACCTGTTTCTCGCAATTCTCAACTCAACTCGACTCAATTTCCCGATCCGGCAGGGGGCTGGTGATTCCGAAGGCGAAGCCGGCGACGCGAGTCTCTCAGCAAAAAGGCGGGAGCAGAAGCAAACGGCAGAAGCAGAAAGCGGAAGAAGAACATGCTGGGGACGCAGAGCCCGTCTTCGCCCGCGCCAGGCATTCTTATGGAGGGTTTCGACCAAGCGAGGCAGCACCCGCGGCGCAAGAGGAAGGCCGAGTCGCAGGACAACGAGCGGCTCTCCAAGCGACTCAGCCTGCTGAACATTGGTGAGTGCGATTTACTGACTTGTTAATTGCTGTTTTCCATTTCTTTTTTTCTTTGCTTCTCATGTCCGACCCCGTCATTCAATGCGGTGCAATCAATCAATTCAGCGCGCATGTCACCCACCACACATCAACCGCCGAGGCATGATTAGCTAACCGCACGTCCCGACCTCGCAGAACAAGGCGGCTCCAAGCTCTACGTCCCCGTCGAGACACCAACTGCCAACGGCAATGCAGCTGCATCTTCATCGATAAGGCGATCAGCGGCACCAAAACCACAGAGCGACGATGAGGCGATGCAATTGGACGACTCCAAGCACAAGGTGTACATCTACAACCTGGACGACGAGCTCTCCTCCGACAGCGACAACGACGAGGGCAAGCTAATCTTCTTGCCGGATATCCAGAAGCACCTCCAAGAGAGCCGTATTCCGAAGCAGATTCTTGCAAACGACGAGGGCGAGCTGGCCGGCATGCAGCTGGTCCTCTATAGCGACCCCAAGTCCATATCCGTACCGGAATCGCAAGACGGCGTGCGGAGGGCCATCATCGAAGCCCGCCAGCGAGCAAGAGAAAGACAAAAGAACCCAGATCCCAACGAGACGCATATCAACAGCATGGCATCAGAGACCACCACTGAGACGATGCCGCACGTCGGCCCTGCGCCGACCAATGTTTTCCCTATTAACGACATGTGCGATGGCATGGATATTGATTGATGTGTTCAAGTGACCGTTTTACAGCTAAAAGTACAGGACAGCGCTACGTGCAATATACCCGGAGTATACATAGAGTTTGGGAGTTTTGGTGTCCTTTTATTTCTTTTTTTTGTTCTTTTTTCTACTGCTCTTTTATAGGATTATCTGCTTTGCTTATCGTTCCGTCACTGCCAACTTACTCTTTCTAGGTGCTCATGCATCAAGACCGACACTGCAGTTATCGTCCTGTACATTAAATTGTCTACCACCTATACTTTGAGCATGGTCTCAAGCAAATATAACTCATTTCCCATTACAAACGCCTCGCGAGTAACATGCCATCTTCAACAGTGATACCGTGGGCGTTCTCTTCCATGAAACCAAGTATTCTTTGATTTCGCCACCGCATTCATCTCGTCGCAGCAGCAGGAGGCGGTCCCAGGGGAATGTCATAATAGTCTGGCGCAGGGTTTGCTTCGGCCGGTCGTCTGGTAGGTTCTCGAGCGTAGTCGACCTTTTCTACGTCTGTATGGCCCGAATACATAGGAAATTTAGCTGGGTCGTATACCGGTGGGGGGGCCGTGGTGCCCATGTAGTAGCCACCCATTGGATTGTTCGTCTGCGGTACCCATCCGTTTGTCTGTTGACCTGTAGCTGGCTGTCTGGGAGTTCTGACCAAGAACTATTCAAGATCCATTAGTATATGTGTGCAGGCGATGGCACACGGCGATGCAAAACTCACTCTGTGATATCTCAGCGGTGGCAGACCCTTTTTGGCTCTTGATCGCAGATGGAGCCAGCTTGTCAAGAGGAATAACAAGATCAAGCCTATGACGCCCCCCATGATGGACCACTTCACGATGAATGCTTGCTGTTGCGTTTGTTAATGGCTTGTCCAGTCTATGGGAAGCTGGACTGCTTACTTTGCTGTATCGCCACGGAATAATCTCGTTATCCTCCCTCACGAAGCCAAAAGGCACATCGTCGTCTCGCGCCTTCAGCGCCATGAACCCAATACTAGGCATCTTGACAGATGGTATCGTTTGAATCAGAAGAGTTGTTGTTGTGGGGGCCAAACTGATGGAAGCAGTAAGTGTAAGAGAAAGAGGAAAAAAGAGTAGAGGAAAAAGAAGTTAAAATAAAGTAGGATAAACGATGAGGTCAACAGAGCGGTCAAGCACCAGGCTATCAAGCAGAAAGAGCAAACCTCAAAAAAGGGAGAAGGAAAGAAGGGAATACAGCAGTGAACAAGAAATGCCCGGCATTTGTTGCTACGGTAGGACCAAAAAAAAAAATGTCTTGGAACTAGCAGATGGCCCTTGTATTTATTAAAATGCCCATCATCATTTCACTGCTTTATCTAATCAAATAAATGAACGGAGTTACATAAATAGCATTCATGAACGATGCACGTAACGGCGTGGCTGTGCCTTGGCATTCTGCGGCAGATTGTGTTGCGAGCGTGTTTCACCGAGACGAAACGGAACTCCTTGATTGCACATCCCTCCCGCCTGGGCCAGTTTGATCTGCCCGGCTGCCTCACTGCCGTACTTGATATTTTGTATATGCACAGTGTTGGGTCGGCAATCTGTGCATTATGATGGCAATTGTCCAAACGTTTCCCGCACGCATCGCGCTTCTCTCCCTCGGTGGATGCTCACGGTGTGGAGGAGAGACATGCCAAAAGTGGTGGGCCTGTCGATAATCACCGCCACAGCCATGGTGAGACAATAGAAGCAAAGTGAACAAACGGGATAGAGTGTACTTGATGAAGAGCAAACATTGTCCGACATGGACCCCAAAGGCCCGTATGGTTCACCAAGGGCTGCTATCCAGTGACATTTCGTATTGTGATAGGCGATTATACCAGTAGGGGAGTCAAATAGCCAATCTCCTTTTTACAAGCCATACACTGCTTGTCTAGGGCGCTTTATTTTATTTATTTTTTACATTTACTTTCTTTCCATGAAAATCGACCTTTGGTTGGACAAGCTTGCTCTACCAAGATGACTCAATCCATCTACCAACCATCTAATGCGCCTCAACCGCAGCGGCCGCATTACTAGCCCCCAGCCTCGGCGCATCACGAAGCGCCTCCTTCTGCCTCTGCGCTGCCACCGCCTGCTCCTCGCGAATCGACTTCAAAATCTCCGGATACCACCGCTCCCCCACATCTGGGTGGCTCTTGACCCTGTTCCGCAGCGTCGCCTCGCCAAGTGTGCTCGCCACGGCGCCGCTGCGAAACGTAAACTCAACATCATCAACGCGCCCGCCGTTCTTCTCCACAATCGCCTGCCTCTGCCGCCGAATGTCCTCAGGCACCCTGCCGACGCCGACCTGCTCGAGCTCCTCAAAGGTGGCGTCCAGCTTGACGCCCTGGAAGAACGGGATGCTGAAGCGCGCGCCGGTGCCGGACTCGGGCGATAGCACGCGATGGGTCGTCGACACGCAGACGCCCTGAGTCAGCGCCTCCATGCCCTGGCCAATGGCCACGACGAGCGTCTTGTCGATAGGCGCGGCGTCAATCCATTCGCCCTGGACGTTCTGGACCTGCAGACCGCGGTGGTTCGTCGCTTGGAGCAAGTAGCTTGTCAGCATGCTGTCTTTGTGAGGGCCTACGCCCTGGCCCTGCACGCCCGCGGGCAGCCCCAGCTCTGCCAGGTCCGGGTACTTGATGATCTTGAGCTTGTGCTGCGGATCGTCTTCGACGTACTTCTCAAAGGCGTCCCGCGGCAGCTTGATGGCCTCGGCGATCAGCGAGGTGAAGTACATTGTGATTTCGCCCATCTGGCGCATATACTCGGTGTAGGTGCTGCGGAACTTGGGCGCGCTCTCCTCGGAAGGCCACTGGTTGGGGCCGAGGAGGTTGAAGTATGACGGCGCGTCTGGGCCTGGGAGGACGTGCTCGGTTGAGAGATCAATCTGCTCTCTGTTGTCAATGGCCCCGGCGGTGATTTCTGCAGAGAGCTGGGAGTAGCCTAGAAAGGATGGCGCATTCTTCATTTCAATCTTGAGCCTATATTTGCGTTAGCAAAGAGAAGTCATGTGAAGCGAAAGATTTAGTAAGGATTATACATATGTATGTATGTATAGGAATTTATATCTGAGGATGCTTCAATCATACTTTTCTTCTCGGGGAATGTCAAAGAAGCTTTTACCCTCCTTGATGACTTCGTCCCATAGCTCATCTGAAATGCCTACATTCTTGAGATATAAGAAGCCCACCTCCATGAGCGCATTGCGAAGCTGGTCGAGGAACTCCGGCTTGGTGGCCGGATTCCTGGACAAGTCCAGGTCGAGAACGGGGATGGATGTGAACGACATGACGCTCCGTGGTTGATGACGAGGCTGAGTTCGATTTGTATAAGAGAGCTGACGGATCCTTGAAGCAGTAGTGCCACACACACACAAGCTTAAATACTTAGACTCCAACCTGCCTGCTTCCAGGGGGACCTGCTATGGTTTATTCGAGCTTACAGGTTCAAATATCCAGCCTTTATAGCGACGTCAATGGTGGTGCCAATGGCGCCATACGCCCTTGGAAGCCATATCTCCCCATCTCTCCACTCCCCCGCACCGTAGTGCCGGCCGATCCCGGTAAACGATTGCAAAAGAGGCAAAAAGATGTGAACCTCGTCTTCGATAAAACGAATCTATTACATACTGTAATACTCCTCATGCTGTATATCAATAATTTGTAGGTGACTAAACAAAAACAAAAGCAGTTTTGCATAAATCGGAATACCACATCCTTTTCGCCGACACCCGGAATAGGGTTTATGTACATGTAATAGCGGGTTTGTTCCTGCATCGTGATATCTGATGATATCTCAGCTTCATCGTTCCAAATGGCCTGCTAGCCTTCTTTTGGCTACACCAAAAACACACATCTTTCTCTTTTATATATTCCAGTCCATCTGTAGCATTAATTCTCCCAAAAATGACAGAGCATTATCTTCAAATTCATACAGTACCAGCTGACAGCGGCTTAGTAGCGAGAAGGCTAGTCACCTTGTAAAACATGTCTTCAATAGAAGCTCCCGCAAAGGCTGGCGCAGCATCGAAAATGTCTGCCAGATATTGCTGCGGGATAATGTCGGCTTGGACATCGTCATCGTCCATCTCCACATCCTCGTCTGCGTTCTGAGCCTCTTCCATCTCATCGTCGCTCTCAGCATCTCCGCCAAGAATGATATCGAGCTTGCCATTTTCAGCTTCTTCAGAAACACCGTCGAGTCGCAAATCTTGAAGTGGCTGAGCGGCGAGAATAGTCGAGGCGTTGGAACCCTCGGTGATGGTCCAGACTTGAGCCACGTCGTCTAGAGCGACGAATCCGCTGGTGCCGGGCACTGAAACGAGGCTAACTACCCGGTGAGGAGTGTTTCGAACAATGAGCGGCTCTGGGTTGCTGGGGTGGAAGACTCCTATGCTAGAAGTTTCGCCGACAGGGAGAGTGACGGCAAAGTTACCGGACACTGAGTCAACGGCCAGCTGTAACAGCTCATCAGATCTGGAGCCCTTGGGCATGACGATTCCATACCGTAAGTCATCGCCCACAACGTCGTAGACATGCAGCTCCGCGGAAAGCACGATTAGATACTGTGATAGAACTCGCAGGGAATGCAACTGCCTCTTCCAAAGTCCTTCCAGAACCTTGACGACTTCGCCAGAGGATGCGTTGATCACATACACGGCTCCCGTGTCAAGTGCGCCGAATGCTGCGAACAGCGTGGAACCGTCTTCTGAGAAAGCAAGGCGGCCTTGAGCCTTGGCAACCGAGGCGTCATTAGGGATATCGGCAATGGCATTGCGACCAAGTCCATCTCCAATAGGAACCACTTGGGAGCAAACCCAGGTGAATTCTGTAGAGCCTTCTGATCTTCGCCCTTGTTGCGGGCGGGCCTTTGGCCGCCATAGGCGAACAATACCATCTCCGGCAATGGTGGCAAAGCACGCTGAGGCATTGTTTGACGCAAGGTCGAGAACCGTCTCTGGGTGGCTTGTTGCGTGTGGCGCATTAACTCTCGATACAAGAGCAATCGAGCTGTCCTCGTCATTAACTTGCCAGAACTTGAGATATGATTCGTGTCTCTCTTTGAGGAATTGGTCTCCCGCGTCGCCACTGACAGTTCCAGCATCCCTGCTTGAAGGAACCCAATCGTCAACACTAGCCAACCATTTTCCGTCCGCAGAAAAGGCGATATGTGTGACGACTGGTTCTTCAATGGCGTAACCCTTGTTTGTCAGGTTCACATCGGTGGGCTGCGTGCGGGCCAATGCCTGCTTAGAAACACTCATAAAGGTTTCAAGATCAAAAGTCTGCAACAGCGGCGCTGAGAATTCTCCCGTCATTGTAGCCTGACGGCCATTGCCAACGCAAACGTGGAATTTGGAGGGCTCGGTTGCCTTGATTGCAGCAGGTATAGGCCGTCGTACTTGGTTCGCTACTGACCAGACACGCTGTACGAGCAAGTCTTTGGGCGTCGTAGCCTCAACAGCGGCGGACTGGATTCCAGATACATATGTCGTCGGCTTCAGTTCAGCAGTTGATAGAACCATTGTTGAGTTATCGTCCAAGTGTACGACATAGGATGACCCGCTGGAAGATACAACAATGTTCTCTATGCTGCCAGATAAATGGGGGAGGTGATTTCTTCTGCTGGTATCCATCTGCCACATAACAAGGACATTTTCAGAGCCTCCCGAGATCATATAGTTACCTATGCCAGATGTTAGAAAATCGCATTAGATAAATGATACATCTATAAAACATACCATCTCGAGACCATTTGACGGCATGGACTGCCTTTCGGTGCCAGTGAAACTTTTGCGCTTGAATTCCATCTTTAGCTGAGTTGGATTTACCAAGGGCTTGACTCCTAGACAAGGCATCGTGGTACAGATAGATGGCTCCTCGTGCTCCACCGACAATAACATCCACCACTCTGTCTGAATCCCGCTGTCCTTTGCTCTTGTTGCCAGAGAGGGCTGAGGCTGAGTACACTCTAAAGTCGAGGGTGGTGATGAGATCGGGGACGTCGAAAGAAAAGAAGTCGTACTGAAGTTGTTCGAAGCTAGCGGGCTGCTCCTGTGATGCCACCCCAAGGAATAGAGTATCGTTGAAGGCGCCAACCAAAACCAGGCCGTCTTGGCTGGACTCAATCAGGTGCAGTCCATTGCCTGGCTTCTTGACGGACAATATGTTCTTTGATAGAGGGGAAGACAGAATATCGCCTCCGTATGCAGTCAATTCCATCCGATTTGCGCTATTCGATTCCGCCACCACGACGATATCAGCCTTTGCGCCCGCACCATTTGTTGTTGTCACGGTGATGGCTTTGGCAGTTCCCGTTACAGTCTGGAAAGACTGATGCGACTCGTTTGTCTCTTTCCATTTCACATAGTAAATGTGACCATCTGAGCAAGCTACCCAGAGGTATTCAGGGTTCTGGAGAGACAGCCGAGTCGCAACAATGCTTGCAGGAGAGTTGTCTGTTTGCGCGGAGGAATCGACAGCGCCTATCGGAATTCGTCTCAGGAGAAGCGAGTCGCTAGCTGTGTATACTTGAACGGAGGTGTTGTAGGTCAAAATTAGGTATCTGAAGGACGTCAGAATGGCCCGTAGAAACTAAGAACTGAACTGGCTTCTTACTGGTCATCCTGAGTTAGGATCGGATCAATGTCAAGCATTCTACCACCCATGGGCTTAGAGAGCCGCCAGCCAGTTTCTCCGTCGTGAGACCGGCTAACAATATCCTCCCCATTCTGATGTTTTTCAGATTCAACGTCTCCGTTGGTCGTAGAATCTGCTTGCGGCTGTCTTGATCTCTTTGATCGCGCGTCGGTTTCGTTCAGGTCTCTCTTTCTCTTTTTGGTCGGATCGTCCTTGGGCTTGGAGATCTTGCTGCCCGCCATTTTGACAAGAGTTCAAAAATTGCCAAATTGAAGAAATTTGGAAGTCAATTGGCAGGCTATAGCAGCAAGTTACTGGTTCAAAGTACTAGAAGCAATGCGCCGCAGAAATTTTGGTGCCGCCGTGAACTTTTTCCAGCTATCAGCGATAAGATAAGCACCGCACGGCAGAACGTCGGCGGCAATAATATTTTCAGCTACCGCGTCGCTTCAAGCAACTCTTCCCGCTACCAGATTCTCTACTGCAAAGCTATACTCATCATCACATCGCCAAAATGATTATTCCCATCCGCTGCTTCTCCTGTGGAAAGGTAGGCGCCGAAATACCTTTTTAAAGTAACAAGGACGACGGTTACTGACTACAATAGGTCACTGGCGACCTTTGGGAGCGCTATCTCCAGCTGATCGCAGACCCGCGCAAGACCGATGGGTAGGAAATCCGTTAAACTCTTGAGAAACGCCTCAGGACTGACTTGAAGAAAGTGATGCCATGGACGAGTTAGGCCTGAAGCGCTACTGCTGCCGACGTATGATCATGACACACGTCGACCTTATCGAAAAGCTTCTAAAGTACGGCACTACAATCGAGATTCGAAGATGACCCCCTGATTGCTAATCAATCTCTTAGGTACACCCCCGATGGACGCAACGAAAAGAAGCAGAGATTGAACGAGTCGGCATAAAGTTTTGAGCAAATAGAAAGATGTGATGCACAGTTTGGCGTTTTTGGATCTTGTTAATACGTATTTTCTGGCTTGGCGCAAGGACGAATAAAAATCAGATTGCAACGATGGCGGCGAGGCCGTAAACACGCCGTAATAATCGAACGAAGAAGTCTATGTTACTCGCAATATTGCAGCACCTGACAGCAACCATGGCATACACTGTTGATATCTTCTCTCCAAGACGGGGCAAAGATGAATCGTGAGACGGTATGTGAGGGTTCTGGATATTCCGCCAAGGCTCAGATCTAGCTGGGGATTGGATTTTGTAGAAGAACTATTATTCTACTATTCTCTGAGGCAAGGGCCCTGTCCAATACCCCATACATGGTATTTGGAATCGCAAGATCCAAGGGGATAGTTGCAAACCTAGCTATTCACCGCTTCCTGTCGTCATGTGCGTACGCCACAGAGTAGTGATTCCTAAAATGCGCATTGGCTAGCTCCCAGTCGTCTAGTCCCATCAATCTGCAGCATATATCCATAGTTCAGCGTAGATGAATCAGAGCTATCGAATCAGAGAGCCCATCCTGACTCCAGCGTCATAAGGCAAGACAGCAAGTTACGCATCAACTGCAATCCATCAATGCAGTACGTAGTAGGGTGAGTATTGAGTACAAGGATACCAACGCGAAGGATTGGGCGGATATCTTTTAGGTGGTTATTGTCACGAGCTAAGGAGGCCTTTAGCTGTATTGTTTTCCCAAGAGCCTCAACTACTTGCCGGTAGGTTGAAGACTAAATCCTTGGGCATGCCGCTATGCATGCACCCATCGAGTGCATTGCATAGACGTCTTTTCAGCTGTTGGGTGCAAACCTCCATCCTTTAGTACGACAGCTGGCATTCACTAGTGCTAGCTCACTCCATCTCTATTGGTGTGTTGGTTCGAAGCGGTCATGCTTCCATGCAGCCTGCTTCATGTTGATTCGTGTAAATGCGTTTCATGTTATCAAGTAGCTAATAAAACGAGGCTGGTTTATGCTGCGGTTACCGTGGGAAAAGCGTTTATATAGGTATCCACGGGAATGCACTTTGAGATAACAAGTAACCACAGTATCGCCAAGACCTACCATGGCATTTCGCTGTGCAAAGTAATTTGCCAGTGGGAGTAAACCTGCACGAAGCTGTGAGGTTTCAGACTCAGGGCAACTGCGGCGCGAGAGTGGACCATTCCCACGCATATAGCACAAGTATATGATATATGAGTTGACTTCGACCACTTACCGCAATAGGCCATCACGATGTGCATCACAGTAGAACACAGAAGATGCCACATGCAGTGCCAGTTCAGCAGAATCCCACGCCAAGCCCAGTACGCAAGCTGTGGATGCGACGCGAAGAGCCTATAAAGCTTAGCAGCCTGTGACAACTTCCATGCCCGACTTATTTCCCTTTCTGCCTGGCCTCGAGCGCTGCTCTACGCCCGGCCGGAAGCTCTCCATGTGCCTTATCTGCATGTTCTCACACCATACATAGACTGGCATCTAAACAAGCATCTGGTGACTCCGCTCAGGCTCGGGGAAGCAGAAAATCGGCGACCCACTGGCGGGTGGTTTGAAAGAGCTGGTGGGCCTTTGGCCGAGCCTAACCAGCTTTGTAGCAGCAGTAGCGCCGGGACCAGATCGTCGGGTCGAGCGCTGCCAATCAGCGGGTTGAGAAACTCTGCCTGCGGACTGAGCACAGGGGTCGAGGGGCATCGCGGACCATGAACCGAGCAGATTGGCGCTGTGACAAGAAACGATGGTGGTGGGAGGGCTGGAGTCTTCACCTCTGGGTCGCGCAGCTTCGCCGAGGTTGGGCTGGTGCTCGGAGATGGAGCTTGCTGGGTTAGACGTGGCAGCATGTTGGAAGCAGTTGCTGCGACCAACAGCATATTCATATTATGGACACGGAGGGCAGTTCCGTAAATAGCAAGCAGCACGCAGTCGTTGGACTGGGTGGTCAGTCAATCAATCAATCGCGAGTCAGCAGCCCAGCCTTGCCTCCAAGTAGGAGCAGCACATTTCCGCGTTGATGGTCGTGAAGTCCTCAAGCAATTGTTTCGGCTTGCACATATGGGTGACTTCGAAGAGAATCCTCCAAAGCCATCAGCTCTCAGATTTTTGGGTGCTCTCTTATTTTTTCTTCTCGCTCGACCTCGCATATTCTCCATGCACGCTCGACCAGGGGTCTTGGTTCGTCGACAAATCGTGACTAGCATGTCATCCACCTGAATTAAGCGCCGACGCCTGTCGACTCTATGCATGCTGCATCCACTCTGTGACCGATCGTGTCTGTGAGTGGCCAGTTGCTGTTTTCTGAAGGTCCTCTTCAAGAACTAGATGCAGCGCAGCAGTTCCCCCGCCCCGGTCGCGTCGCATTGTCAGGCAAGGCTTTCAAGGTTGCAGTGTCCAACAGACAACGAGGAAGCGAGAGAAGAGTGATTATCTTGTTTGTGGGCATTAGGTCCTCTTTTGTGTGCGTGCTGGTGGTAGCAGCATGAACAGTTGAGGAAAAACAGCAACAGAAACCCATCACTGCGTATTCTGTGATATCTTGCAAGAGGTATGAGATATAAAGGTAGATTCTGTCTTTGCGCAACGTCTGCAATGCTCGTATAATTGTCGCCACTCACCCAAGCAACGCTTTGCCGTCTCGACAGCCTTCTATCGCGTAGCTGACCCGTCTGCACGCTTTGCGCAAGCCGCGGCTATTCGCGAGACGGCTGGCTTGTCATTTCTTCTTTGAGCGACGGGCATCGTTGCCAGCCCTCCACTCTCGGCTGGGAGCGCGCTCTGTGAGCTGATTCCCCCACGAAGGCGCATTTGCCAGGGATTCATGATGCCTAGCCGTCAATTATCAGTTGACAAGTATCAGCGTACTAGCAGGATCAAGAGCACGGCATATTAAGCGACGGGCTGGCGGCTTGCGTCTGTTCTTACCCACAAGAGGCCTGGATATGTACAAGTGTAGTAGGCGTTCTTCTTTAACCGCGGGCTCGAGCTACACGTACATTAGCTGGCGGATGGATCCTGCATGCAAGCTGTGGCCCATAGCTATAGGCGCCGTAGCAGCTCCGGCAATAGCACTCAAGGCTCTGTGCCTCGACCACCCGCTGGCCAAGCTCATCCATCCTCCAGCTCGTCTTTCCTCTCACACCAGGGCTAAGCTTTGAGGCCGTCTTACCGATCCATCGCTCTTCCATCCAAGGCTCTCAGTGCGATTCGCCATTCGCCGCATTGTGGACACTTTGATTGCTTTCCTCTATTGTGACCGGCCTAGCTTGGGCCTCTCTTGTCTTCTGGCCTCCCTCCTTCACAGCTGTCTGCTGACGAAGTCCTTTACATCGCTCACCCACCCACAAAGCTTCGACTTGATATCAGAGACGTCGATTTGCCGAGCTCTCTGCTGTTCTCTTCTCCGCTTCGCCCAGCCTACCTGCAGTAGCGGTATCCGGCAAGCGGCGCCCATTAAGCCGCCCATTAAGCGCGAGCTCCAGAGCGCGGAGTCTACTTCTGCTGGCTGCGACTCCATACTCGCAACAAACGCCATTCCTCCATCAAAGAGGCCCGTAACGAGGACTAGCTGGTGTCTGTGCAGCCCGGCGTCGCTGCATGTTTTGAGCAGGGGTGTGCTGACCCCTGGCCCCTCTGCCTGGCCGCGGCGTCTCTTAAACCAGCCAGCCCGCCGTCCAGCGTGCCTGGACTGCCTTGCCTGATCTACGACTGGGACGTTTCGAAGTGCAGCTTTGCTTCTATTCTGGAAGCACGACCGTCAATCGAGGCCCGCGATTGCGACCGCCTCTGCTAGCTCTTCGAAACACCATTCCCGCCGCATCTCGAGCGCCTCACATCGCCACGACTGCGGCTGCGACCCAAGGCTTTTTTCGTGGGGTAATTAGAGGCCGTCTGCGCTGTCAGCTTGGAAGCAGGGCTTCCTGGGCTTCCTAGCTTCTGCGCAGATCATTGTTTTCAGAAGGAGACGAGAAGAAAGTGTCTGTATAAGACAGCTCGACGTTGCAGTCTTTGGGCGCTATTCTTCTCTCGTGCGCTGCATTGATCGACTATCATGGCCCTCGAAGCGCCGCTGCGATCATCCGCCGGGAGCTTACAGTTCAAATTCAGCCACCACGACAACATGTCTGCGACGTCCGAGTCCGATGGAGTCAGATCCCCATACAGAATTATGTATGCTCGAGACGCTTTTTCACCTATTGTTCTGTTACCATCGCTAACATCTTCATTCTAGGTCTTCTCCCCCGCCCGCCACTGACTCTTCCTCTCTTCGGCCTGACTCTATTCACCATCGCTTATCGTCCCAATCGATGCACGTATTGAGCCCCAGTGACATTGTCGGACCATCTCCTGTAACGTCCAACGGCACTGAGACTACAGAGATTGAAGATGACGTTGCCGACGATGTCGAGCTAGACCATGTAGCGAGGGGAGATCACTATCGTCAGCATTCAGATGTAAGTGCCCTGGATGCCATGTTGGACGTCAAATTGCTAATACTAGTATAGGTGTTTATGCTAACAACCAATCTACCGGATATTGTTCGCCAAGGCAACCCTGAAGAAGCTGTCTCGGTCATCCATGCTCCGGAAAGCTTTGCTAGTTGGGTAAGCATTACGCGTAGAAAACTTACCGGATATACAACATGGCTAAATGTATACATAGGCATCCAGCGAGCCTTCTGCCAAGTCAATTACCTCAACTGAAAGATCATCACCCAAAGGAGATGGCGCCAGCCAACCTTCGTCTACCTTCAATAGCGTTAGTGCAACCTCTATCAACAATACACAAAAAATAAATTGCAGAAGCTGACGAAATTCTCGTAATAAAGCCACCTAGCCATCCTACTCGGCCTCCTATCTCCACCGATGTCAAGCCAGTGCGATATAGTCTAGATAGCGCCACTCCAAGGGCACAAGACTTGCAAGATATGCTTGTTGATGGTAGCCGGCTGCGCTCTAGCAGTACCAGCAGCCTTGAAAGTTGGTGCCTCACATATTCTTCTACGCCGCCACACCATTGCTAACTAGCTACAGAAATCGATGAACAGACGGAGGCCGAGGGCGATGATGACGATGAAGAGCCCTTTCCCCATGTACCCCAGGTGGCTGATGAGATTGGCGACCTGCGAACCCTCCTTCATGAGTCTTGGACTTTGTGCAATACTCTAGCCAATCTAAGTTCAATGCATAGACCGAGAGCTTTCAGAGATTCGGGAACTCCTGACGCCGTCGAAAGAGCGTGGAGAGCCTGTTGGAAGCTCTGCCATAAGCTCTACGACAACCAGGATGAAGACCCGGCATATCTAAGCGTCAAGTTCAATTTAGACCTGTGCCGTGATTTCTGCCAGGCCTTGTTCGACGTTCGTGAGAAAAAGGACGAGTTGGCAGACTCTGTCCTGAGGGTTAGTTTCGAGTTGAATAACCAGTAAGTGCTTACCCCCCTGACTTCTTACTTCTTTTCCCTGCATAATCTAATACCCCGCGACAGTTTATATAGTGCTCAAGACAACCGAACCCTACCAGAGGAATTCAGAGAACGCACTCTCGATTTTTACATCACACTATGCCATCGTCTAATGAAGCAACGAGTTGACCTTGTTGGCAAAACTGATCAACTCCTCGGGGCTTGCTGGACGCTTGCAGAAATGCTATTCAGTCTACGTCAGAATAGACTAGAGGGTAGGCCTCCGGACAGCGAACTACTCCTTTCTACGGTTCAAGCATGCTGGGGCTTGGGCGACCTATTCAAAGACAGCTGGACAAAGGTGACCACGGATAGAAATACCCCTCGGCCCTCTCATGCAAGCTTCTTCTCTCAGCCTTCGGACCAAACCGGACGTGAAAGCCGTCAGTCGAATCGCTCGTCGCGTCACTCAAAGCAAGTAAGCATTAAGAGCGTCCATCAAGAAGAGCGGCCGCGGAAACCCCCGCCAGTCCCTGAAACCCCAGTCACAGAATTCGAAGACACCCCGATCTCTCCAGAAAGCCGCTCCCCCCAAATGCCCAATCTTCTAGTACTTGGCCCTTCCAGTGATAATGGCCGCGGTGGAAGGTGGTCCAGCAGTGCATCAAATCTATCAAGCTTCTCCCACAGCAGCAATAGGACCTCGAGCACCGCGACCACGACCAATGCAGCTGAAGACCCCAACGTTACACGGGCCAAGATTCTAGTTCTCCGAGCCGCGATGAATCTTGGATTCGACCGTGAAACCATTGCCGATCCAAAGACAGCGCCTGCGCTACTACAAAGCTTTGTACAAACCCTACCAGCAGATTCCTTCGGCCCTCTACCAAGAGATACTGCGCTCCTTCAACAGTTCAAGAACTCTGTCCTCATGGACGCATTTATTCCTCGCAATCATTCAATGCCCTCGCGGGGCAAGCGCGTCTCAGCCGTAGATATGGCTAAGAGCGTCCAAACGTTGGGCAACAACTCACCTCGCTATGCCTATCTCAAAGAGCTGTTTAGATTTGTGTTCAATTTCCCTGTTGAGGAAGTTGAAGCTCGACGACACACCAGCATTGCGATTTAAAAAAAAAAAAGAAGAAGAAAACATGAGACCCTTGCATATGGTCTTTCTATACGTTTACCTGGAGAAGAGTTACCATGAATGATAAAAGGCGAATAGAGAAGAGAGTAGAAGAGAGAAAAAGAGAAGGAAATTGGGACAATGTGACACGAGTTTTAGCGACCATCTTTATTCCTGTTTCCATACGCTCTAGATACCCCTTTGCACTACACTTTATGGAGTTGATCACGGCGCTGGGCTAGGGGAGGTGATGCAAAGGAGGAATAGTCAGTCTGTTAAAGTTTATTATGTATCTGGCAGGAAGCAGTGATTTAGCAAAAAAAAAAAAAAAAAAAGAAACAACACAACAAGGGAAAGGGAGAGGTAGAGCTGTATAATCATTCGCTTCTTGGATAATGAGTTTGATTTCGATACGTTGCCGCAAGGCAAAAAGGAGTTTAGAAGCTTGTTTTGGGAGGAACTTTTGCTTTTTTTATTTCACTTTGGGGGGGTAATTGTCATTTAGCATTTCAGATTTTCATATACTAGTTTTGGGAAGCACCTTTTAAGTGGAAGGCATTGTGAGTTAGCAATTCACAGATTTTCAATCACTAGCTGTATAGGTCACCTTTATAGTTATTAACTTGGGGAGGTTATTGTGAGTTGAGACTTCAGATTAGTTTTGCAATACTACTTAGGAAAAAAAAGCCGAAATAAAGAACAAGCAAATAAACCCCGTTCGCCGAACGTGCTTGTATACTGGATTATCCTCCATAGTACCTTTCTAGGACCTTTTCTTCGGATATACCCATTCTTGATGCTTTTGTTCAAATAGAGCTCCTATTCGCTTCTTTATGCGAAATGTCTTGGTTTTTAAATCCCAAACTTTTTGTACTCCAACATTATTTATACAGCCGATTTGCACCGTTACCAGAAATAGAAAAAGTGTAAACAATAATAGCCTCCCTTGAAATGGCATATATCAAACAGTCTTAAGATGATGAACTCTTTGTGGGCGTTCCCTGTTCATGCTTAGTTTCACCGAAGGGTGATGACCCGGATGTGCGAGGGTTGGGGGAAGCCGAGTTCGTAGCCAGCAGTCTTGGATCAATCGTGCCAGACAGATCATGAACTGTGCCGTGCACAGAACAAACATGTGATCCAGGGGTTGATCGACACTGGCATAAATGAGGCCGGTTTCCAGCTTGCACCATCGAGGGCGAAAACTCCATGGTCGAATTATTCATTGGGTATGATAATTGCGCATAAGGCATAGCGGTTGTGGTGTTTGGAATAGGGGTCTGGGCCATGCTAAGGAGTTCAAACGTGCTACCATCAAAGTTGAGATGCTGTTGACCAGACTGCGGCGGCGAGTGATAATGCTGTCCCTGAGTAGACAGGCTCGAATTGAACATGTTGGCATTGTAGTGGAGTGTTTGGCCGATAGCTTGCGAAGTGGCAGCCGTAAGGCCCCTTTGTCTAACAATTTCGAATGGAGAGCTCATGGGAGGTGTTGTGAAGTTGAATAGGGAGAGATCTTGGGGAGAGGAGTTGAGGGGAGTAGTAGTGCGAGCCCAGTTTATGCCACCCCCGATCCCACTTGGATTCGAGAGCTTTGTACCATGTCGGGGACATGTCGACTCAATAGGAACCTCCTGAAAGCTGGGGATTAGTTGAGGAGCTACCCCTGACAGATTTTGTACATATGCTGCGTTCTCCGAGTTTGATATTTCGGAACCAGGCAAAGTTGGGATGGTGTCATCAGTATGAGAATAGAGCTGCTGCTCTTGTTGCAACAGTTGTTGATGCTGTTCTTGATATGCTGCATGTGGAGGTGAACTGAGGTTGGGTGTAGCGGGCGAAAACTGCGAGACTTGTTGGTCGCCCAGCTGAGAAGAGGGCTGTCGAAGCTGGTACTGGTCTGCAGTTGGCGACTGAAACGTCGTGTATCCCATCGAGTGGCGTTGTTTCATCCTCGGAGATGGGGATGCTTGCAGCAAGGCTGAAGCATCCCCGCTACCGCTGGTACTTGTGAATACTGGAATATTCCCAGCCACTTCCCAACTATGACTGGTCATGAACATGGATGGAGCCCAAGTAACATTGGTGTTTGTGCTGTGCAGGAACGGAAAGATATGTGGATGCTGGAAGCCTTGAATCATTCCTGCGTATCGGGGAGCATGGCCGCTGTTTCCCAGGGAGGCTTGTGGCATTGATGGCGGGTGCGTATGGGAGTTGGAAACAGGTAATCGAGCACCGAGCGTATTTTGCGGTTGCGAAAATGTCTCTGCCTGATAGGTTCGAAGGATAGCACCTTGTTGAGGACTGAAATTCAAATTCAATCGTTGAGATTTGTTGGTCTGCGTTGTCAATCTTGAACACGATCAAATCAATGTTATAAACTATGCTTCAAACTGTAATATATGGACTATTTGTAAACGGCTTACCTTTCAAGAGCATCCCCTTGCTCATGCCGGCTTCTCTTACGTTTCGGCTGTGTTGCTTTCGTACCATCATTCCCTAGTCCGTTTTGCGCCTCTCCTGTGGCCATGGAAGGCCCAGCTTGGTTTTGATTTTCGAAGGCAGCATCATTATTATTCTGCGTATTTACGTCTTCATGCTCACTCGAGCCCTCTGGCTCAGGAGTTGTTACTCTCGGAGGAGCATGAATGTTCACTAGCGGGCTACTATAGAAACGATAGCATATTAGTATTGCCTGCGCAAACTCTGTCGTCACTTGATGAATTATAGTTTCTTTCTCTCCTAACTGTCAACATAGAGAGTAACAGGGGTCATCGAAGTAGTTAAGAGTTGAGGATCGAGAAAGGAGGGTAAACATACTTGAACCTGGGGTCTTTGCCATACTTGTTCTTGATGTAACGAATCTGGTTGTGGTTCAAAGCGCGTCCAAACTTCTCTCTGAACTGAGTCTGAATATACAACTGCTTCTTCTTTTTGACAACAGCGGAGAGAACCCATTCAATCTCGTTGTCCTGGTACTGCGCTGAGCCGACCATGATGAAGAGGTATCTTTGATTTCTATGACGCGTCCGCTTGGTCCCCTGTTTGATTTTTGCTACTCGTAAACAAGACCATCACAGTGAATTCGGAAATCAGGTTTCCTTTACAGAGGCTCCAGTGCAAGTTACCTTTCTGCCTAGTGCCGACGCTGTGCTGTGAACCGCAATGGGTAGCAACGCCTCGTCCATTCGACGCCTTCTACAGAGCCTGCGTGTGTTCCTCAAACGGAAACAGAGGAGTAAATATCAACTAGATTCCTCGATGTGTGCTCATTTGCTTGAATCAAACGCTTCCTTTCGGGTACAAGCTGGAGATAGGAAGCGATAGCGGCCCCAACCAATACCTGCAGTGGGTTTCCTTTGTCACACAGGAAAAAAAAAATAAAGGGCAAGGAGGAGAAATATCCGATATGTAGACGACCAAGGAAAAGACAAAACGAGAGCAAAAATCAAAGGTAAAAGAAGATAAAGTCAAGCCGATATTGCGTGTAGGGGAAAATCGAAGAAACAAGAAGAGTAAAAGAGGAAAATTAGTTGGTAGAGGGTAGAGCGTAAAGGGTAGAGGGTAAAGTTTAGGGGGGAAGAAGCTTGTGCCAGTGCGGACGGGTAGGGACTCAGCAAATCTTCCGGCACCCGGTCACGGGCTTTTCCACACACGCGTGGCTCAAAGTACCTGCAAGTAGAGGGTGGGGTTTTCTTTTTGTTTCTTTCCTACCGCAAGTGAATTTGTCTGTTTGCGTATAGGAGAAAAGAATAGCGTAGGTTGTTTGTGAAGAACACGCAATGGAGAGGAATGCAGAACAAGTTTGATAGGAAAGCTGCAGTCGTAGAAGAAGCATACAGATGGTAAAAGAGAGAAGAAAATCGAAGGCAGAAGAAACACAAGAGAATGGCGAACATATCCTCTCTCTTCACACTATGTTCAGGAGAGGCCCTGGCGTTTCTGAATCAGATACAGACCGCCCATGCACGCACTTGATTTAGCTTATCTATTGTGCTGGAGTATAGCCTGGGGAACAATAGGTTGCCAGTGATAAGCCGTTTTTGGAAGAGCTCTTGGGCAAAATATCATACTTTTTGTTCATCAAGTGTAGTGAATCATCGTGCCATTTTGCAGGACCCAAGATTGGCTGCACGTGGAAGTGCTGCATAAAGAAGAGAAGACGTGAGATAATTGATTCTGATATCTCTGCCTTTATAGAGCTGGTGCAGATTTATTACTACTATCCTATTTCCTTTGTTCTGGGCCTGCGTTTGTCTTGATGCTGAAATTCAACATATAAGTGGTCAAGATTCTGCGGAAACGCTATATATGCGGGTCTATATCGAGATCTATTTTCTATACCCCATCTCTGCGTTTAGTCTAGTCTATCATAGTCCAGTACTTCTCCCAAATTCGTCCATATATCACACGTGCATCCTCTAGAAGCTTTGAAATTCTTCATCCTATTTTACTACGCCGTCAAAGGAGATCCGCCACGAGAAAAGACACCCAGCCAGCATTCAACCTGGCCCTCGTCCTCATCCTCGCCCCAGTCATCTTCACCATCCAACTTCTTCTCTTCCTCGAGAAACAGCGGCGTCTCGAGATCCAACATGGCCTGCTTGAAGGACTCCAACAGCCCACGCGTTGTATCGTCTCGCATAGGCACCATGACCACTGCCCTGGATTCGGAGCCAAGAGTAAGATTCTGGCAGATTGCCGAAGCGAGAAGCGCAGGGTGGTCGTCATCATACAAAGGATCAGCAACGAGAACGACCTGTGTTATTTCACCAGTCAGCGTTGGGAATAATATTTACAAACCGCCAGTATGCGGTGGGTGATCAAACAACTTACCTTGAACTGGAAGCATTCGCCAAAGAGTTCCTGGTCAATCTCGTCTTCTTCTCCACCCCATGTAAGTGGACCGACAGACATTGACCCTCCTCGAGACTCCACCAGATCTTTGTTCTTCTCCATGTTATCCTTGAGATTAGGCACGATGTTCGGCAAATCACTCAGAATCACATGCGTCTGCCAAAAAGCCGCTGCCGCTACACCCAGCAACCCGGTTCCTGATCCGAGCTCCAAAACCGTAGGAGGAGGCTGGCCAAGCGTCTCGTCAAAGATCTTGAACAGCGAAGTCGCAGCAAGTCGAGGCAAAAAGCGTGACAGCACGTACGATGAGCCCCAGGTCTTGAATCCAAGCGAGTCCCCCGTCAGAGCAGGCTCTTTGATGATCAGCTCGAACGGCTCGCACGCGGCGCCATCGCCTTCAAACGGCCACCGTCTCGTCACTTCGCCCATGGCAGTGCGGCCACATCGCTCAGACATGCGTTTACTCGCCAGCTCCCACAAGGCCTCTTGCTTGTCATAATCGTCGATCCAAGCCAGAGGGCTCTTTATGATGGATGAAAGGTAGCGAGTCACTTCTGCCTTGCGCTGAGTGGCGAGCGATTCTTGCTGCGCAACAATGTCTGACCGCTGCTGTCTATGGTTCCAAACGGGAGGGCTCAGCTCTAGGCTCTCCAGAATGCCAGTGAGCTCTTCATAGCTTGGCCGCTGCCACATCTGCGGGAAATCCTCCGGTGCGAGAGCCATGTTCGCAAACCTTGTATCCGAAAATCCGCCAAACTCCCCAAACGTCATAAATGCAGCAAAAAGTTTTAGTACAAACGCCGTTAAATCGCCGGGTCAATGTGAAAAGGAAGAAACAAGAAAAAGAAAAAGAAAATGCCCTCTCAACAGAGAGTGAGGATCTAGTTGGCTATCATGATGAAATACAGTCTTTTGAAAAAATCCAGGGAATTATACAGAACAGCGATACAAGGTTCTTTATTGAGGAAGTCTAAATAACCCCAGCATGTCACCGCTCACACGAAAAAAGAGCTGGGACCCCTGACTAAGACAAGCGGCAGAAAAAAAAAAGGCGGTATAGATTTTATGATAGGTGACTCCGATACGGAAAAAAGTTTCTAAAATTGGGTCCCTGCCACACCCCACGTGGGGACCCCTCCCCAAAGCGAATAGAGAGAGAAATTGGCTACAAAGTCAGCGAAAGCGTAGGTAGGGAAGCAACCTTGGAAGGCAAAACGCGGGAGAGGAGCGCGGATTACTGTACGTACATGACTGGCTAAGCCCAAATAGCTCGCCGCCCCAGCTCATTTACCGCGGCTTATTGCGAGAAATAAAAGGACATTTAACACGGTAACGCGGGAGCCAATTGCCGTAAAACGCCAAAATAAAACGAAGCCCCTGAGCATGAAACAGAATAAGAAAATAAAACATGTCATAGGCCAAGAGTGATCACTGGGCTAGATCCCGTGGTTGTTTCAACTTCAGCTGCGAGATGCTAGCCTTGCCCCGTAGCATTTCGGGCCCACGGCTCCGTAGAACCGGTAACACTGCAGTAGCATTTGCTAGAATACGGCATCTAGGCAAGGTATGGGTGATCACCAAAGATCTTCATGCTGCCGCTGATCCTTCTACGCAGCTCAGTGCAACAAGGTGACATCAGGCACAGCTTCGTCGCTCTATTGCCAGACTAGTATTCTCTTGCTTTCGATGCATCAGCACATTGTTGTCTGTTTTTTTTTTTGTTCAAAACTTTTTATTTGAGTCTACTTCTTAATACTAGAAGCCTAATATAAGCTACCTCCTAATTCACTAAATCACTAATTTTGTACTCATTGTAGCAGGGCCCTGCGTTCGTTTCAAAACCAAATATCAAATCAACTCAAGAACTTCAGACAGATGTTTCTTCTGCTGGTCTCTTCTGCTCGAGATTCTAAATTCGAATGGTATCAGCCATATCCTGCGCCAGAGCGTGCCTATCCTATGGGCGTCGCTGTCAGATGCAAAATCCGTTGCCCAAAATTCCTCGTGTAAATGCGAAAGAGGTGGAAAAAAGCCGGAACTCCTTGGGTTTAAAAAAAAAAAAAAAGAACGCAGTGTGGAAAGAAAAAGAAAAAGTAGCCAATCCCTTTTTGTTGCTATAATCGAATCATCATTTCAACTTGTAAATCATTAACCGCCGCCCCTTTCTGTATTGGATTGTTGTAGAACTGTTGATATCGAGTGCGCTTGCGCCGCCTAGTCTCTTGCTGGCGAACACTCTCTGTAGATTTCTTTCTTCATGCTCTCGAGTCGACCCCTCATATCCAGCAAATCGGCCAGCTTCTCGTGAGGGGGGTTGTCCAGTGCTGAAATCTCGTAATGCAATGCTTCATATTGCTGGTAGTAGGCTTTGAATGTGTTGGCCTTGCGGACAATTTCCATTGAGACGCTCTCTGCCGCTCGTCGCTTCGCTGCCAGTGGCTTGGATTCCATTTCCTTTCGCCTCATCTTGGGTGGTGGTGGTGGTGGCGGCGCATCGTTCTCGAGGTCAGAAGCATTCGTGGGCGGCGAGGAAGCCAGGGGAGATGACTTGGTCGGCGAGGTATTCTTGCTCTTAAAGGATGACGAAGCAGCAGTGCCACGTGAGTTGACGCTGGCATCCGAAGGGCGGTGTTTCAGCCGGGCCGCCGGCAACGATTGCCGTTGCTTGATGCGCTTCGATAGCGGTGTGCCAGAGCTAGAGCTAGAGTCGTCGTCTTCGCGAGGTCTCTTGGGAGGTGCTGGTCGGGTTGGGGCTTTGATTGGTGGGCGGCCAGCAACGATGACGGTATCCTTGACCTTGGAAGAAGCGGCAGGTTTGGGTTTCGGTTTGAAAGCGGGAGGAGGCGCTGGTGCTTCATCGCCAGAGGTATCTGAGTTGACAATGATCTCCTGTGACAGGATACGTTTGTCGTTGTTCTTGGAACCAGCCCCTCTGCTCTTGGTTGGGGACGCCTTTGGGGCCGCGGGCTTCGCCTTGGGCTTGGAAACGCCAGCCTTGGAAGGGCCAAGCAGCCGTTTAGCCTGTGCGTCTTGATTGCTCAGCTTCTTGGCTTTGGCAGGGAGAGGATTGGATGCGGATCGCGACATCTTCTCTCCGCCGGCCTTCTTATCGCTTTCCAGACCATCACCAGATGTAGAACCGTCCTCTGCTTTCTGAACTTTGATCTTAGGTGCAGGAGGAGGGGGAGGGCCTTTTGCCAAGTTGGCCTGGAGCCGGCTCAAGCATATGCCCTTTCCGCGTTCCTCCTTTGGAAGCAGCTTCTGCCACACAGCCTCGGAAGCCGAAAGCCTCTGCTTGTCGTATTGTCGGATCGTATTGTCAATGACAGTTTGTCTCTCGTCCTGGGAGGAATAGTCGTAATTCCACACATCAAGCTCTTTCCAGTACGTCTTGCCCATGGTCCAGGTATCTGAGTCGGCGTTGTGTTCGGCAATTTTTTCTAGGGTCGGTCGAAATTCATGCTCCTTGCCTTCCCACTTCTTCTTCAAGTATTCAGTCGACCGATCTTTCACAGCCAACTCGTGAACGAGAGTCACTCTCTGCTCCTTAGCACGTTCCATAGCCTGCTGGGATGCGGAGAGGGTCGGGTTCAGTGAAGGGGATGTCGCGCCGTGGAGGCTGGGTGACGTGGGCATGGAGCCAGCTCTTGAACCGTAGTTGGACATGAGCTTTGCTTTGGACTTTGCCGATGCCTTTTCAGGCAAGTTTCCGACCACGCGAGCCCTGGATAAAGGTGTTAATACACAACACCAAAGCGACACGCAATTAGCACAAACCTCTCGCGTGCGGCGTCATGAGCCGCCAGCCCATTCTGCAGAGCTTCAAGGTCAGAGTCCAGTCCAGAGGTAGAACCTTTGCGGGAGGCCCTGTCGGATGCCGATCTGGGCTTGTCAAAGACGGATGTGGTTGCGGGTATCCGCTCCGCTCTGCGTGTAGATTCGAACGGTCGGGTAAGGTACAGGTCGTAATCGGCGTCATCGGTGGGAGGAGCGATGCGGTGTGATTTCGAGCCGAATTGTAGCGTCTGCAAGACAGTCACGCAGTAGTCAGCATATCAAGGTCCACATACCACGGCAGGTGCATAAAGGAGACAGGGAGAAGAGGCTTTAAGAACGCACAGGAGATTGGCCCAGCGTAAGGCTGAGGTCTTCGCCATTTCGGGAAGCCCTGACGATGGCATCTATGGTGGACTTATCCAGCTGGATATGGAAAGCCTGGGGCGGCAGAGCTGAGTCGGAGCCCGAGCTCGAGCTCGCCAGCAGGAGGCCGTTGTCCGGGATTTTGAGAGAGTTCATCTCGGCGGTCGAGGTGGTATTCGCAAACGTGGAGAGAAGATGCAGACTTCCCGCAGCAGAAGAGCCACAGGATATCGAGTGAGTGAATGCAGAGCAAGCAGGTCAGGCACTGCTTTCGAAACGTATGGGGAGAAGATGTCGTGAGTTGAGTTTGGGGGGGAGGAAGATTGTTGGCAGCGGAGGAGATTGCTTGGGTCAAATCAGACTCGACTGGCCAAAACAAACTCTATAAGCGGCAGTGAGGACGCCGCATGATCGATTGATGCTTTGGTGGCGCCCCAGAAGTGAAGAGTTTCGTTGAAGCAAAAGTGAAAGCCAAATGAGACGCAGACAAAGGGCGAGGCACATTCAAGCCGCGCGGTGGGCCGGTCAATGAATAAGGGTTCCGTATATGACACAATGGGATGAAATAACTAGGCCCGGCCTGTACGCCACAATAGGAGACGGCACCAGGGCGTCTGCCGCGCAATCGCACCGAGAGGACTGAGCGGCGGCGGGCAGCAATGAGGCTGCGTGGGAGAGAGGTTTGAGTGCGGTGATGCAGCTCTCGCGGCGGAGAGGCGTGGTGAAGGAGAAGAGGCAGCAAAAGAGAGGCAGAGGGAAGTCGAGGCACCAGCCAGTTGGGGGAGCGGAGACAATGGCGGACGACGGCGAGCGGGAGGGTGGGAACAAGGTTGCGAGAGGGCGTGCCGCAAGTGCTGGGCAGACGGGACGGGGGTGGACGCAGTCATCATCTGCGAGTATCCCAGTACAAGCCGGTACATCGCGCAGCTACAGGCACATGCGCGGCGAGGTGCTAGCTGCAATGGCCTGCCGCTCAGCAGCTAGCAAGTGGTGCTTATAGCGCTGCGCTGCAGAACTGAACGGCGGTGCAGCGCCTAGAGCAGGGCCACGACAGGGCATCGACAGGGCATCGACAAGGGCCCGGCCCAGCACCATGAGGTACCCGGAGCTAGAGGTACCACGAGCACGAGCACGGATCGCAGCGAGCAGACGCCGCCCGCAGCACTCAATCACTCAATCACGCACCGCAGTGTCGCCCAGCAGCATCGGGCAGCCCCCCCAGCAGGTTTCCAGCGGTTCGCTGCACCGCGGCGCTGCGCAAGAGCGGCTCCAGGCTGGCTGGCGACGACGTTCGTGATGGACCGGGTCGAGATTACGGGACTTGATCCGGTACCCAGGACGACCAAAAGGCGGGCCAGGGCAACGCTGAGGTGGCTCCGCTGGGCCAAGGAGCTCGCAGCCTAACGTCGCAAGGTTTAGCCTCGCGGCGCAAGGGCCAAAGTATGGAGGCTTCTGCCCAGCAGCCACTGGACGTCGGACAAGGTGGTGCAGTTGTTGCATTCCACCAGGCCGGCGCCAGCCTATGTTTGTAGCTTTCAGCAGCAGGACCCTACGGTTCCAAAACAAGAGGTCAATACTATTGGAAAATAGGCATCTGATTGCCAGTGCCTGGACGTGAAGAAGCTGGTGCTCACACATACAAAACAATGGTACAAACAGGTAGACAGAGGTTTGGTCGGACGGTGTCCAGTGCTCAGACAGACGGGCGGGCAGATAGGCAGACCAGCGCCCCATCGTGAAATCGCTGCCCAGATGCCTCAGCTTGATACAGATCCCATCTCTCGCGTCTTATTTCCCGTTTGCCTCCAAGCCCTGCCCTCCCCGTCTCTTCAAAAGACTACAGCTTGGGTATCCATCGACCGAGCAGCTGCAGATGCCCCATATCAGGCTATCCTCTCTCTCCTGCTCTTGTCCTTGACCTCCTTTGCCCAGTCCCCTCCCACCCCCTTTCTGCAATCGACCTAGAACCCACCAGCGAAGCTGTGGACGCAGTCGAGAAGGCATGTTGTTCATGCTGCGGGCGGGACCAGGTCGTCGTTGTGACTCTTTGCCCATCAGGCACAGCGGCGCACAGGCCCTACCAGTGAGGCCTTGTACAGTGGCCGTGGCTCCAGAATGTGGCTGCCGCTGCTCCTGTGGCCCGTCGGAGGGGAGATCAAACACTCTCTGGCGACGGATATGGGACCCGAACGTTGGCCCAGCCAGCGCTGCCAATCGTCAACTCTGCCCACGCCCCCTCCCATTTCCCTGGCAGCGGGCGGCCATGGCCCAAGGTGAAGCGAGAATATGCTGCTGTCGATATGTGCGTGCATGCAGCCCAGGTCGCACAGCACTAGCGAATCCCAGCACCGGAGCAGAAAATGACGGGATGGAACAAGACGGGAGTCGGTTGCATGTATGCAGATTGCATGCACGACCGTACCTCCAGAGTACCTCCTTGGGCGCCGTGTGCCACCCGTTTGCCATCAAATGCACATGACGAGCGGCAGCGCTGCTGGCAGGGCACGCGGGTGCTGCTGGCGGTACGCTGGCGGTACATCCGTGGTACCTGGATGCCCGGTGCTGGTGTCTCAGCTTTGGTACACGTACGGGGAACGCCGCACAGGAACCTTGGAGCGAACAGGGAGCTAAACCACCCAGATGGTTAAGCATCAACGACAGCGCAGTTATGACGATCTTTGCCGGGTTATGGTGCTATAAATGTGCACAGCTCTTTTCAGTGTCCCTTTGCCGGATCTCATGGCATCAATTCTCTTGCTCACTGCTGTTCTACCTAAGGGACCTATGAAGTGGTATATGCAGATTGAGAAACTTTCGCAGCGCAGTGCCTAGGTATCTAGGTAGTATCACGCCCGATGCAGCAAAACAGCACGGCCTGTGCTTTGGACGGATCTGCCAGTGTCATGTGAAACAAAATGACCACCACGCTGCCTCGTCCGCCTCCAGCAGGCTTCGCTTGGAATTTCCCTGACAGCCACGCCGTCGCATTTGACAATCTATGTGCCGGCGAGCATGTCCAATTAGATCCAACGATCGCCAGTCGGGGGCAAAGCTGAGTGACAAGTGGGGAGCTAAATAATAGGAGACGTTGATTGAATCTTATAACCATAAGGACATAAGCATACAGCTCTATTGTTACGCCTGTAGTTGCTATGGTGCTTCTAGCAGGACTGAAGCTTATGATTTTAGTGGCCTAGTTCCTCTGAGTAGGTGCGTGGTTTCATTTTGCTGCTGTTTTCCGTGTGAAGACGCAAACTCAGGCTCTGCTGACCGCAGCCTTATGGCTCACAGCCCGTTTCAGCAGCACCTGAAATATTGATTCCTTCGAGAAGATACGAGTGGATACGAAGTACATGCAGGTAGCGAGCGCTACGGGGACTTGATGCAATGCAGCTCTTTTGGGCTTGGGATGCGGCTGTTGCGGAATACAGTTCAAGTGGTTTACAAGCCCAACAGGACGTCGACGAAACAACGGAAAAATATGGAACATGGCAATCATCAGGCGGTATGAATGCAGGCTAGCCAAGATGCAATGAAGTTCAAGCGACGCCGGATGAGTAATTACATGTACGCGTTTATAGGTACTTACTTGCAGGGTAAGGATAGAACTTCGCCCATCGGCGTGTAACTGGAAACCAGGCTATTGGAAGCTGCCGTTTGACGTGTGTCGAAAGTACGGTACCCGAATACCACCAAATCCGGCACGCACTCCAGCAGGTACATTCTGGTTCCTTCTAATGGAGCATCTTGTACCCCATTATCATCCTGCGCCCATCTTCCCATCAGCTTTCTTAATTCTCATCTGCATAAAGAAGCACCCGCGAGCCAATGACAGCACTCAATCTCGCTCGGTGAGCCTCCAGAGCGCACTCACAACGCCGGCGAGTCGAGCCCTGGTGGCACATGACGGGATGGAAGTGCTGGCAGCGCTGACATCACCCAGCCAGTGCAGCGGCAGCTTTTCCCTCTGTTCTTCTTTTCAGCGGGCACTTTCATGTAGGTACATGCGCCATCTGGCACCGCGTCACAGCCAGCCCACCCTCTGCCTCGTCGCCTTGCCCGGCGACCTCAAAAGTCGAGGCTGCATCAGAACGTCGAGCTGGCATTGCAAGGCAAATGGGCTGCTGACGTCTTCACGCAGATGTCCTGTACGAGTGTAGAGCGCCAAGCCCGGTTGTGCCCTACCTGTATTTGTACCTCATGTTTATTGGCGGCAATCTCGAAAGTCCGGCCCTCGCTCGGTCATCGGCCGGCGCAAGGGACGCAGACACGCTTGTGAGAGGCATCAAACAGCTTCTTCTTTTTCCCTTGCGCTGCATCGCGATTCGTAGTTCTGTCTCGTCGTCAACACTTGCCATGGAGAGCTGGAAACGAGGTAGCGACTTGTAGCATAGCCATAGAATACCTCGGTCTGCTACAGTGCACTACTGGACTTGCCCATGTTACAAGAAGAAGAAGAGAAAAGGCAAAGGGCGTCGTTAGTGGAGGCGGTGTGTGCGACATTCCCGCGATAGACCTGCATGGCCACCAGTCAGCTGTCGTTAGCAACGGCTATCCCACGCTGCATCACTCGCTACCCCATGCCACCAAGCCCTCTCGGGTTGCCGTTGCTTCGGAGCCCGAGCTAGAAAGACGCAGAGAGCGAGAAACATTCCAATGTTTGAGCTAGCAGCGGCCACAATCTGCTGGACTTTGTATTGCTGGCGGGCTCCTGAATCCTTCGGAGCGATGCTGACGGGTTCGTTCCTCCAGGCTGGACTGGAGAGGCCCTTCCGCTCATGTTAGCCAGGCTCGCCGTCTCTGAAACATCTGTGCTCAGAGCCAGCGGCGGTGCGGTGCCTGACCTTGCGCTCGATGAGATAGAGCTGGAGTGCTATCCACCCTCCCTCTTAATCACGGGAGGAGGGGCAGCTGCTTCGTACCATCTGCGCAGTGGCTCGCTCATAGGAACTGCCTGCTATATTCACTACAGCTTATACCAACCTGTTTACTTGGACGATCATCAACGTTGACATCGCCTGCACTCATGGACAAGGCGGGAATCAGCATTAAGGTATAAAATACTACGAAACAAAGCGGGTGATTGCCAGTCCTGGCTTTGATAAATCTCGAGGGCTCCCATACAGCGGATAGGGCACCGTGAGTGGCGGCCACAGGCCTACTTGCACGCCTTCATCTCAACCAAGCGAAAAACATCCGCGTCCGTCTCACTGCCCCCAACAAGCTCTTGGCCTGGGTAGAGCGGCTGCATCATGCCATCCAACGCAGCGGTGTTTGCCCTCTCTGGAACGCAATGCTACGCAGTTGGCAGCAATACCTCATAAGTCTGGTCTATCGTCTCGTCGCCACCGCTGACTGACGGCCGGCAGTGCCGCAGAGGGCCGCAATCCCAGCATGTCTGAACCTGACAAGGTACATGAAGGTAGCACTCCCGGCCGGCCTGGACGGGAATAGAACATGAATCTAACAAAAGCTCGCACGCAGATGCTAGCCCACCATGTACAGCATAGAGTGTCACCCCGGACACTGACAAATATTACCCGCCTTGCACGAACCATGGCTTCGCATGCGTATTACAGTAGATACACGGACGCCATTGCCATGCACAGGATGCAGAGAGAAACAGGCACCTCCTCCCAATCCATCTGCTCGTGTGCGATGCAAGGGAGACAAACGCCTCTCCCACTGTACAGGCAGCCGGCCATGTCAAAAGTTCGCACGTCCTTGTCCAGGGATTCGGGTGATACGATCTCCCTTGCCCGAGACACATGGCCTGGCTGGCTCGACACTGCCGTGAGGTACGCAGCCTGTTCCAGATTGATCTCCCGCGCCTACCTCATCCCTAGCGGAACCCCACCATTTAGCAGAACTTGTGGCACTACTGATACTTGGCGCTTTTTGCTCACAGGATGCTAGACGGCCAGTCCAATGAGGCAGCTGAGCTCTTTTCTGCTAGAGATACGGAGCGTCTTGCCAGCAACCAAAAGAGAGAGTCCGTTTACAACGTCGGCGTTGGGGCACCAAATCATATGATGTATGGCAGCGGAATGAGGAGATGCTCGTACGGCCACTAAAAGCGCAAAACCGGGCGATCCCATCGTCACAGAACTCTCTCGTTGTTGGGTGCTCCTTGCATCTGGTTCGACGCTGGCGGTTAAATCCCAGCGAGTACCACCTGTATCGCCACCAACAGACGCGCGCCCGCTCGGGAAAGAGAGGGTCCCAGCCAGCTAACGTGCTATGCCTACTTGTACTGTAAGCCGCCTCTAGGAGGATACGAGTGTTCCCCAAAAGCCATCAGATCCAGGGCCTAGAGCCGAGCTGTAAGCGGCGGCGTCTCGGGTCCCCTTCGTCGGGGAGATAGCAAGCTCTTCGCGTAAGTGACCGCATGCATCACGCAGAGCTGAGCAACAGTTCGCCGTCTCTGCCGCAAAGCTTGCTGATCGAAATGCCATTATCAATCTTGCTGCCCGCAGACATGCGAAACATGGCTAGTTGTATACTATTGCAAGCACGGACGTATTTGGGATTCTCGCCATTCTCTCCAATCACCGGCGTTGTCTCCCGGACGTGCGAAGAAATCAAGCCCGATTAGCGATTGAATTGCTGGCACGTGCTGAAGTCTGTAGCTGCCGCAGGATACGAATCGCCAGCTTCCACATTTGGCCCTGCTTGCCGCTGACAGCAACACTCGATTGCAGCAAAGCAACGTTTGGGGGCCCTTGTGGCGGCGG